AGTATGGTTCCTGACCATATTTTATAAAGGCGCAAAACCTGCAGACTTTGTGAGTTCTAGGTGGACTGTCAGCTTAAATGAGGGTAAGCCATACTGATAATAGGGACTTTTAGATTTGCACGTCGACACAGTGGACTGCTATGTGTGACATCCTTTTAAGGCACGTAGCACTCCACTATGTCGACGTGCAAATCTAAAAGTCCCTATTACTCAAGGACAACGACCGCTTACCTATAAATATTTCCGGACAACTATGCCGGCCCCCCATCCCCTGGACAATTACCCAAAACTGGGCAAATTTCATCCAACTTCTTGTAGAGTGTACAGATTATTCGAGGTACAGTCTTTTAACAGGATATTTATAAAGAGATGATGGTACTACGGTAATCAATAACCATATCTCAAACGTTACATTCTCTTTCACAAGGATATTTGTTCTTCAAGATGTCTTTGTAGGTGTTTTTAGATATAAATTTGTCAAAGTCAAACAAACTGCAAATTTTGAACGGACACATCGCATTGTCGTTTAGAAGAATAATAAATTTTACATTGCCACATTTAGATGAGCTTTGTGAAAGGGATGTGTAGTAGAGGTCATGGTATAGTTTTTTTTCTTCTTCAATTTCAATCCGAGGGTTAAGGGTTTGAATTTCAGTCGGACACTAATGTCCTTTGGTAAGACATTAATCTTTAGTTGCCACTCTCTACCCAGGTGGCACCTGGACATACTAATTACACTGCCAGGAGCAGGAGGAGTATTAATATTGATGTGGCTTCACATCCGAATAGTTACAGTTGCAATTTATTTGATAGGCCCTAGGAATTATTAAACTCACATTTGCCACTATATTAATGTTTATCAATAACTTTTACCATCAGATAACTCCGGATGGTGGTGGTGGTGGTGTTCAGGACTTTGATTCGTGAGGCTGGAGCTGAAAAGCTATTCTGAGGGCGAAGTACGTCCAAACAGAATGTTTAAATTCATTTAAAAAGAAATCCGACCCTTGAAATAAGTTAATTTGAGTGAAAGCGGAATGAAACAAAATGGTGAAAGTTTGACTTAAATCGGACCATTAATAAAAAAAAAGTTATGAAATGTTTGTCAGTTTTTGTCAGTAGATTGTGACGGAGTGACAGGTATTAAACTTTCTCGTTTGTCGTATACAAAATTAAACTAATGTTTGTTTATCTCCAAAGTGCCTTCATCATTGGGACACTACTCAAAATATACACCAAAGTCTTACATTTAAGGGAAACAGAGAATTGTTGGTCAAGTCTTGTGTTCAAACATTAGGGCAAGTTGTCCGCCACTAAATCACAGACACATTACCGATTCAGGCAATTCGGAGAGCCCATACCTATAGTGGTTGAAACACTCAATTTTGTCAAATTTCATTAAAACTGTCACCAGTATGTTTTTCATGGAATGAATGATACAATACTAGCATAGGTGGCAAGACTAAATAGTATTGAAATGTATGTAATCTTCGAAAATATCAGATTATGTATAGGGTAAAAATAAAGTAGAACAGAAATTAATGGCCTTACATGTATTATAGACTGGTGGATTCAAAGACTGATTTTAATAGTTTGTAACATTTCAAGCTTTTCAGAAAGAGTTTTATCGGTAGTCACTCCCTTATCGAAGGGGTTACATTTTTTACAGACTTTGATCATAATAATTATCTAGATTTTGTAATGGGAAGACGCCACTTTCCATGGATTTGTTCAAACTGAGGGCTGCAAGCACGTATGCTTACGCTGTAGCCCTGATATATTTTGTTTATTTAGTTCATATTGATCATGCATGTAACTAATTATTTGTTTACATACTATCTTTCTGTTTGTCAATAGAAAAGCGTATCCATGTAAATCAAAATGTAAATGTCACGTTAATGCAAATTAATATGCAGGTATCCTCTCGTTGTTGGACTTTGACCAAACATTTATCTCTAGTTTGTGACAGAATTGGACGTTCCTTTTTAAACTTAAAAAGAAAATAAAAAGCATGATATCGTTTGTGAATTTATAATGTAGAATTGCTAATTGTCGTAGCAAGTGAATTGGACTTAATGGCATTAGCTCCAGACAATGCAAGTATTCATTTTCTGCATACACTGTGTATTTTCAGTTTTAGTTGCAGTTATTGCTCTTTAAAATAATAAGAGAAATAAAATTTTAAAAATGTGAGAGAAAAAGAAGTTTGTCGAAAAATACGTGACCTTATAAAAATTGTTTGATTAAAGGCATGAAATTTCTCTTATTCATCAATTTACACATTCACACAAACAACTATTTTACACACACACACACACACCCACACATACATATGTTTATACAATTAGATAACCTTAACAACAGCTCCGGCAAGTCTTGTATTATGGAGAGAGAGAGAGAAAGAGAGAGAAAGAGAGAGAGAAATCGTATCGGAAATTAACAATATCAACACGTTAAATCTTTTTATATAGTTCCTCCTTTTCCCCTTTCTCAATTGTTGCCCGGATACTTGGTTTCCTTGGTTTTAGTTGTACTTTATACAGCATATCACCACACTCTCTCTTCCTCTACCTCTCTTTCTTCGTTTTTTCTTCTCTCTTTCACAATAATCTCTTTTTCTGTATATCTCTTTGCTCGTCTACTCTGTCTCGTTAGTTTGATCTCCATGCCTCCATCTCTCCTTGTATCACTTCACCATTTTTCTCTTTTTCTCTCACGCCTCACCTCCTTAAAAATAATGAGATCATATTGGACGTTTATAGTCTTCTAAGCTTTATTCTTAAAATCACGATGTTGATGAAAAGCTGAGAAATGGTACTTTATAGCAAACGAAATAACCACAGATAAATATAAATCTACTCGACTCACTATGACCGTCCAAACCAAAGGTTAAATAACAATATTCTAGCTTTATAAAGCAACCTTCCACCCTCATCCGAAGTAGGTTTCAATAAAATCTGAAAAAGAGAGAACCGCATCAATGAAAGTTTGCGCAAAATCTTATAAAGATAAGGAAGCTATATATCTTTAACAGTTTGAATCATATGTAGAACCTCCGTGACGTATTTTGCGAGGTCCTCTCCCAACTGCTCTGTACAGAAATACTACACATTTCTTTTCTCTCAAGAAAATGTTTAATCAGATATAATCCTTGCAATTTTTTTTATACACCAACAAAATCCTCGCAACTAAAATTTTTAAATATATATAATTTGTGTAAAAAGCAAAAGGGAGAGAACCTCACAAGATAATTAACTGCATTGCCGATTCGTGTTTGATTGAATACAACTGTGGATGTGGAATTATCGGAATTTGTTCACGCTTTCGTTATTTCCTTTCTCATATATTTTGTTATTACATGTAAATCTCCTAATTAACAGGGTGTATTTTACCTTTAAAGACGGTTTATACAACAAAAAAAGTCAAAATTGAAGATAAAGGGTACCTTCAAAACGTCATGTATATCCAAAATTTTAAATAACCTGACAAGGAAAAGTAATAGTGAATGGAGAATTATATATTTTTTTCTTCAATTCTATTCTTATTATCATAAAAATCATAATTACAATAATAATGCTGATGGAGAAATTTTAATACTGAAAAAGAAAGTAGCACCTTTCCTTGTGCGAGGGCAAAAACTGAAAAAGTAATGCAAAGAAAATACCCTTAAAACAAGATTACAAATGTGATTTACAATTTTAAGTAAAAATATACAACAGATTATTTCATAAATGAGTGTAAATTATGGGTTATTTTAACAAGAATCTTTTAGAATACTTATCATAAAGATACAAAACAAAGATATATATTTGGGTAGAAATCATGAAGTACTATCACCAGAGTGTCACATTGATAAACAGTTTCTCAAGAGTAGAGTCCTACAGTACTTTGGGGTGAAATAGTACTCGTATGTCGTACGGGAAATATCAATGTTCCTTAAAACATGGGATTACGTTCAATTTTATAACAAGTGAAACATCATTTCACGTGACTATTCTTTCCCGGTGCATATTCAATTTTTACAAAATACTTTCACTAATCGTTTGTTTATTAAAAAAGCTTAGATAGACTTGTCCTAATGTACCCTAATGCCATTTGAACATGGGGGATCATTTGCCTGACCTAAGACTCCGTCAGTGACTGGTGCTGTCTTTGACGCACCAAACAATTGTGCCTTCTTACAAATTAGCTGATTACAAAAAGAGAGGAAAAAAGAAGAAAATTACCATGACGGTATTTTAAAATGGTCGGTCGGAGTCATCTTTTATTTATGATGAAAACAGATCTGAATAACTGTTTATCTTTTTTAAATACTTAGTACAAATCATTTCGAGGTGATATATATATATTTAGATCAAGGTGTTGCAAAAAAAGGAAAGCGTTTCGATATGCTAGGTTGCGCTTACAGCACACTTATAATTTCACACGAAACATTAAATATGTTAATACCAATCACAGTCTCTTTTGAAGAATAACTTTTAGCTATAAAAAAGTTTCCGCAAGTATGTATATTCCAGTGATTAATATGATTTTGCAAGGAAAAACGGTATCAAAACATTTCCAAATCAAGCTATGTTTGTTTGTTTGTTTGTTTGTTTTTTGTTTTTTACATCGTGCGATATCAACACAAACCATATATAATCTTCAAGAAAGTACTTCCGGATTATGAAAGTTTTAATAAAAACTAGAAGAAAAAAATTAATCCATTGATATTATCCATCCAGCATATGATAAGAATGGAATAAACTCCGCATACCCCCCCCCCTCCCCCCGTCTGAAGGCCAAGGAAAAGTAACCAAGTTAGCTTACAATTTGTCTACAGTATGCCACTTGGCTGGATGCCCCTACGAGTACATCGCATCGCCCCTCCCTCACACCTCTACCCGTCTGAGCAGGATAACACCCACCCCATTTTTTTTTTTCTTTTCAAATTTGCAATTTTTTCATGGCATTTCCAGTAAAATTCATTAGAATGTTGAACATATTGGGCTATAATAATCAGAACGAAATAAATACTAATTTTCAATTACCCAATCTTTCAATCAATCAGTCAATTTTTGAACAATACTGACTATAGTCTATACTATTTTTTTTTTAGAAGAAACCAAACGTCAATCTAGTAGAGGGATTTTAATAATTCTGTTTACAGGTAGCCCAGCAAAAGGAGAAAACAGCCACGGTAACGCCCAAATCCACCTAAAAAGACAAAAATGAGACATAAATATAATATTGTAATAAAAAACAAGAATGATGACATCATCAAACACCTTTAAAGGCCATGTTTAGTATGATTAACCCCTAAAACTTGCCGTCCGTTGTCACTGTCTGATTAGTAGGAGAGATATATGAAGAAAGAGAGGGAGAGACTGAAAGAAGCTGGGAAGATAGAATACGCTACTCATTAAAAATACAAATAACGTTACATTGTCAATGAAATGGCAATCATGGACTGTCCGTTGCAAATCTGTACCGACATGTTTATTCATACAGTGATATGATGAACTCATGTGGGGCGGATCCAGTAATTTCTTCCCGAGGGCGGGCACACGGCGGGGCACACGCCGGGGGGTAAGAGAACATATATATATATTTTTTTTTTTTTAGTCCTCCCAAAAATCGCAACGACTCAGCCAGCCGCTGAATAAGCGGGGGAGGGGGGGGGGGGGGGGGGGGGGATGGCCTGGGTAAGTGGACACTTTTTTTTTTGTCCCCAAAAATCGCAACGTCTCAGCCAGCCGCTGAATAAGCGGGGGGGGGGGGTGGGGTAAGGTCACCTTTTTAGGTCAGCCATTGGCATTTTTTTTTAAATTTTAAATAAAATTGTTTATTTTATTTTTTTGGCCGGGGGGGGGGGGCACGTCCCTGTTTTTCAGTACATTTTGGGCGAATTTAGGGCTGATTTTGACATATTTTTTGGCCGGGGGGGCACGTGCCCCCTGTGCCCCCCCCCCCTGGATCTGCCACTGCATGTATTCAGACCAAACTAGATCGATGAGAGTGTCGATACATAAATATATGAATAAATAATAAAAACAATTATAATAACAACAACAATGCTAATAACGACAATAACTGTTTCTTATCACCCACTATTACAGCGAACCGATTTTAAATTCGAAAAACAGATTGTTAATGTTTACAAACAAGGTCCTAGTCTCAATCCTCCTTATTCACATTGTATTCCAAGTTGTTTAAAAAATAATTTGTATGTACATGTTATGTATCAATGTAAGGTAAAAATCATGTAACTAAATAGTACAGTTTATATCTAATAGAAACGCACAAGGGACAAGTCAGTGAAAGTTTGGGCAAATTGCGATCAATCAAACACAAATTGGCAACACTGTGACGCACATTGTTAGGTCCTCTCCAAACTCTACTCTATACATAAAATTTCATACACTTTTTTAATTTCTTCGTTATTGATGACGGAACAGATTTTTTGCCATACAGGGGTTGTATAGAAACATGGTTTGCAATAATTATTTTAGGGTGCATGATTGAAATTTTCTTGATGGATTTTTTTTCTTCAAATGCTCACACTTTCATTGACATGAGTACCTACTTGTCATCACTTCTTTCCCCCGCCACCAGATTTTCCACTGCTACCAGTTGATTTCGGTTGCCCAGAGCTGTCGCCTTTTCCTGACGAACCTGCATATACAAGGAAAACAAACAAAAATAGCCAGTGTTTTCAGATTTTAACTGTTACTTTGTTTATCGTAGACTACAGTGCTGATTGGGCTGTATGAAGAGAAAGCCACCGCGAATAAGTGAGTAACTTTATTATTCTCTAGTTTTCCCAGTGTTAGTTAATATGATTTGTAAAGAAAGAACCGCTTGCATAAGATGTTCTTTACCACTTTAAAAGATCCAACAAACATAAGCTTCTAATTATGAATGAATGGATGAATAAATGAACGAATGAACGAATGAATGGATCAGTAGATTAATGAATGAATGGACGAATGAATGAATGAATGAATGAATGGATGAATGATCGAATAAATAAATGAATGGATGAATGAATGAATAAATGGATGAATGGATTAATATGACTTTGCATACAGTTTTAGAAACTCGGAGAAAAAATCCCGACTAGCATTAATAACATTTTAGGTTTTAAGCTTAAATATCCTTTAGTTGAATCACTGAATTTTAATTCCAACCACACTTTCATGTAGCCATGCATGAAGTCTTTCATCTATGGCTGATCGTTAACGAATCGGAGTTAAGTGTTTTGTCAATTCGATTTATTGCTATGGCAGGCAGCCAATGAAAACAATTTTTTTAACACGAATTATGGAAATGCAAGCATTACTTTTAACAGAACTATGTTATTCCTAGCTCATTTGAAAGGGCAGAAAATGAACTTTCTAGATGTAATTTTCTCTTTGAAATTCAGATACTGTCCGCCAAACGACTTGTTGGTACCCTTTCTTCGAATTTATTTTAATCACTCATGCGTGTAATATGGATCATATGAGTTGCATCAAAATGTGTCATTTATTAATCATAATTGTGATAAGTTATGATAAAATATCGATTTACTTTTTTTCTAATTCTCGTTTTTTCTTTCTTTCTGAGACGCACTTTATAATCATAGTTGACGTTGTTATCATTGAAAAGCCGGTTTATTCCCCTATTGGCTTTATAATAGTAGGCCTACTGACTAATTTGTAATGATTATTTAATCTAGGAATGTGCAGCAAACATAAATATGAGGCCAAGTCAAAATTAAAATGTTGCATTATACATTATTCCTTCCAAACACAATCCATCTTCCAAACAAATTAAGAATTCCATATCATTTTATTGACAATAACATTGCATTTTGCAAAATCAAACTTTTGACTAGTTGTAGGGTGTCTGGACACATAAATGTACCTTACAACACATGACATATGCAATGATGCAGCTTGCATTTTGATTATGAAATAGGCCTACAATTCTTTTTAACAGGTGAATGAAATAATTTTTATTGAGGCACTTCACAAAGACGTAGATTCTAGATCTATGCATCAAATGTGGTTACATTACAAAAATGGCTTATTGAGGATTTTTTTTTTAGGGGTTTATGGGTAGATATCTAGATCGAGAAATCTACATCTTTGTCACCTTTTCAAATAGTCTAGGCCTAACTAGAATCTAGTAGGCCTAGTCTAGTAATTATTGGAGCCTTGCTCAAACTCGGCAATAACTTGTGCATTACAAATTTAGTTAGATGGAAGAACTTCATGATTATAAGAGAGCTAAACACAGATTTCTAGTAAAGAAAAAGAGTTCAACAAAGAAAGAAATCTCGGGTCTAGACCTTTATTTGAATCATAAAATGTATCACAAGTTCACAACCATACCATTTAGATCTAGACCCTAGGCCTATTTCAATCAAGCATACCTCACAATTTCCATCAAAATGCCATAGGCCTACGCGCGTTGGCCATATTGCATTAGCAAAACCGGGAAAGGATTTTCAGCGACTAAAACTAAATATTTATAAGGCAGTTCTCCCAACTTTTGTCGCAAGATAGGCCCATGATCAATTGTGAGTTCTTTGATGATCTTTTAGGTGGACTCAAATCTTCTTTTAGATTTCGACAAGTTGTAGATCTAATTAAGATAAATTGTAGAATCTTTCGTAAAAAGTTTGTAAAGTCAGGTGTTTTTCTTACCCTCAGACTGCTTATGATAGTAGTATGGCATAGGTGGGGTGGACAATTCCGTTCGGGCCTCCGGACTGACATAAACCTTTTCCCATTGTTTATAAGGCGTAGATTCACTCATTTTGAATCGTCTCTGGTACTTAGTGGTAGATCTACAGCAGACTTAGATTATAACGCTAGTATTATGGCTGTTCCTCAGAAAAATTCGGCGACCAAGTGTTTGAAAGATTTGATGAACAAGTGTTTAAATATGAACAGCTAAATTTTTGTCATGAGGAATTTGCGCATGTCATTATTATGTTAATTCATTGAAAAGATTAAGGGGGAGTGTCTTAGGTCTGTGTAATGACGTATTTGCAGGGGAATAACCATTTTGTTTAAATGAACGAAAATAGTAATATTTGCAATATCCCCAAAATCTGCAGATCAACAAAAGGTCACACAATGCTAAAATAATATAATTTGAAATGTTTTCAAAATATACTGGTCTAGACCTATGCTACACAGAAGTTGGATGGAACTATATTTTGGCGTAGGAATAACTTCTTCAGTCATTTAAAAGCAATATCCTTGGGTTTGTCTTATTCTTGTCATTTTGTTTGTAATGCAGATGCTTTTATGTGATTCATTTTTGCACCTAACGCCTTGAGCATTTAATTTCAAGTGGATATCAGGTGCCTTACAAAGCTTATTATCATCAATATGATTATCTTATTATTCATTTATACTTTATTAACACAGGGAAAATAAAGGTGTGTTCTAGCTATAGAACTAATGGTGCAGAAACGTCTTTAAAAAAGAAAGACATAAAGGATAACGGATACAGACACAAAAGGTCACACTACAATCATACAAACATAGCTAAATAATATAGCCTTAATCCAATACATTGTCCTATAACAATGTATGGATACGAACAATTCCATTCACCTGTTTACGAATAAATGTATTTCAATAGTCAGAATGCGAATCGCATATATTACGTGCTGTCGGGTAGGGCAAGCCATAATGTTTGCCTTACCTAGCAACAACAAAATGTACGCTATTCGCATTCTGACTATTGAAATACATTTTTTCGTAACAGGTGAATGGAATCATTCGTATCCAGGCACATAATAACAGAGACGTATGCAATACTTTGGTTACATTACGAAAATGGTCTTTTCCTATAGCCTAATAGGCCATTTTCGTAATGTAACCAAATTAATGCATAAGTCTTTGTGAAGTGGCTCAATACAAATTATTTCATTCACCTGATAGGAATAATAGTATTTCAATAGTCAGAATGCAACTGCATATATTAAGTGTTGCTAGGTAGGTCAAGCCATCATGTTGTCCAACCTGGCAACAAGTAATGAATGCAGTTCAGATTCTGTCTATTGAAATACTATTATTCTTATCAGGTGAAGAAAATGATCTGTATTGAGGCACTTCACAAAGACTTATGCATTAAATTTGGTTACATTACGAAAATGGCCTATTGAGCAAAATAGACCATTTTCGTAATTAAATGTAACCAAATTTAATGCACAAGTCTTTGTGAAGTGCCTCAATACAAATTATTTTATTCACCTGGTAAGAATAATAGTATTTCAATAGTCAGAATGCAAACTGAATATATCAAGTGTTGCTAGGTAGGTCAATCCATAATGTTTGCCTTACCTAGCAACACAATAATGTACGCTATTTGCATTTTGACTATTGAAATACATTTATTCGTAACAGGTGAATGGAATCATTTGTATCCAGGCACATATAACAAAGACGTATGCATTAAATTTGGTTACATTACGAAAATTGGCCTATTCTAGAGCCTAATTGAGCAGAATAGACCAATTTCGTAATGTAACCAAATTTAATGCACAAGTCTTTGTGAAGTGCCTCACTGTACAAATTATTTCATTCACCTGGTATGAATAATACTATTTCAATAGTTAAAATGCAAACTGCATATATCAAGTGTTGCTTGGTAGGTCAAGCCATAATGTTTGTCCAATTACCTGGCAACAACTAATGTATGCAGTTTGGATTATGTCTATTGAAATACTATTATTCTTACCAGGTGAATAAAATAATTTTTATTGAGGCACTTCACAAAGACTTATGCATTAAATTTGGTTACATTACGAAAATAGCCTATTGTGTTAAGCTGCTAAAGTGTAGACACTGACATTGCACATGCACAACGATTGACAAGGGTTTAGGCTTAACCTACACATATTTGAACTGTAAGGGGCGCTGTTCGTGTAAGCTGAAGCAATCATGTTTAGTTCTGCATTCAAACTATTAGTCACCGAGAAATTCACATCTAGACTTAATAAGCATGACTCTTTACAATAATATTGTTCATATTTAGTTACTTAATATTCGAAGATGATTTTTTGGCGAAGAGGTTATCACTTTAAGCCCCACTGTCCTACTTGTAGCTACTTGCTCCCTCTATATAGAAAACTTCCCAAATCTGTGCCTGTTGGTCCCCCATGATCCTCTTTTTATTATTTTTTAATTGAGAGCTGAGTTAATGAGATAGCCACCTGTCAGTGACCTCGCTGTGTGGTCTAATCCCTTCTGGCCCAGTAGTATTGGCGGTCTTTAATAAAATTACTTAATCTAATGAAGATATGAAAGTAGTGACAATTTGCGGAGGCTTTTTATTGTCTCCTCAATAATACTAATGCTTCTATGACTGTTCGTATTTAAAGGCAGTGTATTCTACTGACACTTCTTCAGATTTGCCATCTGCTGCTTACAATGTCCCGATGTGTCGACAGCCGTGTCCCACAATGCATCACCAACTCAATCTCGCCTTTCTCCTTTCTTCAAGCCCCATCGCCGATTGCAAATTAAATATAGGCGAGAAAAATGCAGAGAATTAATGCAACAATCCCGAAGCCCCACCCAGGCGGCCCAAAGCCCAAACCCCTCGCCTAAATAATATAATAAAGATGAAGTTTTAAAGCGCAAAATAGATTGAGAAATCTCTCTTTACTTAAAGAGGGTTTACTAAAATTATAATGTCTGTCAGATGGATCTTCTTGTCATATTTCAAAAGCTATGCTACCGAAAATATTGGTCACCCGGGCCAGAGGCGGCGACAGCGGGGATGGGGGGGGGAGGGGCATAGTGCCTCCCCACACCTTTTCAAGTAGGTCTACCCTTAAAATGCCCTCTTTACATAGGGAAAGTGCACACTTTAACTTCAGATAAGTGCCCCTTTCTATTTATAAAAGGTGCCTGTTCCACATTCTTGTAAGTGCCTCTTTTCACCTCTGATAAGTGCCATATAGCTCCGTTTAGTCTAATTTCACAACGCCTCCTATCGTCAGATTCAGCAGCCTAACATGTTAGCCTATAAAATTTTACCCCCCAAAAATCGTTAAAAATGCATTTTTTTGTTTAAACGAAAAGCACATCCACCCCGACGTACGTTATCACTAGCTCTTTCATTAGAACCCTCATGTCCCATTGACTTTTGAAAGTTCACCCACCAATTTTGATCAAAATAGGTTGCCAGATCGTTTTTGCCTATAATACACATGGGAAACAAGTCGAACTTTGGACTCAGTTTGCCAAGCGATTTTAAGATTATAGGGCAAGCACACGAAGGATAAGAAGCATGAATTATCATAAAACACTTCTGCTTGGTTCATTATGTCCATTTCATCCAACCGCCACCGTCATTTTTCCAAATAGTAAAAGCAAACATTTTGCCGAGGTAAGCAAAAACATGAATATTCATGAACGGTCAGACAATACAGCCTTTTAGTACGTAACGTATAGTAAATGGGAATGGGCGATGATCCGTCCAGGAGGTAGAGGTCAGTGGTTTGTGTTGGCAATGTTCCAGCGAGCGAAAATGAGACAACCGGAGCAATATGCCCCTCTTATATTGACAAGTGCCTCCTTTTTATTTCTAATACCCTTTCATTTTTTAATAAGAGCCCCTTCACCTATTATGCCTCTATTAAAATCTTAAAAGTGCCCCTTTTCTTTGACAATCGCCGTGTTTACTTTATTATAAGTGCCAATTTACGTTCTCGCAAGTGCCCCTATTCATCTCAGGTGAGTGCCCCTTTTCAGGTACAAGAAATACTCCTTACCACATCTGATAGGTGCCCCTTTTTAAATCCGAGAGGTGCCCGGCCCTTTTCCGTTCTCATAAGTGCCTTTTTTCATTTCTGGTGAGCGCCCAATATCAGGTGCGAGAGGTGTCCCATTATCACTTTAGATGATTCCCCTTTTTAGTTTGAGACGTGCTCCTTTTCTTTTATTAAAAGTGTTCTTTTCCCTTTGGATAAATGCCCCTTTTCCCTTTCCCTTTTGTGCCATGTGAAGAGAGAAACAAATATTGAAATAATTCCTCATAATGTAATCACAATATAGTGGTATTACCAATGTCTAAAATGTGTATATTTTCGCTTTGAGGTTTCCCTTTGTAGGTTTCCCTTTTACCAGAAAATGCCCCTTTTATGTGCTTCCCCCCCCCCCCCACTTTGACAGACGCCCCGCCGCCCCAGTCGTGGGCGAACGGTCTTTGGGTCTTCAGAAGGGAGGGTATTTTACCGACGTTGCTACCACGGATGTGATTCAATTTCGCCATCTTTCAGTGGAAACGTGAAACTACAAAATAATAACTAGCGCGCATCTGCTCTACCCGAAACTTCCACAGAGGCTTTAAAACGTAAATCATCATGTTTTTAGCACGTTTTTCCCACTAAAACACATATATCTTTAGAACGGGTAATCGCCGCAAAAAGGGGTGAACAGATTCTCAAAGTTCATTATTCTAGCTTCATGATCATGTATGTTTACTAAGTAAAGTCACAAAACCAGTGATCATTTTGCTTTCAAACTCTGGCATTCGATGGCAATTGTTTGTGGAGAGAACAGATATTTGACCCTAAATTTGTTACCCCGCGTTGTTTATCCGGACGTGACAGGATAAGTCGATGTCATGTCGCAGAGGGTTCTAGGACACCTACCCCCTGGACACCCACCCCCCCCCTGATAACCACCCCTGTCAACTACCCCCTGGGACAACTACCCCCTAGGGCAACCACCCTCTAGGACGACTATCCCCTTGGACAACCTCCCCAGTAAACTACCCCCTAGGACAACTACCCCCCGGGCAACTATCCAACCGCCCCCGGAAAACTATCCAAGGGGGTAGTTTACTGGGTGGTAGTTGTCATAGGGGGTTGTTGTCCGAGGGCAGTTGTCCGGGGGGTAGTTGTCCGGGGGTAATTGTCCCTGAGGGTAGTCGTCCTAGAGGATAGTTGTCCTAGGGGGTGGTTGCCCTAGGGGGTAGTTGTCCTAGGGGGTAGTTGTCCTAGGGGTAGTTGACTGGGGGTGGTTATCCGGGGGAGGATTCCAGAGGGTAGGTGTCCGGATACGTGCCACGCGATCTGTGTTGTGTGTGGTGTGCTTAGGCCTAAACTAAAATAATTTGTATTGCTACCGAACCCAAAATTTTGAAATCTACGGTTGGCTTTTTAAAAAAACTAAGAAAAATCAGCCTAAAGACGGAAACATAAAGTAAGAAAAAAAAGTTTAAAAAAAAAAGATTTCCGACCGACCGACCCGTGTTTTGGCACCTAATGGGCAATACAACATTTTCTTTTCTTTAGGCCTATTATTGTTAGGTCATTATGCAACAACTCCCGTAGCATCAGTGGCGTACCTGGGGTACTCCGTCAGGGGGGCAAGCGACCGAAACAAACAAAAAAGGCGATGCCAATTTTCACTTCTGGCGAGCGAGCGAGCAAAAAAAAATCTTTAAGTAACGTTTGGTATATAAACTGGTATTGTTGCAAGTTGGGGGTGGGAACATTCACTTGTTAGCGACGTTAATTTCATTTTTTTGCAAACGAGTGTAGCGAGCAAGAAAAAAATCACTTCTTTTTTAATAATTGCCACTTAAACTTGGTTCAATTGTCCCATGCAGGGCGCGGGAACAATATTGTGTTTAGGGTGATTTTATACCAATTTTAGCTAGCGAGCGAAAATACATCTTTCTCTCAATGAATTGCTATATAAAATTTGTTTCATTGTTGCAGGTAGGGGGCGGGCACATTCGTGTTTAAGGCAATGTCAATCCCATTTTGGCGGGCAGGCAACCCCCTACATTTCTCTTTTTAATGATATTGTAGCAGGTTAGTGGTGGGCACATAATTCCACGAGCTAGCGAGCGTAGCGAGCGAAAAAAAAAATCACTTCTCTTTTATAGGAAAAATATGGTACATAAAACTTGGGTTCATTGTTCCATGTCAGGGACGTGATTATTAAAAGCGGTGTTATTTCTATTTTGGCGAGCGAGCGTAGCGAGCAAGCAAAAAAAAATCACTTCTCTTTTATAGGGAAAATATGGTATATAAACTTGGGTTCATTGTTCCATGTCAGGGACGTGATTATTAAAAACGGTGTTATTTCTATTTTGGCGAGCGAGCGTAGCGAGCGAGCAAAATTTTTGTAATGATAATTGGTTTGTAAATTTCAGATTTTTGTTGTTGCAGGGCAGGGCTTACACAATCATGTCTAAGGTGATGTTAATTCCGTTTTGGCGAGCACGAGCACACCAAAACTTCTTTGAATAACGTTTGGTACATAATTATTAACTGGTTGTTGCAGGTTGGGGCGGGCACGTTAGCGGTGTCAATTCCAATTTGGCGAGCGAGCATAGCGAGCAAGCAAAAAAATAAAAATTCTCTTTTGATAGAAATTAATAAATAAACTTGTTTTTATTGGTGCAGGTCAGGATGGACGCAATCACGTTTAACGCGATTCAATTCCTTTTTGGCAAGAGGGCGAAAAAACTCTTCCATTTTTAATGATATTGTTGCAGGTCAAGGGTGGGCACAATTGTTTCCAAAGCAATGTCTATTCATTTTATTCGCGAGCGAGAAAAATGAATTAGTCTCTTTTAGTAACATTTGGTACATATATTGTGTGTTATTGTTGCCATGGTTGCAGGTCGGGGCCCGTCGGGGCAGGCACAATTGTATTCTAGGCAATACTAATCCTTTTCTTTTTTCAGGGGGACGAACAAGTGAAAACATTTAATACAAAATAGGCTAGCAAGCAGTTCGCGCCAGCGAAGAGTTTCGAATTTGTTATATCACTTATATTTTCCTATTTTCATTTGTTTTAATTTTTCAGGGCCGTATGCGGAATATTTTTCTGGTGGGGGAGGGGGAAAGATGCGTTAAAAGTTTTCGAAGAATCTCAAAAGCAAAAGGAGTGAAGGGAGTTCGAGCGACCGAACTGGTCATGAGGGTACTTTTGCATTTTCAAAAGTAGAATTGAAGGATTTGGTATAGGCCTACACTCAGGAAAACAACTGTACGTTTTCAATATATCTAGGGTCAACTGCCCCCCCCCCCCCTCTGGTGCGTACGGCCATGGTCTTTTTTTTTTTAATTTCCCCTTTTTTATTCCTTTCCTTTTCTTTTCCCTTTTTCTTCCTTTTCTCTTCTTCTTCCTTTTTTCTTTCCTTTTTTTCCTTTTTTCTTCCCTTTTCCTTTTTTCTTTTTCTTTCCTTTCCTTTCTTTTCTTTTTTTCCCCTTTTTCTTTTTTCCCCTGGAGCCCGTCAGGGGGGGGGGGCACTCTGCCCCCCCCTGCCCCCCCCATAGGTACGCCAGTGCGTAGCATACACACACACGGACCATATGCGCGTTTAGGGACATAAGTTTTCATTATGAAAAAACTTTTTTACTAGGTTTTCCACCTCAATTTAGTAAGAGCATTTGAATTCGAGATAGTTTTGATCGCCAATGCAGATTGTAATTTGAATTAATTTTCGTTGATATGCAACAAGATCTATAAAAATGAGTTTTTGAAATAATGGGATGGCGCGTTTAAATGTACTCCAATTTCCAAGGGAAAAGGGACAATTTAATTAATACTGTAAGGACGTTCCGCAGTAATGTTCGTGTGCACCTTAGTCATAGTTTATGTATACAACTTGTTTTATCCTACTGTTCGGAGCAGCGGCGGATCCAGCCGGCGACAAGAGGGGGGAGGGGGCCCAAATCTTGAGGAAAAATTTAGCGCCGACTCAGCCGGCCGGTGAATAAGCGGGGGGGGGGGGGGGAGCATATATTATTATTTTTTTTTTTTTTTTTTTTTGTGTGTTGGGGGGGGGGGGGGCAATTCGTGAGAAAATACTTAGCAGCGATTTATCCAGCCCGTGAATACGCGAGGGGGGGGTGATGGAAAGGAGACCCACTATTTTTTTTTTGGTGTGGGCGAAAATAGTTTTTTTTTTGGGGGGGGGCGCTTTTGTGTTTTGTTTTTAAAAAAAGGTTAAATTTACGTTATTATTCTATCTTTTTAACAGTTTTTCGGGCTGGGGGTGGGGCGGCCAGGCTGGAAATATCGCCACGTCGATCCTTGCCTGGTTCGGAGGCTCTAACTGTTATAAACGGCCATACTCGAAGACAACCAAAGGTGATCTTTGCAAGATAGTGCTCTTATAGTTTTGATTTGAGAAACTATTTTTTTTTCTTTTTTCTTCTCAGACAGGAAACGCACAACGTATATTTTGGGGTGAATCTGGCATGAAGAGAATTTTCCTACAAAGACAGGGTTACACCTAAAAAAATTGAGTTCCGGTGTTCAGGAATTGACGTCATTATGTAAATTTCTAATATCGAATTCTTGTACTACTTAAATGGCGCCATCTAAGGAGTAGTGAGTACAGTACACTATCTCTTCGTAGGTATCGGTATTATGAACCATCTTGATCTGCCTAACAACAGATCCTTTAAATTCCAGGAAATCAATAGATCCCTCATGCTCTATCGATTGTACATCACAGACATACTGTGTTTTATCCCAAATCATTTGGTAGCATTTTTGTGTGGTATGTGTTCACGCTTAGATTAACAGGTGGCATTGTTTGCGAGAGTGCAAAAATCGACTTGCGCCAAAGAGATGCCCACGGCATGTATTATGTTGGGACTAGCGGAGTGAGAGAATGAATTGAATGAATCAAATGAAATGCAAATGCATGTATGCTTTTTTGCAGCAGCAAAGTCACACACGCACACACACACGCGCACAAATGTTCGTTGATGTTTGATATTCGATATTTGATATGTGTGGCATGATTAATGTTGTTAGGGATGTTATTTGGATCTGCAAAAAACGATTTAATACCAAATCCAAATTGTTTTATTTTAACATCAGATAAGCAACTTTGGCGCAAGTCGATTTTGCACTCTCGCAAACAATGCATCGTGCTCATTCAAGCGTGAACACATACCACACTACAATGATACCAATTGATTTGGGATATAACACTCTTAACATAAGATGTATAATAATTTACTGTTCATAGATGATCTTTAAAATAATTAGCAATTTTCTAGGTGTAAACTTTTTTTGACTCACACTGTATATGCGTAGTGCTGCCTTTTCCATTGTTTGTAAACCAAGTCAAACAATGAAAGATTACGACTGGATTTCTTTGCATAAAAAACAAACCACAATTCCTTTCATGTTTCAGAGACCAAATAATGAACGAGGAAACAAGATTTTACAGGTTAATTGGGGTATTTATTTCAAACCAAGAAGGCTGTGTCTCGGCGATCAGATCAGATGTACAGAAAGGCGGCAGGCCTTCTGTTATTGACAGGCCGTTTAATCTTACAATTACAACATCTCCTGTAATGTTATCGAACTATGATTTGTTTTTATCAAATGAAATTTGTTAGTCACTGATTTTGTTTGAGCCATAGAGCATTTCCAAGGCGACACACTTAACTAATATGCAGGCACCTCTCGTTATATTCGGTAACGCTCATTATTTCCATTACGTCATAGTGACGTATCTTTGACATATCATATCATATTTGTCAGGTTTGTATATTCACAATCATATAGCAGATATATATTTATATGTTCATAAAAATGTTTGCTAAAGAAACAGATCATATTAAATCAAATAATTAATATCGAGGTTGCTAATTGACACGCTGGAAATATTTAAGCTAGTGGTTCGTAGTAGCAGTATTCGAGGATGATGTCATCGCCCTTAACGACCCCCGGGTATGGATGTGCGCCACCGTGATCATCGTTCGGAAAGACATCAGTCGTATCCCATCGGAAGTATTCGTTGGTTACCTTCATCCCATATACCTACACAGAGAAATGAAATTATTTAAGAAATTATGAGTGTGTTATAGAGAGTGAGACAGAGAGAGGTGGAGGGGTACATGGAGGCTTTCTATTGGGCCCGTATATAATCTTAAGAAAAAAAAGAAAAAAATCCACGCAATTTGTCAACATTTTTGCTCGCTGCGAAATTGGAAATGTGATCCATACAATAAACAATACTTTGACCAATGTATGCTTGTGTTCCGTATTGATCAATCAATATTTCTTTATCATTTGCAGACTTAGGCCATTTTTCAAATTTATACGACCACCTTGATTTGTACAGAATAAAAAACGGCTTTAAAACTCAGTCGACTAAGTTAAACCAGGGCCCTGTTTCATAAAACTTGTTATCAATAACAAATGTTAATTTCCATGACAAATTTGCTCTCAGCCAATCAAATGCCACGATTTTAGTAGCTTTAAACTGTTATTGTAACTTTTATTGATAACAAGTTTTATGAAACAGGGCCCTGCGTGGTCAACTTATGATCAGGTTCGACTCCCAATCTGCCATGAGGTTTATAAAAACAATGCTCTGTCGCTCAACTGAATTACCTCCTGGCACTGATGGTTGAACTTCATCAGAAAGAATGGGTGGTCCGTGGGTAGGTAGATGGGGTTGCTGGCATACCCATCAGTCATGCAACAGTAGTAGATCCTGGTGTTTTTGTCGTAACTACCATCGGGGATCTCTCCGTCAAAATCGTTAGTGTTGGCGAAGTCCTCGTCGTCCCAATAGACGAAACCTTCAGAGAGACCTGGAATCAATGGGGATCAATAACGAAAATGAGGGGAGGTGACATTGACCTGTGTGTGGGGGGGGGGGGGTGGGGAGAGGGGGCATATGGAAACGTTTGCCTTGATTTGTCTCATAAAAGAAGTTGACCACAAACTGACTCCCACACGGTGTTGAGTGCTCAGGGGTCACGGGCCACTGGCTTCACTGGGCAGGTAGTTCCATTATGTGAATGGGTAAATTCACTATTACAAAATGAGGGGACACATTACATTGTACAATAGGGACACACATTGTTTTTATTGTGCAGAACATACTCTTTTATTGACTTACTTATTGAATGAAACTATAAAAACAAAATGCATTTTGTATTCTAACAATTTGAGTACAAAGAATAATAACAGGTGAATGAAATGCATAAACACCACCCCTGGGAAGGAAGCATTCATAAATTTGAATAAATATAGTTGATAAACGACTCCGCATGAAACTATAAAACCAAAATGTAATTTGCGTTCTGGCAATTGGAGTACAAAGAATGACAGCAGGTGAATGAAATGCTTCAACAACACAAACACCCGGGAAGGAAACATCCATACATTTGAATAATTTAGTTGATAAACGATTCCGCATGTGGACGTTTGGTGGAGCAGAAAGCAGTGGATTCTTAACAACACGAACCCATTTTTACAGAATGTCGGAACGTAAATTAAATTTGGCGCAGTTGGAAAATGCATCTTTCTACCCTGCGACTTTAATGGTACGATCCAGTAAATTAAAACAGTAAAATGGCTCTTATTTTAAAATTACTCATTAAATAAAACCCAAAACTTCAGTGATATCAGACAAAATATGTTATATCTTACTAATAATTAAAAAAGATGTATAAACATTGTGAAAGTGTAGCATTTTAGGATAAAAGACACCGATTGAGCGAAGATGATGTCATTAGAACCTGTTTATGTGCGCTTGCATCAGGGAATTCAAGGTCAAAAGATTCAGACGCTAATAAGTTATTGGTCAAGCCTTTTTGTTTCCTTTATTCCGACAAAAGTATACAATCAATCAAAACAAGTTTAATACCAGAAGAAAACTAACGATTAGTATTTTCATTAACCGCTTGCCCCAAAGTCGCTTGACCACATAGTGAGAGCTTGCGAGAGCGGCCAAAGTATGATTGAAACTCGCGTGTTGCTCTTCTCCAACGCAAAAAGAGACGACATTGTGCTGGATAAATCTATTTTTTCCGACAAAAGTACAACAAATTTGCATATGGTCTTTTTATATTCTACTTTATGAAATGTTACCCGAGTGACTCCCGGGCGCCCCAATGCTGGAAAGAAACGCACATTTTAGAAAACTTCACTTTTTCATGGAAAAAATGCTTATTTGTTCTATGCACGCAAGTCAGATTGAGCGGATGATACAACGTTTCCATATGGGGGGCTAGATGTTTTCTTTTGATTGTGATGGGTACTGCATTATATTAGTCACTACATAATGAGTGGACTGACTTTGACATTGAATTTTCATTCATAAATGCATTTTTTTAACTTGAAACTTTGTGATTTTAAGGCTATTTTGATGCTACATGAATCGTTAATGAGGAAATGTATGCCTTTTTGTGATTAGACTAATACAGCATAGGTAAATTTCATCTACTGATTACGTTGTTTTAAAAACGAATGTTCAAACTTTCAAGAGCATGTTATAATTGTTATAAATCGTAAATCTGCGAGCATACCAACGGTTATCACACATTAAACTCACAGTTAGCTTACACACTATGTCCACTTTAAGAACTGCGTTTGAAAGATTTTTTTGTAAAATCGGTCCAGAGTTTCCAAAGACAAGACATGCATATTGACTGGTAAGTCAATATTTATTGTCTTGATTAAAGAGGACATCTAATGTCCCTCGAAAACGTCTATTTGCCCGCATGCCTATGTACCTGAAGGACATTCTCCTTTCTTGTACACGCAGTAGACCCCCTGCTGAAACGGCCAGTCATAGTTGTCCTCTGTTGTCTTGGTCTTCATGCAGAAGTTTGAGTTCATGTTGTTCGCCCAATATGGTCCTATCAAAGTGAAATGCATAGATTATTTAATATTTGCGAGTTCGTGTACTGCTGCCTATCCTAAACTACTATTAACCAGATATCCCTTCCCAGCGTATTATTATACTTGGTAAATGAAAAAATATCTTTGCTGATCCCATCCTTTTTCTAGTGGGGTATAATATAACAAAATCTGAATACGAATATCTCCGAATAGGCCTTTGCAATCATTAAAATCATTCTGCAATGGGTAATTTACATTAAATAAGAAATATAAATATCGAGATTTGTTTTCATTACAATCTTTCTAAATGCATGTTGTGGGGATAATTATGAACATAACTCACGTATGAATACTTGGTCCTGTGCGTACTAAGGTACTATTCGCAAGAGTGTTTTGTCTTCATCTCAACACTATTTTAAGCAAAGAATTTAATGGAAAGTGATGAGGGATGTACATAATGAGAGAGACAATGTAGGTATGTGTGCTAAATAGGGAGAAGGAGGGAAGAGAGGGGGATGTATGTACATGGGTATGGGGTGTGCGTGGATATGTGTGCGTGATGTGTGGGCGCGTGCGTGTACGTAGGAGAGATAGAAAGTGCGTAAGGCGGGGAAAGGGTGTGAGTGGGCAATTGGGTGTATATGCGTGTGTGTTTGCGTCTCCGGGTGTGCGTGTGCGTGTCTGGGGTGTGTGTGTTTAAGTCTGTATTACAAAAACACATGAACACATTTGGAGGAATAAAACAAAATTACTAAAAAAAACAAGTGTCGGTATGTGTATGTGCGTGTGTGATAGTGCGAGAGAGAGGCCTGGGGAATTAAAGGAATAGAGAAATAGGGAGTGGGCATATGCCTGTGTGTGTGGGATAGAGGGAGGTAGTGTAAGGGAGGGAAAAGAGAAAGAGAGAGACTAAGGAAGGGGCGTGAGAGATAGAGAGATGGAGTGGGGGCAAGATAGACAAAAAGGGAATATTAGGAGGGGGTAGATTCCAACCTTTCAGATGGCAAGGATTGCTCCATCTGTTGTCTGCACCCACGTCCTCGGTATCCTGATACCGCCATCCTTCGGCCCAGTTGAAGTGGTTATCGGGGCAACCAATGTGAGGCATTGGTAGTCCGTATGATCCTTTGGGCCACGTGATCGGAATGGCAACCAGTGGATCTAAATCATAATAAACCGTTATCAAATAAGAATCAAAATGTAAATGATACACAATAGTAGATCCTTGTTTTGATGACTACCATGGTAGACATGTCCATGGAAACGACTGCTCTCTAAATTAATTCATATTTTTCGGAATATAACTGGAAAGAGATTTAAAATTTTTTTTTTTGACTTAACCTTGATGCCAAATGTGTGTGTGTAGACTATATACCCACATAATTGTGTGTGCATACGCTCTTAATCGTATGGGCTTTCGAGTATTGTATTGTTGATTCATCATTTACATGTCAAATTACAAAACCTCACAATATAGTCCAGGCTAGAGAGCAAGGAACCTTGTTTTGTTATATATACAATGTTTTTTGATGGTTTCTTGTCAATTCGAGGGTGCTGATTCCAAATCTGATGAGTGCCAGACGCGAAACCTTGAGCATTTCTTGTAAACGGCGAAAATTCAAAATGGCCGCCAAAATGGCCGCCAAATCATGAAAAGGCTTATTCTTTGGCCATTTAACAGGTTATTTTATGTTTTCTTGTCAATTTGAGGGTGCTGAATCCAAATTTGATGAGTGCCAGATGCGAAACCTCATGCATTTCTCGTAAACGGCGAAAATTCAAAATGGCCGCCTAAATGGCCGCCAAATCATGAAAAGGCTTATTCTTTTCAAATGTTTGGCCATTTAACAGGTTATTTTATATTTTCTTGTCAATTTGAGGGTGCTGAATCCAAATCCGATGAGTGCCAGACGCAAAACCTTATGCATTTCTCCCAAACGGCGAAAATTCAAAATGGCCGCCAAAATGGCAGCCAAATCATGAAAAGGCTTATTCTTTGCGAATGTTTGGCCTTTTAACAGGTTATTTTATGTTTTCTTGTCAATATGAGGGTGCTGAATCCAAATCTGATGAGTGCCAGATGCGAAACCTCATGCATTTCTCGTAAACGGCGAAAATTCAAAATGGCCGCCAAAATGGCCGCCAAATCATGAAAAGGCTTATTCTTTGCAAATGTTTGGCCATATATGTAATAAGTTATTCTCAAGTGTCACATAAGCCACCTTTCTCGAAGCTTCTTGAGACAGTGAAATCTGTATATTTTCTGTAAGAAAGGTGGTCTTTATATAGAGGTTCCTTTGGCATACGTTTCCATGAGAATTTCTATGAAAGAGAAACAGATTAGTCTTTATAGACAGGTGGTCTGTCTACATAGGTGGTCGCTGAAGCAGCTTTAAATACTATTTTTCTTTACCCAATGAATCCCATGACTATAGACTCATCTTTGATTCTAAACCAGATAACCCATTTCTTCAATAACCTTTCGATGCTTGGGCATTCCTCCACACTGCATAGTTGTTCAAGGCTTTCTCCATGTTGGTGGCGATGACGTCAAGAGAGTTAAACCATTCGGGATCGCATCGACCATCGCTTACGTAATCGTTGAAACGCCTCCAATAAGCTACATCGAAGATCTCGTGCATACCACTCAAGCACATCCCAATCGGTTCTGCCAGTACAAACAGAAAGATCTGCAATCGGACTTTTGTAGTGGAGTTTTAAATTCCAACCAAGTGAGAAAATGTCCTCCAAATAGGGTTGCCGTGAGTTATTGTGACAGTTCTGAAATTGCTACCTAGCTTGGTTTCACTTATTTGTAGGAGCAGGAACTGTGTGAAGGTACCGTTTGTCTTAACAAAGTACTCAGAAGTGAATGAAAGCTTCACTGCTTTAAATCTGAAGATTGATAGAACCTTTATCAGGATTCCCAGCATTTTCTGAAGTAAAAACTTTCTGATTATCCCCTAGTTTTTCCTATTTATTTCCCTTAATATTCCCCAATGGATAATCTAAATTCAAGGAGCATTATTTCAATACATGATTACCAGTTTCGAAAATCAAAATTTGTCTTACCTCCGTAGATATACGATCGACCAAATAAAAGAGACAACTACTTTGATTTGAGACGAATTAAATTCCGTGTTTTTCCCCGTATTTTAGTCATTTTCGTGACAAAATACCTGACCGTTTCTCTTATTGGACAAGCAAAAGATAACCCAGGTTTTCGCTTATTTTTAGGACAGCTGGGAACACACTTTTTGCAGCGTTGAGATTGCCATGTTATGGGTTCTTAGATCTATCGCACATTATACGAACTGACTGCGATCTGAGTTTGAAAGAAGTGCATTAACACATGAACATTGAAACATAAGCCTGGGTCACAAATGCCATTACGAACTGCTACGAACGCCGTACGAACGATTTTCAGACAATGGAAATTCGGGAGGATAATGGAAAAACAAGGAGATTCGTATACGAAATGATCGTTCGTACGAACTTTTGTAACCGTAGCATAAAACACCTCACAATGGTCAAAGATCGGAAGAGTCTTATATAAATGATTACAATAAATTTGTTGGCGACTGCAAACTTCCTTAAAGTAGGAAAACTCATATCAGCTGAGAATCGTAGTGACGATCATTTTAGTTGTGCTATCATCTATGATTATTTTGAAGCTAATTTGGCGACTGACTTAAAATGCAGATTGCTTGTATTCATATCATTTGTAAGAACCTCACCAATGAAGGTGATATTTGTTGAAATGTCAACACTCGGTGTAATGCGAATTTGTGACAAATTTCTTTGAAAAATAGGAGCATAGATGGATTGTGTAGTGTACCTGGGTATTCTTCTCCCCCTGCTGTAAATGTGTGAGTTTTGGTCCCAAAGCTCATCCCGACCTGGAACCCAGCTATGAACTTGTCCATGTCGACCACCACACCGGCTTTGAACCCGGGTATCACATCGGCTTGGAACGACACGCTGTTCGAGACCTATATATCATGGCGTACAAGACCGAATATGAATAAAGTTGCTAGTCAGAACACTTGAAAAAGGAGAGAGGATAATTGGGAATATGGCTTTAATTTTTAGTCCATTTGAATGATATGTAAAACTTGAGATCCAAAGGCTATGAAATATGATGACAAATACCAACACGGAATCGTACAGATTTTTATCACTGGACTTACGTTAACAATTTAGAGTCATAAACACTACGCTCCGTAAAAGACGCAATTTAACGTCTGGAACAAAGTGATAATTAATGGAATCAGAGTGTGTTTATCCAAATTTTGGTTAAAGACACTCCGATTCCATTAATTTGATTTTTCATTTCAAAGTAATCATTACAAATAAACAACAGTTTGTGATGTGGCAGCTGAACGGATGTGCGCCGGAACAAGAAATGACTTTTTGTTTTAAAGTTTTCCTAAATGAAGTTTAATTACGCATCCATGTACAAAAGTCACATAGGATAAATCGATAGATAGGTAGATAGATAAATATATATATAAGTAAAGATAAATTATAATAATAATAATAATAATTAAATTATATTCTTTGAGTCTCTATGCGCTCTACATATTCGTTCGAGTAAACATGTTGATAATTTTATTCTAAAAGATAATTACAAATGAATAGAATAGGTAAGAAGTAATTAAATAACGACACCCAATTTACCTCAGAGTGGGCGTAGTGCACGAATCCTTGTGTCGTTTCTTCGTACCGTGTTGCCGATTTGGATCCTAGGTCCACCTCTGTAACAACATGCTGAAAATGTAATGCAGTTTAAAATAAAAAAAATATATATATTAACAATATTTGCCGTATTATATGATTGCAAATCAATTAATTAACTGTATCAAAATACAATTGCTAGTGAAATTTGACTGATGAAGTACGTTATTATATTTTGAATGGCACCAAAGGTTTAATATAATATTAGGTTCAAATATAAGGCAATCGTCCCGTGTGTAATTACATATTTCAACATGAAATGCGTTCAATTTGTATATTGTAACCTTAGAAACGGTTATTCAATGTCTGAACAGCTTGATTCGGACCAACAAGAATTCAAAAGCAGTAGAAGGTGATATAAAAAAGAGAGTATTCTTATTCATAGTTCAGGCTCCTTCCTCGAAAATGAAAATGAAAATGAAAATACTCTGATAGCAGGGCCTGATCAATAAGCGTCCATCGATGAATATGAATTTCAAGAATGTAGAAAATACTGGATATTGTTGTTCGTTTACAAACTCCATTACTGTTCACACATCATACCGTTCCCCAAGTATCGATAAACTTAAAATAGGTCGTGTTGTCGTAATGTGGAGTGAGCCCCGAACAAGCCGCCGCCACGAAACCATCGTCCAGTGGCCACCTTTCAGAATCGGCCAATTCAAGTCGGTACCGGGCTTCGGAGTGAAGGTGCACCTCGCGTTCTTCGTGGTAGACGTAGCGGTAGGCATCTATGCTTGCAGCTACATCGGAGTAGCCTAGATATAAAGGAAGAGAGAGAGAGAGAGAGAGAGAGAGAGAGCAAAACATAGAGAGTGCAATAGAAAGAGCGAAACACAAAGAGGGAAAAAAGAGAGAAAGAGAGAGAGAGAGAGAGAGGGATACGCGGAAAGGACAGAGAAAGAGAAGAGAGAGGAGGAAAGGGTGGAGAAAGAATCTTGTTAAATGTATGGAGTCTGGACCCCAACCTATTTATCAGTAGGAGTTTAAATGCAGGACGTATCCAATACATAAATTAAGCTAAATTTAATTAGAGAAATTACTGATCTGTTTCACGTAAACATTGTGATTTTTGTATTTGTTGTTATTGATTATTTTGATGCACTAAATATATTCGATTTGAATGACTGGTTGAAATGTTAGAGCAAACTCAAATAGAGCCTTATTATGACGTATATAAATTATATAATATTTCCTGTCATACATATAGGGAATAATAAAATTCAACACTTACGTGTACTTCCAGAAAACTTGACGAGGCTAAACTTTCCTTGAACGTTATCTGGAGTTATAAAAGAAGAAACGGTGAGTTGAAGCAAATGAAAGGAATGTTTCAAAGTGCGAAGGCCCTCTATTTTATTTATCTTCTTGTGGTTATTAAAGTTTTCAAATCTAGAGTTCAAGATCTCTCCCCCTCTAATGAAATAAACGAAAAGTTAGTAGTCATGGTAGTAATGATAGTAGCAGTAACAGTAGTAGTAGTAGTAGTAGTAGTAGTAGTAGTACGTAGTAGTAGTAGTAGTAGTAGTAGTAGTAGTAGTAGTAATAGTAGAAGTAGTTGTAGTAATAGTAGTAGCAGTATTAGTAGTAGTAGTCGTAGAGGTAGGAATATTAGTAGTTGTAGTAGCAGTAGTAGTAGTAGTAGTAGTAGTAGTAGTAGTAGTAGTAATAGTAGAAGTAGTCAGTGGCGTAATGAGCAAAAACGTTTGGGGGGGGGGCTGACAGAAAAAAATCCGAATCACCCCACTCTAACATGCAGGCCCCGCTGAATTACGTTTCTCAAAGTGGGGTCTAGGGGAAAAGCTCAGGTGGGGTTCGAGGGCGAAGCCCCCGAAGCTCAAGGGGTATGGGCATCAGTGGCGGATCCAGGAATTTCTTACCGGGGGGGGGGCACAAAATGGCATGGGGTGAAATATATGTAAAACGATGAAGCAACAGAACGAGGCATTAACGGCGAGGGAGCGGAGCGACCAAGCAGGGGGTGGGTCTGGGAGTAAGAAGCATTTGCAATTTTAGAACCAAATTAGACGCATTTTCAGGCACTTCCTGGAGTAATATGACGTAAAATTGCTTTCTCCTACCCCTTCCAAGAGTAGGGATCTTTTGCAATTTGAGAACCACATTTGGCGCATTAATGTCCACCGGCACTTCATGGAAAAAAAGAGGCCCTCTGATTAGTTAGAAGTTAGAGAAAAGTGATCTGTCACGTCGTGAGACGTTGTATAAATTATGCTTTGATGCCGAACAATGCACAAAGACGGTGGTCCGGTACTTCACCAGTAGTACTTGCAAAAATGATCTCGAGTTTATCGTTATCAGGGGCGTCGCTAGATCTTTGTCAGTGGGGGAGGGGGGGGGGCTGTAGAGGCCGCCGATTACCAAAAAAACGAGCCACCAATATTATTACCGACAAATATAAAAATGCCAATGTCCAAATGTTTACAAATTTAACCCTTTTAACCCGGGGCCAGGAACTAAGTTATTTTTCAGTTTTCCCCTCTCGCGCGAAGCGCGGAAGCTTTGACACTTCATTAAATTATTAGAGAAAGAAGACGATCCGTTGTACTGTTCTCGACTCTTAAAGCTTGTTTCGCCCTTCCCGCGCAAAGCGCGGAAGCTATGACGTTTCATTTAATTATTAGAGAAAGTAGACGATTCATTGTACCGGTCCCGACTCTTAATCCTTGTTTGAATTCAGTCCCCCCCCCCCCTCCCGCGCTAAGCGCGGAAGCTTTGACGTTTCAATACATTATTACTCTTAATCCTTGTCTGAATTCATTTTCGCTCATCCCGCGCGAAGCGCTAAAGCTTTCACGTTTCATTAAATTATTAGAGAAAGAAGACGATTCGTTGTATCGTGTTCTTGTCTGAATTCAGTTTCCCCCCTCCCGCGCAAAGCGCGGAAGCCTTGACACTTCATTAAACTATTAGAGAAAGAAGACGACCCGTTGTACCGTTCTCGATTCTTAATTCTTGTTTCGCCCCCCCCCCCCCCCCCCGCGAAGCGCGGAAGCTATGACGTTTCATTTAATTATTAGAGAAAAAGACGATTCATTGTACCGGTCTCGATTCTTAACCCTTGTCTGAATTCACTTTCGCCCATCCCGCGCGAAACGCGGAAGTTTTCAAGTTTCATTAAATTATTAGAGAAAGAAGACGAATCATTCATTTTCATTGTACCGTTGAATTGTTCTCGACTCGCATTGACGTTTCAATAAATTAATACTATTAATCCTTGTCTGAATTCATTTTCGCCCATCCCGCGCGAAACGCGGAAGCTTTCAAGTTTCATTAAATTATTAGAGAAAGAAGACGAACCGTTTTATTGTGTCTTTGTCTGAATTCAGTTCCCTCCTCCCACGCGAAGCGCGGAAGCTTTCACGTTTCATTAAATTCAAAGAGAAAGAAGACGATTCATTCATTTTCATTGTACCATTGAACCGTTCTCGACTCTTAATCCCTGTCTGAATTCCGTTCCCCCCCCCCCCTTTTGCGCAAAGCGCGGAAGCTTTGACGTTTCATTAAATTATTAGAGAAAGAAGACGATTCATTGTACCGGTCACGACTCTTTATCCTTGTCTGAATTCAGCCCCCCCCCCCTCCCGCGCTAAGCGCGAAAGCTTTGACGTTTCAATACATTATTACTCTTAATCCTTGTCTGAATTCATTTTCGCCCATCTCGCGCGAAATGCGGAAGCTTTCAAGTTTCATTAAATTATTAGAGAAAGAAGACGAATCGTTTTATTGTGTCTTTGTCTGAATTCAGTTCCCCCTCCCACGCGAATCGCGAAAGCTTTGTCGTTTCATTTAATACTACTCTTAATCCTCGTCTGAAATCATTTTCGCGTTTCATTAATTATTAGAGAAAGATTAAGACGATTCGTTGTACCGTTCTCGACTCTTAATCCTAGTCTGAAATTAGTTTCCCCCCCCCCCTCCCGCGCGAAGCGCGGAAGCTTTGCCGGTTCATTAAATTATTAGAGAAAGAAGACGATTCTTTGTACCGTTCTCTACTCTTAATCTTGTCTGAATTCAATTCCCCCACTGGGCCCCTTAACGGTATATGTGCAGTGTTACATGATGTAAGTATGGAACGCTCGTTCGCAAATCTGTGCATGCTCAGCCCGAGTGATGGGTAGCATGTTATCTCCCGACAGTGCTTTGCACAGTAGCTTCTGGAAAGGAATTAGTGTTACTGTTAGTGGCCACTATAAGGCCCTTAGTGACTATAAAAAACATATGCTCTTCCTGGCTATTTGGGAATGGGTCAGTTTGCAAGAAATAATGGAGAAACTATAGCATTTTGTTGAAAATCATGTGATATCACGAACATTTATACATTACTTGTGAAAATAAGTCATGGTTCAATTTGATTTGGGGGGGGGGGGCTGGCGCCCCCCTAAGCACCCCCACCAGTACGCCAGTGGAAGTAGTAGTAGTAGTAGTAGTAATAGTAGAATTAGTAGTAGTAATAGTAGCAGTAGTCGTAGTAGTAGTAGTAGTCGTAGTGGTAGGAATATTAGTAGTTGTAGTAGTAGTAGTAGTAGTAGTAGTAGTAGTAGTAGTAGTAATAGTAGTAGTAGTGGTAGTGGTAGTAGTAGTCGTAGTGGTAGGAATATTAGTAGTTGTAGTAATAGTAGTACTATCACCATAGTGGGAGCCAGGGATGGAGGAGCGTTCCCAAAGCGGAGCAGGGGGGGGGGGACCAACTTAAAGGGGCACTTTCTGGGGAAACAGGGGCCATACAAAGGGAAAAAATTAAGCAAAACTAAACAATTTGTTGACTTTGGTACAAACCCCTACATTGTGATAAACAAATTATCAGGGATCATTTCAATAGTTTATGATTTCTCTCCATACATGGTCCAAGACGCAGCTCAAACATTATACTTTGCAATTCGGCGTGATTGTTTGAAAATTCATCTGTGAGCGAGCAAAGCGAGCGATTAAATTTTTAAAGATTTTTAGGTCGGACTGTGACCCATTAGATAAAGTGGGATTCTTTTTGGATTTTAAGCACAAACTCATCATGAAAGACAGAAAAGCCTTTCATAAGTTAGATATTTACATCAACTATAACTATAACATCAGCTAGTGTATCGAGCGAGCTTTGTGGGAAATTTAAAAAAAAATCATTGTAGTCCCTTTAAGTTAGGGGCACTAATCAGGAGGAACTCTTGTCAAAGTAAATAGGGCAATTATTAGAGATGAAAGGGGCACTTCACTCAACTGAAAAGGGGCATGTATAAGAAGGGGAAGACGCTCTTATTAAAAAGAAAAAGGGGCACTAATGAGAGGAGAAAAGAGGCACTTATTGCCAAGAAAAGGAAGCACTGTCTAAGTAAAAGGGGTAAATATGGGCACTCGCCAGAGATGAAAATGGACACTTTCTACAAAGTAAAAGGGGAACCTCTAAGATTTGAAAAGGAACAATAATCAGGTAGGTGAAGGGGGTACTTATCAGATAAGGTTATGGGCAATGGAAAATGGGCACCTATTACGAAGGGAAAATGGGAGCTTGCGGAGGAAAAGGGGCACCTATAAGATTTGAAAAGGGGCAGTTATCATAGTAAAGGGGCCACTTATTAAATTTGGTAAGGGGCACCTATACAAATGTGGAACCTCCATCTAAAAGTAATAAAAAGGATCAATTGTCTAAAGTCAAAGGGGTACTTTTCCTATGGAGGAAGGGGCACTTTTGAGGTACTTGCAAAAGTTCTAGGGGGTAATTTGCCATGCTGTCCCCGGGAGCGCAACATCTGGTGGGAGCACCGTGGTCGGCCTCTATCGGTAAAGGTTCCTAACTCTCATACGAGAGGTCCCGGGTTCGAATCCTACTCGCTGCTTACACCTTTGAACAAGGTGTTTTACCCTCATTTGTCCCTCTCGACGCAGGTGATTTAAACGGCCATTGCATAGCCTGTATGAAGAGCGGTATTGGAAACAATGATTTTATTACCCAGGGTCAATAATCGTTATGACGGTTATGGTCTTTGCTACTAATTATATTTTTCGTAATAATTGTTATGATTATGTTCATTACCATTATTATCATTATTTTTCATTTTATTGTTGTTATCGTTGTTGTCATTGTTATTGTTTTCACTTCTGCTACCACTATTGTGAATACTATAATAATATTATTCTGTAGTGTTCATACGCGATTCCTCGATGTCACTCTGGACCTTCTCTGCGTAGCTCTTGGTCCCGTAGAAGGTCTCTTGGGTCTTGTCCTGGCTCTGTCGGATCGTGTACAGGACCTGGTCCGGGAGCAGGTACCCGTCCTGAGATACGATCTTAAATGAAACGAAATATATATGTATATACCTTACAGCATCATTAGACGGATATATGTAATTAAAAAAATGAGTCATTAAGTAGACATGTTCATTAGCAGGAAATGTCCTGTTAACGATTGAACAATAGAATAACTGCCCTCTACGTAATTTTGCAGGCAGAAGAAACTTTAAGGCCTCCCAAGAATTAATAGGTTTATTCATTAGTCATTAGTTTAATTAGTTACATTGTTTTGAATTTCAAAGAATTCCTTTCTTTTGGTATCCATTTAACAATTGGTGGAGAGTGGCAAATGTAGATTAATATATTGCCAAAGGACACTAGTGCCACGACTGGACTCGGGCCGCGAGTGTATTATGTAGGTATCATAAATAAGATTAAGTATTTAGGTAATAATATGTATATACAGTAAATTTAAGCACCTATCTTCACACTTTGTAAGTTTAGTAAAGTTGTTGATGGCCAAATAAGCAAATAAAAGTTTCTGGTCGTAACCCACAAGGAGAGAGGATCATGGCACTTTAATTTGGGGTCCATTTGAATGATACCTTAAACTGGAAATCAAAAGGCTTAACAAAAAACGATCACAGCTCCCAACACTACTTTGAGGAGCAGGGTTAAAACTATTGCCCACTGTGATCTCGAAACTGTAATGTGCCTCGATACAAAGTGGCGGATCCAGATTTGCCGATAGGGGGGGGGGGGGGGGGGGGGGGGGGGGGGTGGGGGGGGGGGGGGGGGGGGGGGGGTGGGGGGGAGGTAGTGAGCATAATTTGTTTTCTTTTCGTATTTGACCCCGAAAATGTGAAAATCGAGCCGACCAATATCTCGCTCAGTGGGGGGGGGGGGGCGGATTGTGTGATCACTTACTTTAAAATAATATATATTTATAAAAAAATAAAAGATAAAAACACAGGGGGGGGGGGGGCGACGGACCCGTGGATCCGCGCCTGAGCCTAGTGCAGTCTTGAGATCACCTAGGAGCTATAGTTTTAACCGTGAAACGAACAATAAGCATTACATATTTGTTTTGTATACCATACCCTATTCCGTGTCAATTTTATCCCAAATAAATATGTTTAAAACAAGTTTGCCATCAAATTGTATTAGTAGAGTTGAAGAGAATTTACCCGTCTAAGATTAAGAGCATTGCGCGTATCTCACTTTCACTATCACTTTCACTCACTATCCATTGTTAACTTCACGTGCATCCAAATGCGTCGTAGCATTTTACGCGCAAGTATATACTATCAACACTTTTCCCCTCATCTGTCCAGCAGTCAGTAACCCCGGCCCCCCCACTCAGTGTTATTTAGGGTACGCATATGCTCGTACCCTTTTTTAGAAAGCACCCCCTATCTGAGGACTGCCAACATTTCCGAACCCCCCTTTCGCGGGCTTTTCGCGTGCTTTTCCTGCCTTGGAGACCCCCCTAAATAAGGAAAAATGCTCAATGTACCCCCCTAAATTCGGAATAATTTCTCAGGAGTCCAAAGAGATGAGAGAAAAAAAGAAAAACACCCCCTTTTTAAAGAAATCTCCGGGTGAAAAGTCAAATACACCCCTTTTTTTACAATTCTCGGGCCGGACTTTGTCGCACGAAAAGTACCCCTTTACCGGACATTTTGGCAACACGCATGCGGTCATTCCGACCTCTGAGTGGGGGGGGGGGGGGGGGGGGGGGGGTCAGTAACACATTTCTTTCCTGCAGTTTTGACCAATCAGAAGCCTAGAATTTTCATATGCGGTTTACAATGTGGGAGTTTTACCACGGAATAATTGTCGCAAGAGCATTCAATATTGTAAACAGGTATCAAGCCTGCGCTAGTTGCTGACGCAGCCCTCTTCACTTTTTGACGCCTCGTGTCGGTCGCGTGCACCAAGCAGAACGCCGGCGATCAGAGACCAACCTGTTTGTCGTACGTGAGTTTCAAGATGGGTCGATTGGTTAAAAGACCGGGATCAACACCGCCTAGGAGATCCCCGCCCTCGGGGTTTCCGTCGATGATGTTGTAGCCGATTCCGACGAAGTTACGGATGCCAGCCGGCGTAGACAGGGCATCGATGACGACCTCTTTATCACCTTCGAGCACTACATCGTCGAGCGGTTGTGCCGATATGGGTGTCGGAGTGATCGCCACGGCGATTGCGACGACGACAGTTGAAAAGAACCACGCATTCATCTTAAAAGTAACGTAAAATTGTAAATAAAGAAGTTTATTATCAATTACATTTTTATTCTAAAAAAAAAAATAAAATACTGAACATTTAAAAAGACTAGTGCATGCATTTAAGCTCTAGCACTCCGACACTATATACAATTATCACAATACGTTTGATTATATTCATATACTTTCCATTATATTGAACATGTTGTATCCATGCAGATAATTATATAGATCCTGGCAGGGGCGTACGCAGGGGGGGGGGGTTTGGGGGTTCAAACCCCCCCCCCTTTGGTATTTTTATGTGTGTAAACTCCCCTAAAAAAACCCAAACCCCCCCCCCCCCCCCCCCCCTTTGGGTTTTTTTTTTTTTTTTTAATTATTAAAAAAAAAAAAAAAAAAAAAAAAAAAAAAATTATACCCACGGTTAACCTAAAAAAGGTGACCTTACCCCCCCCCCCCCCCAACGAAGAAAAATGTCAAATTTTGAAATTTCGAGATCAAAAAAAAAAAAAAGTGTCCGCTTGCCCCCCCCCCCCCCGCCCCCCCCCCCCCCCCCCCCCCCCCCCCCCCCCCCCCCCCCCCCCCCCACTGAGCGACTTTTCGGCCGGCGCGAATTTCAAATTTTCGGGAGCAAACCCCCCCCCCCCCCCCCCCCCCCCTTGAAAAAATCCTGCGTACGCCCCTGGATCCTGGTGAGAGTAAATTTGATTAGACACATTTATCTAATGTTTGAGAATTTCTGCAAAGATAAAGCTTTATTCACAAATGAATTATCTATTGATAATAGCGAAAGAAGATTGTTTATTTTCATTTCATCACGGTGCATGAAGCTCAAAATTTTAGCAAGAAATTATCAAGATCACCAGTATAGTATTTTGAGTAGCTAAAAACATCAGTTTTTTAGAGCATACATATCAGTTAATTGAGATTTCATTTCGTTTTTTCCGAAATTCGGTACGATATATAGCCACAGCTAATAATGTTTGGATTCTATGAGACCAAAAAAAAACACCGAAAGAAAAAGAAAGAAAGTCAGCTGAGAAATGTGTTCGCAATTAGAAAAGCAAGTTCCTATGGAAACTACTGCTCCTAATGCAAGAATAGAAATCTCAAATCCGTATTAAGCCTGTAAGTCATTTGATATTTCTACATAAAACTTGTTAAGAGAGGAACGAATCTAAAAAAGCAAATTGAAGCAGTGTTTGGAACTTACCTTCCTCTTGCTTGCTTCTTCAAACGTCAGACGACAAATGGTTGAAATTGTACGAAACCGTATACTTAAACATATATAACTGCACTTGAGCAGAGGTATAGCCTGTATGTAGACATTAGGGGGAGGGGCACATATCAAAGGGAAGAGGCATCGGTCTTACTATATCGTTATCTCACTATATCAAGCGCATATAGGGAGATACATAATTATGTAATGTGTTGTGCGCTATACAAAAATGGTTTATCATTATAATTGTTATATGAATAAACTGCGAATTAATGGGCCATCGAATTGTTGGAAAGTGTGTGGGATGCAGACCTATCATCCTCTCTATCTTACATTATTCACTCCCTTAATTTAATTCTTTCTCCTTTTTTCGTTTTTCTCTCTCGATCCTATTTTCACCTTTCGATTGTGTGTGGGTTTTTGTTATTTTTGTTATTTTTTGTTATTTTTTTGGTTATTTTTTGTTTGTTTTTTGTTATTTTTTTGTTTGTTATTTGTTTGTTATTTGTTTGTTATTTTGTTATTTTTTTTTATTCTTATTTTTTTTATTTATTTATTTATTTATTTATTTATTTATTTATTTATTTTTTTTTTTTTTTTTTTTTTTTTGGGGGGGGCATATCCACTCCCCTCACCCCCATCCTCTTTGAGGCGTACGCCCTAGGGAAACATGGCGACAGGGTACAGGTGCAATCTCGATATCATTCATTTGCAAACATGAATATCGGGAACAAACGTATCAATTATTGCAATCCGATACCACTCACAGATAAGACCTCTGAATGATATTAGGGGCAGAAAGCACGTGCATACCCCAACAAAAATATCGTCTGCTGGGAACAGGCGCGTACACAGGGATTTTGGATTTGGATTTTTTTTTTGTGTTTAAACCCCCCATAACCCCCCTAAACCCCCCCCCCCCCCCCTTTGGATTTTCCCAAAAACTCCCATGGCTGACCTAAAAAAGCTGACCTTACCCCCCCCCCCCCCAACGGAGCAAAATGTCAATTTTTCAAATTTCGAGACCAAAAAAAAAAAAGTGTCCTCTTACCCCCCCCCCCCCCCCCCCCCCCCAAAAAAAAAAGTTGACTTGGGGTAATTAGCCTTTAATTCGACCCTATGTGTATAGATAGCATTGTTGATTGTTGATTACAATTACATATTTGGCTATCAACAGCACTCGAACATATGTCTATTTTCACTAACCTGAACTTTTTCAATTCGCATGTACGAATGCAACCAAGATTTTCAATAGTGGATTATTTCTTGTCGTGGAAAGGGTGCATGATTTTATGACGCTACAGACTATTTATCTTGGCTAATTTCAGTTCAATTAAATAACTGCTATGTAACATTATCTTATTAATGCATAACTTTGTTTTGTCATTGTGGAACAATTAGTTGTCAATGTATATTTTAAATGCTCTTTTTTGTAATGCATTTTATATGTCAAAGTTAGTCTGTATTAAAGCCGAGATCAAATTGAGTTGAATTATGGAAGTATGCCAATGAAGAGGGCCCTTGAAAAGTTCTCTATTTACAAGCTATGAATCGCACAATTAAAGTGATACACCCCTCCCATTGATTCTGCAACTGCTGATGAGTGGATAATCTAACTTAATGACTTTAAAACATAATAGTTGTAGAATTATTGTGGTGATATGCTGTTATAACTGTAAGAGCTTTGATCGGTTGTAAAGCGTTTTATGAGAAAGAGTTATAGTTATTATCATTCTAATGATTTAGGATGAATTGTCAATTACATCATACTTTTCTCTCTCTCTCTCTCTCTCTATCTCTCACTTCTCCTTCTTCTTCTTCTTCTCTCTATGCTTCAATCCATCTCCTTCAAACTCTTTTCACGCGCGCTCTCTTGCTTTTCATTTCTGCATTTCTTTATCTCAGTCGTGCTCTTTCTTTTTTTCTCTCTCTCTTCTTCACCCCATGTTTCAATCCATCCCACTCTCTCTGGCATGTCATCTCTTCCTACATCTTTCTCTTCCTCCCTCTTCTTATCTACATTCATATACCGGATATTTTGTATCCTTCATCCACCCCGCTCCACTCTCTCGCATTTTATCCGTTTTTCCTTTTCTTTATCACTCTCTCTCTCACCCCCACTGTTAGCTGTCTTGTTCTCTGCAACGCATCAAATTCATTTTAAGTATATCCATTTAATGACCATTTATTTGTTGTCAATAGGAATCGTTATGATCATGCATAAATACGAGGTGAATGTACAGAATCAATCCAATACGCAAGGTGACTGAAATTGTCCTAAAATTGATTGATTTTTGGTGAAAGTCTTTGCGATCTCATGTTCCTCACTTCTAAACCCTCTCTCTCTCTCTTGCTATCCTCCTCTCTTCCTCTTTCTCTCTCTCTTTCTTTCTTTCTATCTTTCCTTCCATATATTCCATTTGTAAAAGTACCCCATACCAAGTTTTCCTCTCATTCAAATTCATCTCACAACACGGTTCACTAATTTTTGTTTACTTAACGAAAGAATAAATATACATGAGATCTTGAGATATATGAAAACATGATTGTTAAGTCTGTATTTAGTAACATCAGTATAAATATACATGTATACAACTGTTCTAAAAGCTACTGAATATTATGTGTAAAACTATCTCTTGGGTTATAATTTCTGTTGTTATATCCTCTGATTTAGATATCTTTTTTTAGCACCGAATGAAAGAGAAACTCACTTGATTGCAGCTTTCACAATTTGGTAATGATTGTGCAGTCAAACCTGCTTTAGTGACCACCTGTCTACAAAGACCACATTCGTTATTTCCCTTGAAAATGGTTTCTCATTGACACATGTACTAAAGGAACCTGAACATAAAGACCACCTGCCTATAAAGATCACTCTTCTTGTCTCCCTTGGGTGGTCTTTTTAGACAGGTTTCACTGTATCTCTAGATGTAACATCATATCACGCATTAAAGCTTTTAACTCGGGTTCTGTTACTGGAATTTCATTTCAGTGAGACTTGGCTTAAAGTAGTTCAAAATACTTGTCAAGTCGTTGATGGCTGTTCAGACCAGCAGAATATAAAGAAAGCAACAAGAACTTCCTGGAAATCACATTTACTGAAAGGCACAACTCACATATAATCTTTCCAAGGCAAGAAGGTTTATATGAATTAACACTTTTTCACTCCCAACCGACGATTCAAGAACGTCAGTTGGGACAACTTTATGTGGTCTGTTAAGAGCCAGATTACTGTTAAAGGGAAATCCTACCTTAACATTAAACTACTCTAAAAGAGAGCAGAAAAATCTGAAAAACATATATGCGATTCACATAGATTTAATGGTCTCATATTTCAAACACTCTTAACTTCTTTCTGCTTTCATACCAATGAAGTTATTACAAGGGCAGGGTTGCCCTTTACCCTTTTTCTAAAGATAATGGATCAAGGCCCTTTTGGCTTCGAAACAGACAATGTATGTTTAAACATTTTGTTGTTTATTGCTCAGCTCCAATATCTATTCGACTCAAACTCTTTGGCACTTATTAATTAATATTAATATTAATTTCAAACATTCAGGTTTAGTTGGATTGATTTTGTGAGAATATATTTTCCATACCAACTAGAACTCGACATCAACTGATTTAGACCAACATGGGATTATGCATAATGCTTGCTATGTATGAAACTTAGATGACAAAAAAAATGTTACAGATATTTGATATATTCCACACACCATTGAAACCATCAAAAAGACTGAAGTGTAAATACATGTATGTCAAATACAAGGCAATGTTATTAAGAGGTTGTACAAGTCCTCCTGCGATAATTGCTCTGCATCAATTTCCTACACTAACCGAATTCTAACCTTCAATCCTGGATTCAACACTATATCTAAGACTAACCCTAAGTCCTAAACCTAAACCTAACTCTAAATCTAAACCTGAACCTAAACCCTTACCTAAAACTCACCCAATTGCAACCGTAACCTTATACCCTTTGACTAAAAAGAGCATGGAGAAATTGTTGCAGGAGCAAATGTAAAAATTTGTCAAATATGTTAAAAATGAAAATGTATGTTTGTTAAATTGGCAACAATTCTAACAAATATTTCAAGCAAATTTTCAGCCATTACCATCTCTTATGTAAATACTATTATTGATTATTTTTTCATCATAATTGTTATAAAAATTGGTAGAAACTTGCACTCGTATAGCTCAATTTTCTCGTTTGAAATAAATGTACACTACAAATTCAAAACAACAAGATACTTGCTTACAATATATTTTATCACCTGACGAAGTGTAGCAGCGGCACACGAAACATCGTGATCTTTTGATTCCTTGTTGACCATACATATGATTGCGAGACAAACGAATGTCACTAGCGATATTATTTTCGATACTATATCCGCAATGAGTAATATATTTAGCACAACAAGATACTTGCTCGAGTATAATTGAAGATTATTTTTGTGTACAAATCTAGATCATATTTTAAAACAAATAATGAATAACATAAATGTTACAGATTCTCAAAGGAAATTCAGAACTACCTGGATGGATTAATATGTAGATTTCAAGGGGATTCCTGTATTTATGAGACAAAAATGTATTTCAATAAGTTTATTTTCAGTTATCTGCAATAAAGCCAATATGCACAGGTTCCCTGCCATTACAAATGCACATGTACAGTTTGTGAACAATTTACTCAATAATTGAATATCTTGAATATCAATTCTGAAGCTACTAAACATACAGTACATGTTTACAACAATATTTTGATAAATTTAGTTGAATACATTACCATATTAAAGTCTTTGGCACTTTCAAAACTTAAAGCCTTGCCCAAATATGACAAGTAAAATGCCTAAATTACCACCAAGGAAATATATAAAAAAAACTTGTTATTTATAACATAATGGCAAGTGGGGGTGACATAGAATAAAATTCTTGTAACACAGCTCCACATTTTCATGTATATACCATAACATTTATATTATTCATTTTCCAGTATATATAATGCCCTATCTGTATGTTAAAGATACGGGTATGTAAAGCATATTATACTGATATCATTTGATTTGGTTGCAGTGGTTTTTACAGGCTGTTTCTTGAATCACAAGTGAACAAGGCTTTAAACATTGAAGCTTACAATGAACATCTACATACCATGTACAAGTAGTTATATTGAGCTGCCAGGAAAGGGTCTATATGCTCCCCAGGGAGTGGAGATTGTGCACAAACTGTGTGCGGGCAAGCACTGAATCCAATGACCGGGGTATTAGTATATCTGTAAGTGCTTAGAGACATTGTATTAAGCGCTATATAAAAGCGAAATATCATATTGTTATATGTTTATTGAGGTCCTTGCTCACAAACACGTATTTTCCGAAGGTATTTTGAGCCAGTTGAGTGAGGCATGTTGCTTAACTATGCTTTAAATAAGCTTATAATGTACATCTACATACCATGTATAAGAAGCTATATTTAGCTACCATGCAAGGGTCTATATGTTTATTGAGGTCCTTGTTCACAAATATGTATGTTTCCCCAAGATATTTTGAGCCAGTATATTGAGACATGTTGCTTAGCTAGGCTTTAAATAAGGTACATTGTAGCTTACAATCTACATACCATGTATAAGAAGTTCCATTGAGCTGCTTGGCAGTTTATTATATAACCGCATAAGAAAGCTCATGACCAATGTACCATGGAAAAGTAGCTCGATTGAGCTGTTAGGCAAGTGTCTATAAGTTTATTGAGGTCCTTATTCATGGTTCCACGAGGCAACTCTTTGGAGCATATCGGACAGACGACCTTCTACTCGACCTTTTTCTTGACCTTACCCTCCCCTGCTTTCTGAAACCATAATGAAGCTTATGACCAATGTACCATGGAAAAGTAGCTCTATTGAGCTGCAAGGCAAGTGTCTATATCTTTATTGAGGTCCTTATTCATGGTTCCACGAGGCAACTCTTTGGCGCATATCGGACAGACAACCTTTTTCTCGACCTTGCTCTCGACCTTACTCTCCCCTGCTTTTTGAAACCATAAGAAAGCTTATGACCTATGTACCATGGAAAAGTAGCTCTATTGAGCTGCAAGGCAAATGTCTATGTGTTTATTGAGGTCCTTATTCATGGTTCCACGAGGCAACTCTTTGGCGCATATCGGACAGACAACCTTTTTCTCGACCTTGCTCTCGACCTTACTCTCCCCTGCTTTTTGAAACCATAAGGAAGCTTATGACCTATGTACCATGGAAAAGTAGCTCTATTGAGCTGCAAGGCAAATGTCTATGTGTTTATTGAGGTCCTTATTCATGGTTCCAAGAGGCAGCTCTTTGGCGCATATCGGACAACCTTTTTCTCGACCTTCTTCTCGACCTTACTCTCCCCTGCTTTTTGAAACCATAAGGAAGCTTATGACCAATGTACCATGGAAAAGTAGCTCTATTGAGCTGCAAGGCAAGTGTCTATGTGTTTATTGAGGTCCTTATTCATGGTTCCAAGAGGCAGCTCTTTGGCGCATATCGGACAGACTACCTTTTTCTCGACCTTTTTCTCGACCTTACTCTCCCCTGCTTTCTGGAACGAGTTCAAGATGGACGGTTGTCTCTTGCACTTCTTCACAGGAGGCGAAGTGATGAGGCTGCTCCCCGGTGTCAACACGCTACCATTCTTAATGTCCTGCAAGGGTTTCTTGCCAGAGGGAGCAGCGAATTCCTTTGGTCCAGGGTCTCCCTGGGTGGATTCACTGCTGCTTGCATCTGAAACAGCATCGACATGCTTCCTCTTCTTACCGCTATTGTCTCTTTGACCATCATCATCTATAATGACTTCTATTGTTTTGGGGTTTGTTCCCTTTGTAACAGCAGGTTGTTCTTTGACCTTGAAATAGCTGGTGAGTGTGGGGGCAGGGGTCATGGCCTTGGAGACAAACTTGGGCTGGACGGGAGACTCATCCTCTGTGACTATGACCTTTGACACTGAGCTGAGGTCGGGAGCCGAGGATGCTTGGTGGTTGGATGGAGATGAGACAGCTGATGGACCAATTCCTAATTTCTAAAAAAATCAGAAAAAAATCAGGAAAATGATACAGATTAACATGATCATACACGATGAGTTCCCTTACCTCTCTCTCCATCTGTGTAGATGCTGCACGTAGTGCTTTTATGTGCCCCTCCCCCTAATGAAATGGGGGGGGGGGGGAGAAAGAAAGAGGGGGTAGAAGAGAAAGAGGAAGGGGGCAGCATGAACAAAGTGTGATAAAATGCACTCTCAATCCTTCCCTCACTCTATGAAGTTGTTCTCTTGCATTTCATCCACCTAATATTTCAAGTGCCGCCCCCCCCCCCCCACCCCAAGTGCAAGGCTAGACCCATGCTGTGCCACTGTTTTGAACAATAAAAGGAATGGAGATCTATTTTTTAATGATAAACAAAAACAAGGCAATTTTTTTTAAGAGCAAAATAACCTACTGAGAAGTGTAAGATATCATACACATGCACACACACACAATCAAAATGACATGCACTTGGCACACTGTCATTTCAAATAACCACAAGAGAACAGTGGAAAAAGCATGTCAGGATAACAGAAATCATCTTGCAACTTGCAACTTAATAATTATATTTGCTTATATAGCGCGAAACACTTTCTTTATCAGAAGTCTCTATAAAGCGCTCTACAATAATGCATACATGCCAACATTTGAAAATCAGAAATCTGTACAAATTATGCTATTTTCAAAAAAAAGAGGAACAATCCTAACTCTCCTATTCAATACTACAGAAAATTTGTACAGGAAGAGGAACACCTGCATTAAAATGATAATTATCTTCTCCCAAAAAGAGGAATGTTCCTCTTTAATCTGAACAGTTGGCATGTACGATAATGCAGCATAATTACCCTGGCTTTAGCAGTGCAGCTGCCATGCACGAGTCTGCGTTTCAAGGAATAAATTCCTACCAGGTCCCCATTTACTTCACCTGGGTGGAGTGTGGTAAACGTAGATCAATGGCTTACTTACGTTTTGAACTTTTTCTAGCACCCTCTTTTCTTTGAGATCCTCTTCAGCTACGGGAATGAGAATGCTGGGGTACCTCACGCCAATCACTCTCTTCCCGTTACTCAGCTGGACCCGAACTACTCGCATGCTACTCTCCGTCTTACTGTAAATGTGGAACATGGATTGAACATGTCATGAAGGTTAATCTTGAGTTCTGCTGCTGACTGAATATAAAAAACTTAGAATGAATGTTCAACACTACAAATGAACTCGTATTTCGGTAGATATGCAGTATGCACATTCACCTACACACACATGTGACTTGTGCCTTTTTTTACTTAACTTGATTTGAAGCACATTCTGATTAGACTTTGCTGGTCTAAACAACCAAGGTTCTGTATCACATTAACAATATGTAAGTTTGTAGCCTAAAATTTTAATGTTCATTCTGTAGTAACTGATCTAAATAAATTTATGTAGAATATGATAATTCATGGATCTAGTATCGAATTCCTATTTTTTTCTTCATGTGTGCAAACTAGGGACACCCATCATTAATCTTGACCTTTGAGGAGCCATGGTTCAGTGGTAGAGCAGTGGTCTCATAAACGAGAGGTCACAGGTTCCAAACCAAGTCGATGCACTAGTGCCCTTTGGAGAGGCAGTAATACTATTTAAACTATTGAACATGTTAAATAATTATACTAAGTTAGTCTAAAGTCTAAGTTATACTAAATCACTCATTACCAAGTCCCTCGGTGCTGACTTACAGCCGTCGGTCGCTTGGTTGCTCACATACAAGCGTACACATATTTTCTTTAACAGCAGTCAGGTAAAACAAACGAATAAAAAAATACTAACCTAGAATGGATAATAATAATAATAATAGTAATATGTCTTGTTTACCCAAGGTAGCCTCATCTGTGTTAATACTGTTCTCCCTGAGGGCCCTGCAATCATAGTATTACCCCTGCTTGGAACAAGTCCTACATACATGTACACATACCTGAGTTGAAGTCTTCCCGCGTGGTGTTGGAGCGTACATTCTAATGAGGTCATGAGGGTCAGGGTGCCTCCGCATATCAGATCCAACTGATACAGACGAGCACCAACTAAAAGAATGACAGAAGAGGAGAACGAATGAATGAAAAACAAATGGAGATGTAAACAAATTGATGAAGAAGGGAATACATGTAACTAATACAGACTAGCACCAATTGAAAGAATTCAATTCAATTATGTTCAAGTTTATTTTATATTTCCATATTTGGTTAAAAATAAAGAAATACAATCAATGTGTGTATATGTGAATGTATTACAAAGATTATTAAAAATATGTACTACTCATAATGTGGTGAGAATAAAAAAGGCCAACGAGTCTACCAAGGTAATTCCCAGATAAAATAAAATTACACAAAATGTTTATATATTTTTCTTATCACAAGGGAAAATATAAGGAAATTACACAATGACAGTATGACAGAATGACAGCAGAGGAGAATGAATGAAGGAGAGATAAGGAAGATGAAAAACAAATGGATATGTACACACATTGATGAGGAAAAGAGAATAACTAATACAGGCAAGCTCCAACTCAGGACAGAAGACACTGAAAGAAGGAGAGTTAACCCATTGCCTAAGGGTACTGGTTGGCTCCTGTATTAAAGCCCACAGGAATTAGAGAACTTGGTTGTCTATCGGTTAAAGGAAGATGGGAATATACATGGATATATACATATTCATATATTGATGAGGAAAAGAGAGTAAGAAAATATACTGAAAAAATGAAAAAAGACAAATCGTCCTTGTTTTCACGAAGTGACGGTAGTGAGGAAAATCATAACGCAAAGTGAATGCAATTTTTTTTCACTACCGTCACTTCGTGAAAACAGCGACGAAATGAAGCCAGGAAGATAAGAGAAATGAGACATTGAAACAAGAATTTCAAGTCAAAATTCAAACACTTGAAAGTTCAGTTATGATAATTTTTAAAAATCTGTCATAAATGACATCATCTAAAGAGCTGAAAAACTGACGGGAGGAACTAACCTCGACAGATCGATGCATTTTTACATCTCGGTCCATGAATACAATGATCCTTTGACCTTTCGTAGTAGTCTTTCCATGGTACTTCTGCAAAAGGGAAGAAAACATTGACATTCAAAGAATACTGGAAAGTTGGCAACAGGTTATGTCGCAACAATCACTTACATCTAAATCTATGATAGGGACTGTAATAATATGGTGTGTACAACACACATGTATTGTAAGAGTTGTATGAGAAATACATGTAGATTTCCATATGGAAATACAATTGTGACCTTCACAAACACCATACATGACATTAAAGCCTATCTGCACTAGTTTGGCCAGGAAAAGATTAGACCTCCCTGCATGGTCACTGACAGATGGTTATCTCGTCAAATCAGCTCTCGATTAACATAAGAAAAGGAGGACCATGTGGGGGACCAATGGTCACCGATTGGGCATTGTTTGCTATATAGAGGGCGCAAGTAGCTATAAATAGTGCTGGGGGGCTTAAAGATAAGTTGAGTTCTGGTCATGCGATTGCACAGTGAAAGAAACAGTGTGGAATCGATGAGAAAAGGTTGATCATCTAGCATAGTATTGGTGTTTACTGCAAGGTTCTGGGATCATCAAAATGATAATAAATTTGACCCAGTCTTGGTAAAGTTACAAGCACTGTACACAGAAAGATGTATATTTAGAATATTAAGACATTTGAAGAGCCATGCTTTACAGGGAAAAATTTAATCTGATGTTCTCCCTCACTTGCATAATAACAATGATAACGCCCACAAATTATTTTTCACCTCTTCCCAGAAGTCAACCTTCTCTTTAAATCAATTTGTGTGGAATAAGTGATATACTCGAATTTCACTAACAAGGTAAAGATGGATGAACTTACCAGCATCCTCTCGGCATACTGGCTGGTACCTCAACAACAGTTCTGAAAAATCCTCATCAAACCCTGACACACCGGTATTGGGTCTACCAATGAAAGCAATAATCAGAGAAAGATATTAATGGAGTTGACAAGCAAAAGACCCCATATAGAGGTGTCGTGGTCGTGTTGATACGTCACCGGACTGTGGATCACAAGGTCTGCGGTTCAAGTCCAGCCGCTAAAGATTCTCCTGTACATTAGGAATACTCAACAGAACGGGAATCTTCAATCAGACAGCCTGAAAAAGCCAGTAGAAACTGGTGAAACGTCCTGGAGAAACAAGTTGAACTATACTTCATGTAACTGATTTATATACGGTAACTTTATATAAATTTCTACCATATTGTATGAATCATAACCTTCATAAAACTATGGTACTCAACAATATTTCTTTTAATGATCAGAATCAGTTTTTATCAAGTAATTGTATTATTAATAATAATAATAATAATATTCCGCTTTTATAAAGCGCCCAATACATCGATACAACGAAGTGCCTAAGCGCTTTACAGATATATTATTACCCCCGTCATCGGATTCAGGCTTACCCGCACACAGTGTATGCACACTTTCCACTCCCCGGGGAGCATTCAGGACCTTACCTACAAATCTTGTAGAAGTGGGTAGAGTTCTGTTTCTTTGTGGCCAGCAGGTACATGTATCCGCCAAACTGTTCCCTCTTGGAGCGATAGAAACCATCGTGCTTGCCCTGGAAGTTATCTGCTCTCTTGATGGCTCCCTCCCAGCTCATTCCACGATCCACCTCCAAGGAAACGTGACTAGGTTTAAATGAGAACGAGACAAAAGAGAAGGGCTATAAGTAGTGCAGGGGTTGGATAGATTTTATCTGCTCTCTCGATGGCTCCCTCCCAGCTCATTCCACGATCCACCTCCAAGGAAACGTGACTGTTTAAATGAGAATAATAATAATGATAATAATACATCTCGGACGTCTCTAAGCACTTTACAGATATACTATTACCCTGGTCATTGGGTTCAGTGCTTGCCCGCACACACTGTGTGCACAATCTCCACTCCCTGGGGAGCATTGCAGCCAGGCGTTACTTGAGGCTCAAAAACTGTTTGACCAACGGCAATGGTCGCATCCTACCGGGTACCCATTTTCACACCTGGGTGGAGAGTAGCAAGTGTAGGTTAATATCTTGCCAAAGGATATTAGTGCCGTGTCTGGATTTGAACCCTCAACCTTCGCATCTCCAGTCAAGCGCCTTAAACCACTTGGCCACGACACTCCTATGAGTGAGAAGTGAGAAGGGCTATAAATAGTGCAGGGGGATAGATTGGTTTAATGGTAGTGGGAATTTGGCTTAAAGCAGTGGTTCTGAACTTCCTAGAGAAAAAAAAATGTGTGGTTGGTTCCTATCACATTAGTGACAGATAAAAATTACATTCAGAATGACAGATGATGATTTTACTCTAGCTGGGCTGGACAGATATATTTTGGAACTTATGACACTTAAAATCATTACCAACTACAGAAATCATACATTATCTTTAACGGTGATGATATATCTTAATTCATGTGGAATTTTCAAAAAAAAAGACTTGATGATTTGGTACTTTGGTAATATCTCCCTTTTTTGTATCTTAACAAAACCTGGGCCCTATTGAGTAGAACTTACTCCTAATGGGAACTTAGCCATCCATATTAACTTCCATGATGACGATACTCAACAGCAAATCAAATCAATGTTACCATGGAAGTTCCTGTTAATGGCAAAAATACCATCAATGCTTTAGAAATTTTATGTATCAGACGTTTTCAAATTTCCATGACTTTTCCACGTTTTCCAGGACCACGAGAGCATACGATATCTAGGAATAAAATAAAAGCCATGGGGATGAACATCAGATGAAATGCATACCTAACGGGAGTGCTTGTTTTGGCATCTGTAAACATCACACGAGGGCTCCCTACCATCTCAATGCTCGATGCCATGATGTCGACCAGTCCCTCGTTATATCTACAATGCAAATATTGTTTATTCATTTGAATATGGTAATGTTAATTTTGATCTTACTCATTTACTTTCACCATAAAAAAGTGAATATTTCATTTCACCAGCATTGTCAAAACTATACAATTACATAAATAGAAGAAGAAAAAAATAATCTGTTGTAAGCACAAAGATTTTTTTATACAAATGGTATCATGGCGTCTACATTCGAAACACTAATGTTTGTCATGCACTTCGCTAGACATTCTATGTTTTCCTAAGTTCTCTTGCTACTACATACTTTTTCTTCTTCTTTTCATTCATCTTACCTTTCATCTTCTCATCATCAATCCTTAACCCACTGAATACTGACTTCCCAGAAGATCTACTGCAGAAGCCTATCATTTCCCAGGCAATAGATTGCTATATAACATGTACTACATGTACTTCACATATGTAGAATTGCTAGCTTGCTAGGTGCCTCGACTGTTCCAGACATTGTCAATCTAGGCTTTCCATCTACTTCTATCTTTTTATGATGTTCTTTGTTATGTGATGTTACTTCTTCTGTTTACCAGTCAGCCCCATGAACTTATCCATGTATTTAACGCCATGCATCCCTTTGCTTCTCTTTACCTCAATATTTCCTCTCAGTATCCTATTTTCTGTGCTTTCTCTTCTCATAATATACCCAACAAACTGAAGTTGCTTTTTCCTTATGATGTTAAGGAGGGATCTATCGACACATGCCTTATTTAAAACTTCTTTGTTTGATATCCTTTGGGTCCAAGGTATCCTAAGTGAATTTAGAATATATTGTTGACTTTAACTTCATCAAATTAAACAATGGATATTTGCTGATTGTAAAAGTGAAACAAGAGTTTAACGAAACATATAAAAAGCAGCTGTCTAATTAACAACTCACTTCCCTTCCTTTCGTGCTGCTGCAATGGCTGCTTGGAGAGACCCAAAGAAATAGGTGAAGATCTAGAAATCAATGGGAAAAACAAATATAAGTATGTCTCTTTATAATTGAACAGAGTACCTAGGGGATGTTTCATAAAGCTGTGTGTAAAGTTACGAATGACTTTACAAATGATTTGAATATGAAGAGCCAAATGAGCCCAAAGTTTTTCCATACATTTTAAAATAAGTGTGACTGTATTTCCCATGATCTCAATTAAATTGTAGCCAAAAATACATTTTGCATTAAAATATTTTGTTAATAATGACAAGGTTAATCTACATCTGCATATTTCAACTTCAGCTTATGCAATTAAGAGGATTTGAGAATCCCATTTAGCTCTTCATATTCAAGTCATTCGTAAAATTCATGCGTAACTTTGCGCACAGTTTCATGAAACCGAGAACCTGATAGGATTTGAATGTTATTTTTGTTTGACTACCATGTGCTTGACTTGCTGGATGGCTCTCTAGAGAAGTGGAGATGGTGCACACTGTGTTCGACGATGATGATGATCAATGATTGTTTTACCTCACTGCTAGGAAAGTATTTATATTTATACAATCAGAGCACCGACAGCTTTAAGTCCTCTCCGAGAGATTTGGTAATGAGGATTAAAGCCTTACCAGAGGACACAAGCGTATTGTCCTTTGGCAAGACATTAATCTACATTTGCCATACTCCACCCAGGTGAGGTAAATGGGTACTTGGTAGGAAGAAATTCCTTGAATGCTTGAGCACCTTTTCATGGTAGCTCGGTTAAAGCCGGGATAATGGTATGATTGCAGAGCCCTCAGGGAGAACATAATGATACTGATGAGGCTACCCTGCATAAACAAGACATATTATTATTATTGATTTGGTTTTGAACCTGGGATTGCTCGGTTACGAGACCACTGCTCTTCCGCTGAGCCGTCTCGCCTCCCGTCTCCAGAACAGCAACTGATTCCAAAGTCTGAAGTAGTTATAATTAGAGGTAAAGCCCAGTAACAGACTCATGGTATTAAGCTCTACACCAATGCAAATTTCATTATCAGGTATTATATTTTCATTAATTCAACTATTACAGGGAAAGTCCACCCATATATTACCTTGGTTTTTGATAAAGCATAAATATGTGAGAAACAAATTAGCGAAAGGTTGAGCAATATCTGATTAAAAATAGGAAAAGTTATGAATTTTTGAAGTGGTCATATGATCAGTGAAACACAAACACATAATTACACTTTAAAGGAAGGAGGTGGAGACTACATTTGAGGGGTTGGAGTTCCTGGTCCCGGTCCCTGGTCTTACCATGTTCTGTCTTGCCACGGTCAGTCCTAGGATCCGATTGAGAAACTTGCCCACGCCACTCTGATCCTTATCCTGGATAACAAGACTGGTGTCAATCAAACTGGCAACGCCCATCTGGACTAGGCAATCCTGGAAGATAAGAACCAAAAAGATGTGGGGAATGATGCAGGGAATGTCTGGTGAATACAACAAATCGTTGGCCGGGTGGCGGAAGGGCGTTAGCGCGCAAGTGACTCAATTTATTATCGCATTTAAAGATTTGTTTTATATTTAAACTGCTTTCCGTCTCGAAAATTGGTTTGAAACATAAAAGACTAATAGAAATGTTGTAGTAGAACACGGCCACAATTTTTTTCTCGGAAATATGTCAGTTTTATAAAAGTTTGAGGCGATTTAGTGCCAACGCCCCTCTGCTTAAAGTTTCATTATTAAACTGAAATTCGAGCCAACGCCCTTCTGCCAGCCAGGCGACGAAAAACAGTCAGGCTTCTAGGCAAGACAAAGTTTACCCTTGGTGCAAAATTGGTAATGGGAATATATGATCTTCTTGTTCAATACCTTTATCAGTTCATGATATTCTCTCGGTCTTCTTACAATCATCCCTACTTCTCTGTTCTTCACCTCACATCAACTTTCTCTCTATATCCTTCCCCTTCTGCTGACTCATTCCCTTCTCTCCCCACCTCGATCAACTGTCCCTTCTTCCTCCATTCAACCTCTTTCTTAGTGCTCATGCTATGGGTAATTTTGCTTTTTAACGTCTAAGATGTCAACGTCTATGTATATTCATCACTTACGTATTCCGAAAATGATGATTTTGGTTGTTCATATATGAATTTTTATTGCTTGTAAAGAATCCCATGTAAATTTTTGATGTATTTTTCTAGTACAAATTAAATTGAATTGAAATGAATTGAATTAAATTGAAATGAAATTGATAGAAATGTTATCATGCAGCATCCCAGGGCCAGGGGTGATTTGTGAGGATCTTTAAGAGCAAAGTTACAATTTGAAAACATGCAGTGACATCAGGTGAAGTATCCGAGACACTTTTCATGGTGGAGATACTGTATTGGAGGTAGGTACAGTTTTCAGGGTTACACCATGTAATTCTTTCAAGATAAGAGCCCTGAAAAGGGCTGGTGAGCACCACAAAAAACGCTCTTGGCCCAATCTCTCTGCCAGTGTGTTAGTTTGATATTTCAAGATGCATTCCTCATCTGCTATAGCTGCCCTTGGATTTCCACAGGTTTCAATAGTTTATTATACTCGTCAGTGCACTTGTCAGGGAGAATTTGAAGTTCATAAAATCAGAGTTTTACATTTATTCTAAAGGTAATAAAATTATTTTTGTTAATATACCCCCCCCCCCCCCCTCAATGCAACCTTCTTGTTATCATCAATATCTTAAGTGATCTTTTGATAACAAATATGTTGGTGAAATCCCCAATGTCTGGTGTAAGCAACAGGGTGCAATGGTGAAAAACATTCATGCAACATTGACTAAATTTAGCCCTTCCAGCTGGGCTCTCAATATCAACATGTATGGTAGAATAGATTATTGACAGTCACTATCCTGAGGTGTTTTACTCTGTATAGAAGGTGTAATATGCAGTTGTTCTTTCATTTCAAAATTGGCCCCTATTTGCAGGGGGAAAAAAGGAGAGAAAAATGCAGAAAACAAAACACAAGAAATTAACAAAGAACTGGTAACCTGAACCTACCCTCATATGATCATTGAAGGAAGAAAACTCCACCAATCCTTTGGTCATGAGATTTAATGGTACGCCTCCCACCAGCTCTCTCTGTCAAGGAAACATAACATGAGATTTTAATTAGGAGATTGAGCATGCCATCTTTATTTACTGGGTGGAAGCCAAAACATTTCTTTACAAATGAAAATTTGCTCACTAATAAGTGAATGGTATGATTCCAATTGCATATCAGCTTAAAGAGGATTAATTTATGTTTATTTTGATATATGAAAGAAAAGGTTAAACTAAATATTCACGTTAACATCTTGATCATTAACAGTGTACACTTTTTGTTGTTGTTGCTGAGTGTAGTTTATTTACCTTGCTGATTGCCTGATACATTGTGCGGAGTGCTGAACGACCGTAAGGCGTGTCAAAGTTGAACTGGGTCAGGTCAGCCCCAGTAGCTGCACGTCTGTCTCCCTGGGTCAGAGCACCTAGAAAAAAAAGGGGTAAAAATAATGATAAAAAGAAATGCATGATATTCATAATCACTTGTACAGCACTGATCACATTATGATTATAATGCTTCCAAACAGGTTTTTGATGTCGTTACCCTACAGTAGCTTCAGCTCTAGAAGCTTCTTTCATCGCACAGCGCATTTTGAAGAATCAATCCTGCCGGCGATTAAACACCAGGGGGGTGTTTCACAAAGATCCTAAGTCAAACGTAACTCTTAGTTGGAATTGAACATTATGGAGAGCCATTTGGAGCCTTAAAATACAATATATTCAAAAGCAATAATTCAAGTATTTTAGAATTTTCATAAATTCCACATCAAGAACATGAAATCTCCTTGATAATAGAAAATATGAATGATCTGAATCAACATCTTATGCCTTTTAAAATAACTTGTACAAAATATTTTCAAAGATGCTAACAGCTCTCGATAATTGTTAAGTCCAACTTAGAGTTAAGTTCGACTTAAAATCTTTGTGAAACACTCCCCTGGGTGGAAGGAGAGAGAACTGACATCTCCAGAGTTTTGAACCCTCTACCTTTTCATTGAGAGTCAAGTAGTTAACAACCAAACCATACCACTTCCATACAATATCATTGAAAAACATTTACCTAAGGATTGTAGCCTTCTGGCGACAGCTGATGCGAATCTCCTCTCTCCTCCAAGGTTAGTTGTTAAGAGCTTGTACAACGGTCCACTACAATAGATTGAAATAAAAAGAAGGAAAAACATGAGGAAAGCTTACTTTACCTCTTTTCATTCACAGCAATAGTGCAGTGGAGATACATTGTGTATCTTCATGATAATTCTAAAATGAAATCTGTCAAGCACCTTTTCTGACATTAGTGTTAAAGGAATGTCCTGCCTAAGTATGGAAATGTTTAAAATGTTTGCAACTTTGTTTGGTCTAATAACCCAAAAAGGGGGAATACGTGTGCATTGTAAATTTCTACCAGAGGGGGAATTTCTTTAGTCTTGACTTGCCCTTGAATTGTGTCGTCTTTTGAAAAGTAAGAACTTGATCTTGACATGAATCAAGCTAAGTAAAATCTGAACATAATTAAGATAATGCAATTGACTTCAAATTGATTACTTGAAAGTCTATACAATTGTGTTCTTATTGGATCCATCACAGATCGATAAAACTTCAGTTGTCTAAAGCTTGTACAGTGGCCGACTACAACTAACAAATAATACTAAGAACTGAAAAGGGCGGAGTACAGGTACATTTAACATGTTGTCCAATGAAAGATGTTCAAAGACAGATTTAACAAAGAAAGAAAGGGTAAAGACTGGATACATAACGATTGAAATTCTATACATTGTTTAGATCAGGGCCATGTTTAAAAACAGCTATTTATCAATAAATAAGTTACAATAACTGTTATAAGCTACTGAAAATGATGCATTTGAATGGCTGAGAGCATATTCGTTATAGGAATGTGACACTTGTTGTTGATAACAAGATTCATGAAACGGGCGCCCAGGTCCAATGGTCAGGTGAAGCATCAGAGATTCTTGTGCGGTGTGGTTATTCAGCCGTTATTAATAATAAATATAATATAGAATATTTAGGAGCGCTAAAAACACCATAGTACCATAGCGCTTTTATACAAATATATGAAAAGAGGACAAAAATATACAGTCTTACAGGAAGTAGATCACATGAATCACTGGGGAAAAAGGTGAGTTTTGAGGGATCTTTTGAAGGTGGCAAGACAGGTAATTTTCCTTGTGGAAAGAGGGATGCTGTTCCAAGTCCCTTCCATACCTGCTTTCGTTTGAGCGATGCGATCTTCCCATTTGCTGGACCGCCTTGTCAGCTGACCAGGGTAGCTCTATGGTCAGGTGGACCCTTCTCCTCTGGTTTGGTACCCTGGTGTCCGCGTGCAGGGAGATACCGGTGCTCGCTGCATCCGAGATGATGGCTACTAGCTTGTGGCCGTTCATGAAGTGATTCCTCTATAAAAAGATGATCATGTCGAAAGACGTAACTCTATATTTTGCCAAAATGAGTATTTGATATTAAAATGTTCAGAAAAATGTGGGCTTTCCAGGAAACACAAAGACTGAACTCCACCCAACACCCCATTGAAGTCAATGGCTAGTGAAACATAGACTAAACTCCTCAAGGCCCAAGTGCTCAGTGTCACATACATGTAAACCACTTTTTCTCAAAAATACAGATATATTATTACCCCGGTCATCGGATTCAGGCTTACCCGCACACAATGTATGCATATTTTCCACTCCCTGGGGCGCAGTTCGGCCAGGCACCATTTTAAAGATGCTCACAATGCTGAGCAAACTAAATTTACTTGATAAACCCTCACTATGAACATTATACTGACAAAGAAAGCAGACAAAATATACAGTTCCTCAGGTACACAAAGGAACATCACTTCACAGCCATTACCGGTATGTAAAAATGTGTAGAACAGGTGTCACATGCATATTCACCTTTTTACATAATAGCAGTGAAGGGATGTTCCTTTGTCTACCTAAGGAACTGTATATTTTGTACGCTTTCTTTGTCAGTCATGTTCATAGTGCCTATAGTCTGTTGACCCTCAACCTTACCTCTTGAACGTTGAGACTGTCCACGTCTCCCGCTTCACCCGACCTCAGAACATACTGGACAGCGGATCCCCCTGGGTCAACTCTGACCACTCGACCTTTCCTGCCGGTCATCTCAGCAACACAGCTTGGACCACCAAGCTGGTCTATAATGTCATCAAGAGGACTGCAATAGAATACATAAATGTGGATCCAGTTAGGCCTTGTTTGACACTTTGCCTACTGGAACAGGGTGTCTACTGTATTAAGCCTATGGGAAGGAATTATTTCAGTAGTCAAGGGGGTATCAGAGACAGGGAGCTACATTTACATTGCACAAACCCACTTGCCTGATATGCCAGGGCAACCAAACTTGACAGATGGGCAACTAAATGCATGAATATAAGAGCCCAATGGGGGCAATGGGGCAAGTTGACTATGAATCTAAAGGCACAACATTCCTTTGAATGGAAGAAAAACAAATACTATGTTTGTGCAGATGGGTAACTAAATGCATACATGCAAGCACCTGATGGGGCCAACAGGGCAAGTTGACTATGAAATTGAAGGTACAACATACCTTTATATGGAGAAAAAAAATCATAAACCTACAGAATGTCTGTTAATCGATACTGATCTAATCTTTGAAAACCAAGAGACAACTTTAGTTCGTTAAAGGAAATCCCTCTGATGATAAAGATAGAACAAGTGAATTTGATGCAATATCATGATTTCGTTGTCTATTTAGACAATTAGAAACAAATTGTTTGGCAGCACCCAGTCCTGGAGTCTACTGATGCATTTAAGGCCAAACTTCAACCCCTAAATCCAAATAAATTACTGTAATTATGTACAAAATTAAGAAGACAATTAATTCATAAAATGAAAATAAGGAAGTGATCTCAAAATGATATTGCACGTTCAATTACACGTAGATATAGAACAGAACACTTCAAATGACTTGAGCACAGTACATCAATATACAACTTGATGTCGAAGGACCAATATTTTTTGAAGTTTTCCAATGAGATTCTTGGAGAAAGGAAAATGATTTATAATTCTTACCTATTCGGCATATCAATCTTCTTGACAAATCCTAGTAACAATTCCTTGGCTTGACTGCACCACTCATCTACCTCAGGCTCTAAGCCAGTCTGCAAGAAGGAAAAGATAATTGCAAATTATATGAAAACAAATTTTGATTCTTTCCATTCACAGTTACTTGTCGTTAAGAGACTTAAGAGAAAGTTTGCATTATCTTCATCCAGAATGCTATAAATTACACAAAATATATCAGCAGAAGAAGCAAAAGTGACAGAAAAACAATCAAACTGGAGTCTATTTCTGTTGCAGTCTGATGAATAAGAACAATTAAAAAAAAATAAGAAGTAAAGTCTCTAAATTGGCGATTACAATTATGATTTACATTCTCTTTTTTCACAAATACAAAATTGCAATCAATGTTTTGATGCAATCTTAAAGGCCAAATGAGACATGAAATCATATTTACAATTCATACTCTATTCAAATATGAGGAAAAAAATGGAGGTCTCTGTGCATCCCAAATAGCTATAATGGATTTTGTATCTATGTTTTTGCCCATAAATGCTATGTATTACAAGAGCTCGCGCGCACAGACATTCATCTGGAACGGACGCTCAATCCGTTATTAATGGTCATAAAGAGATATCAATTATCATTCACATATAAAGGTTTATTAAATTCATATTCTGATTAAAATGCAAGAGGGATGAATGTTGCCAACTTGAGACAGCAGAGCAGAGTCGTCTCGATCTGTAAACAATTCCAAATTGCAAAGGACTTACTGGATGTACGATAGAGGTCGGAAAATGTTGCTGGATGAACCGGTTCAAGATTTCTCTTGCTACAGACACAAAACCAGGCAGAGTGGTATCGTACTTTGTCATCTCACTCTCAAGGCTTGCCTGAAATAAGGTCACAAGAGAAATGAGATCAGTCTTTTAATAGTGAAAAGATGATCAGCGTTAATACTAATTTATCTTTTTCCCGATGATGTACAGTACGACAGTAGTGTGTAGAACACTGCTTGAATGTAGACATCTTGACATATCAACAATAACAAAACTCTCACGAAAGATTACCGAGAGTCTTTTTTAGGACTCCTCAATCCTCCCTCTCTCTCACATGGTGCACCCACAAGCCTCCTGTATAACAAAACTCTCTAGTGTTATATTCCCTCCTCTCCTCTCATAATCTCTTTGGTTTTTGTCTCTAACATTTACATCCTTTCATTTTTCATTCTTTCTTCCTCTGCTTCTCATAAATAAAGGACTGGACCAGTTGGAGAGAAGATATTCTCTTTACCTTCTTTTTGTTCAGGCACTGAATTAGAATGGGTGTTTTCCTAAAGGTGTTTTGTGAAGATGTTTAAAAATTGAAATTTCTGTCTTAAGGCACTAGATTATTTCACTTGTTCTTTTTACAATGTTCAACCTTCATTTCCTGGCATTTAACACTAACTGTGGATTATGATGCATGAAACAAACACATTTTTTTGTTTTAATGGCATGACGATGTTACTTGATAAAATTCACAGAAATTTAATCTGAATTGGTGTACCCGGTATATGATAGTCTGGTTTTACAACATATCCTACAGCAACCATCGCTCCGCAGTCAATTTCTACACTGACCAATGTCAAACCTTCAGCCCTGACCTTAACCCTAACCTTAAAACATTAAATAAACCCTGTCCTGAACCATGAGTCTTTAAAATCAAAGCCTGGAGCAATAAGCGAGTTTGTAAATAGCTGTGGACCGCATGACCCCAAAATATCCACAGATCTTTTACACGATGGACACTTCCCACATGTGCATTTTAGAATAATCACTGCTGAAGTGATGGAGTTGCTTCATGAATACCTTTTGTTTGCCTCTTGAGAAGAATACTTCCACCTGTGTATCAGATAAATGTACTGTTGGTACATAAATGATATTCGTCTCAATGGTTTTACCCTGACCTTGATCTGCCCATGCGCAAATCCTAATTACGAACTCGCTTATTGACCGGTTTACTAACATATTCAAATTTATGGATGTTTCTTCCCTGGGGACCTGGTGACGAGTTATTCCTTCAACCTGTTGTTAATGAATGAACTACAAAACTTAGAATCCAATCTGTATACATTACTTGTTGCTATGTTGGGCAAGCTTTGGACAATGTAGTCAAGAACAACCTTTGTTTAAAAAGTATGCAAACATTTTAATATGCTAGTAAGCCGGTCTATTGTCACATGAGCAAAAGATAATCTCGAGTCTACAATTCCAAATAATATGATCCTAATTTTGAAATACCTCGCCGGTCGTTTGAAGTCCAATAACGACACATTTCCCTTCTGCTAATGATGTCTTGGCTTCTTGAACAATGGTAGGGACCTTTACGCCAAGACTGTCAAAACAAAAACATTTAAAATGGCAATTAAAATCAAATAAAGAGACAGGAAATTCTAGTAACAGGTTAAAACTTGTGACTTACATTGTCTGAAATATTAGATCATTAAACGTTTACTTATGAACCACGTTTGAAATGCTAAAAGTTTGACGCAAACTCTGCAAACCAAAGACAACCTACTATATGTATAAAGATCACTGTGACAATATTTGTTTCTCTTGAAATGTGTATGACTCCTGTACCTACATTGTAAGTAACAAAATTACTTCCTGAAAAGATGGCATATGTTGTCTCCCCCTGAGAGGTCTTTATAAAAAGATTTGACTGTACATTATAATAATTTTACTACCATTCATGTTTATGATTCTTTGGGGTTTCTGATAATTTTTCTCTCCATCTAAAAGTTTTGAAATATGTCACAGGTAAAAGAAGCTAAAAAGACAGGCTCGCTGGTCCAACTCACCAAAGCTGTTTGAAAAACCTCTGATGGCAAGACCAAAACATAGACCAGATCCTGCCAGGAGCTGTGTTGGTCCTGCCCAGGGCTACCTCCAAAGATCTCTGTACCTCAGCCCTAGACAAAACCAAACATTTGTATTCATAAGAACTAAGAACTTTTAAGAAGCAATAAGCCGATACATTCACAAATTGAGGCTTCCGGTATTACACACCATTTTGTAGCCTTACTGAAAAGGCTGTTGTTATAATCTTTCTTCAAAAGAACCTGCTTATGGGGCGTAGAGAGGAATGGAGGAAGAAGTATAAAAGAAAGGGAAAGAAAGGAACAGATGATAATGGAATGAAGCTGATACTTAGAGTGTAAGTAGATCTATTTGTCATCAAAGTTTTTAATGTGATACAGTGAAAAAAATACACAGGGGGGTCAGGGCGAAATAGCCCCCAAAATGCCCAAAAGCCGCCGAAAATCAGAAAAGAGCCCCCTTAAATTTGCATAGAGTTCAATGCAAAACAAATTTTAGAATGTTATTTTCATGCAGGCGAGGTTGAAAAGTACCGGTAGCCCCCCCCCCCCCCCCCAATTTTTTCCCTGATGTGATATTCAGGGGACAAAATATCAAATATGTTATATCTTTTCGTACAAGTAAGCCATTATCCCTCCACTGACGATTACAACCCTTCTCCCTCCCCCCCCCCCCACCCTTCTCCCTCTTCCTCACTTTCCTTATCATATAAGCAATCATTCATATACATCTAGCACATAGCATATTTGATATCCAAAAATAAATACCTCAAACATTCCTGATACCTTATTTTACCGGCATATTTGTGATGGAGGCATTCCATAACAGCAAATATCAGTTTTCATGCAGTAATAGAAGTTACAAGCCTCAAAGAAAATACACATTCTAATATGCTACCTCTAATAGCACTACCCACCATACATGCGTTGTCATGTCGTACATCTTGACCTGTTCCTCGGTCAATGACGTTTCCACGGTTTCAAACTCCGCCTCCTGGAAGCTCAGGCCACGAGAGACGTACATGCCAGATGCTTTCATTTCCATAGCCAACATCTCCGCGGCACCTTTAAAGAAAACAAGAATCCTATCAATAAATGTGATTATCACCAAGACTACCACTACAGCCAGCACCAAAACACAGCAACAAAGGCCACCACCAAGTTTTTGAACAATTTCAGCATTTATCTTTCAAGAGTAAAATTTTGAGGTACAATCCTTTGTTTTGCTGTCAAATGGGTACCAAATATCTTGGAAGGGAAAAAAGTTTACAGAGAGAAACTTTTTTCTGTTCAGAAGGATAAATATTGCCATCCTCTGTCCAAATGAAAAGGGAACCTTAATTACAAGCATAATGCTTCCACGGTTTCCGCCTCATTACTGCACATTATTGTTAGCATCATTTGTATTTAATGACTCGCCATTAAATCGTTTTTAATACTGTTGTATCAATCGAATGTTATGTACATGTTTTGTTACCTTGTATATGCCTTACTTTATAAATTCTTTTCATATGCAGTTAATGTGGAAATAAAACCTAAATAAAAAAATAAAAAAATAAATAAATATACAGGTGTATCGTTCAACCTTTGTATTCTTGGAAGGGATTGGCCACTCATTGCACAGAAGGGGTCAACAATCAGGTATATTGTCGTTTGGTCTACAACCATTTCTTCTACTACCCTACTGTTCTAGTCCCATATAGTCTAATAACCATTTAATCATAAATAGTAATAATCTTAAAATGATTATTAGACCTGGGGGGTGTTTCATACAGCAGCTCGTAAAGTTACGCATGACTTTACGAACGACTTACGTATGAAAAGCCAAATGGGATGCTCAATCCTTATTAACTGCATCAACCAAAGTTGAACTGTGCAGATGTAGATTAACATTCTAATCATACAAACATTTTTAATGCAAAGTATATTTTTTGGCCATAATTTAATTGAGGTTATTGGAAATATAGTCACACTTTGATAAAACATCAGGAATAACTTTGGGCATCTTATAAGGCACTTCATATACAAGTCGTTCGTAAAGTCATGCGTAACTTTACGAACAGCTTTATGACACACCCCCCTGTGTAGTAGACAAAATGGGTATTATCCATGTGGATAGTAATTTAATTGAGGTTATTGGAAATATAGTCACACTTTGTTAAAACATCAGGAAAAACTTTGGGCATCTTATCCGCGACTTCATATACAAGTCGTTCGTAAAGTCATGCGTAACTTTACGAACAGCTTTATGAAACACACCCCCCTGTGTAGTAGACAAAATGGGTATTAGACCATTGGATAGTAGACAGGCTGGGTATAGACCAAACGGGAATTCACCTACAATTCTACTACAATGAAAAACACTATGTTGGAGATGCTGAATATAAAGTCATGTTAACTTACCAAGTCCTTTCCTGGTGATGGTGTCCAGGAAATGCTCAAAGGTCTTGAAAGAAGCTCCTTCGCCCCAGAGGCCCAACCTCTCCATGAAAGCCTATCAGATATCAGCAAGCCATATCATTGTTATATACACCATTCATATATTCTTGTTCATTGTTTGGTTGAAAGTGTGTCACATGATCAAAAATAAACAAACTATTTTGCAAAAAGTACTATTTACGGCTCCCAAGACGTAAATAGTACCTCAACTAAAAATAGTACCTCAACTAAAAGTAGTACCTCAACTCAACCCTTTTTTTTTTTTAAAGAGACGAGTCTACTTACCATGTTTTTCACATCTGTTACTCCGGTAGCACTGCAATAAACAACTCTCGCTTTTGGGAGTAACCTGAGCAAAAAATTAACAAGTGTACAGATGAAGATAGAAGTCATAGGAGGACCAGATTTTATGATTTGAATGTACTGAGAGTAGCAAGTGTGGGGGAAAATGCCTCCAGGCAACAGTATTGCATTTCACTTTTATTGCTATTATTATTATTATTATTATTAAGTAGTTGGCATCACCTGTGCCAGGGAGGTGAAAAAACGAACTGAATCACTGTAACCCTCGGGTCTCTCCTTCCGATATAACCGATTGGGGGTGTGCAGGTGGACCACTTTACACCAAGATTTCCCCCTGCTCTTATACGAATAGTGCAGTGGGTTCTTAACGTGCAAAGGTGGTGACTCTCCTCTACACAGGGCCTCCATTTAACGTCCTATCCGAGGGCAATTTTGTGCACCCTGACCCATTTGTGCTCCCACTCCTTTTACAACGTCATATTCTTATTATGTATTTTTCTCTTGCCATAGTTTTATATCTGTGCTTGGTCAAATAAATAATTGTACTTATGATTTTACCAAAAAAAGAAATAACCCCCAACATAAATAACATTAATCCAGCCATTACACAGAGTCACAAAAACTAACCTTTGGATTGATGTCACGGCCATTGCAATTTTTGTGCTGTTCTTTTCTTTGCCCTGAAAAAATTAAACAAAGTACCGAATAAAAAGTACATCAAAGGAGGAAGTAATAAAATGTATACACTTGTTTGTATCATCTTGTTTTGCAACAAGTGGACAGCTTTGCACAGGTGCACTTCAAAAAGCTGCCAGATCAAATTGTAAAAGCCAGGATAATATTTTCAAGGGCAATTTGACACCACATGAAAATATAGCTCCAATATGAATTAAAAAAAAAAAAAATTTAATCAAGTGGACTGGCAGCAAAACTTAAGAATTGAATTGAATAAAATTGTCACTGCAAAGAGATGTACATAGATTTCAAAAGGCAAAGAAATCAAACTGATATTCACAACTATTGAAAAGAAAAGATACAATAATATAAAATGTAGACGCTACTCACCGGGATGAAGTGTTTAGCTTTGTGACATTCATCGAAGATGAGACATCCATCAAACTGATCTCCCCCACACCACTCAATCAGCTGCTTTAAACGACTCTGACGTCCAATCACTGAAACAAACAAAAAAAACAAAAAAATAATATTCATAATGTCTTGTTTACCTAAGGTAGCCTCATCAGAATTCATACTGTTCTTCCTGAGGGCCCTGAAATCTTCTTCTTCTTCTGTTTTAGCAATGGCGATTAGTCAGCTGTGACTATTGTTGCCAATATACTTTGCGTCACGTGATTATATCTCTCATTTTTGTATTATTATTATTTCTTTTATTTTTTTTGTTTTATATTTATCTATCATTTAAAATTTGGGTGACAACATGACTGATCACTGCAAAATTTGCATAAACTTCAAGCTTTCTTCATTGAATTTTCCAAAGTCATAGCTGTCAACTGTCAAAACAGTTCACAACAAAATATATTGTAAATGCAATACAGATCCTGATTTGCTCTTGTAAATTGAGTGACAACTTGACCAACCGCTGCAAAATTTGCATAGACTTACTAAAAGCATTCTTCATTCAATTTTTTGCTGGTCGAAGCTTCTTGTTTGGTAGTGGGTATACAGGGCCAATTTTTCTTACATCCACACATTTTCTTAAAGCCTGTCTGTACTAGTTTGGCCAAGGGGGATTAGACCTCCCTGCAAGGTTACTACTGACAGGTGGTAATATCTCATCGAATCACCTCTCAATTAACGTAAGAAAAGAGGGACCATGGGGGACCAATGGTCATCGATTAGGCAATGTTTGCTATATAGAGGGCACAAGTAGCTATAAGTAGTACAGTGGGGCTTCAATTAAGGAAACAGCAACCATAAACTCATTCAAGTCTTCTCTTAAAACTCACCTGTTCAAACTGCTTTTGATTAATTCAATATTCACACATTTCATCTTTGTCATTTTATGTACCTTTCCTTAGTGAATATTTGTGTCAACTTGTTTCTTCAATGTACTCTCATGTATTGTTCATAAGCTCTTTATTGCAATTAAATCTTATTATAGTTTCCATTTTTCATGTATTGATATGGCGCTTTACAAATAATCATTTTTAATTTATCTTCATTATTATATCATTATTATTATCATTATCAGTATCATATCATTGATATGCAACCAGACCTTCAATTGTTACATGTTGACTTTCTATGAGGCCAGATATTTGAAGAAAGGACAGAACATCAGAGATGCCAACCTGAGTATCCTAAGAAACTGAGTATCCTAACAAATCAGATTTTGGAGAGAAAAATCAGACATTCACAAAAACTCGACACTACCACTGGCTCGTCGGCCCCGGGCCAGTAAAATTTCAGAAAAATGTTTGCTCGGTCATTAAAATTTAATGAGAAAATTGTAAAGCAAAGTTTTTGTTGGGGTTGCGGGGATTTACTTGTACATGTTTCTATGCGATTTTGCGTTTTTTATGGGTTTAAAAAAAAAATATTTGAAAAAAAAAGATGAAAAATCGTGTTTCAAGATTATAAGATCGTATTTCACTCTTATTATCGTACTAAATACGATTAATCGTACTGGTTGGCATCTCTTGAACATGTACGTAAAGAGCGTCATTAAATGCTGCAGAAAAGAAATACTTACCACCTTTTTGCACTGATGATACAAGAGTTGCATACGTGCTGAATACGACACCCTCCTTCATACTGGCAGACAGACCAAAAGCCCTATTAACAAGAGAAAAATACAAACGATGTAATATTAATAAATTATTTAATTCCAAAGAAGATATAGGGAAGGGATTACAATTAGGATTTTGTTTTAGATTAGGTTGTAGATCAAGGGTTAGTGTTACACATAATTTTTGTCCAGGCTTTAAGTTAAAAACTTTTTTAAAATCTTGGATATCAAGCAAGAAGATAAAGAATCTACCGGTACAGAGCACTTAAGTTACATTTACATTTTTTCTAAGTGCTCAACATAATTAACCTACAGAAATTAACCTTTTAAGAAAACTTATGGCATAAAAACATGTTAATATGAATATACATACAGTTATTATAGATAAAAACTAATTTATTCATACCCTTACCAAGTTTTGTAAATTTGTAAGTATGTGAAAAATCTGATTTGTGTATTAAGGTGGTAATTTATGTATCTTGAGAATGTAACATATTAAAGCTCATATTCAACAAAGGCCAAATCTTTCATGTTTGAGTTACGAAATACACAAAAAACATCAAATTTACAAGGGGTATGAACAAGAGCATGTGTTGCACAAACTCCACCACAGGACGACATCAAATAACTGCATACACAAAATGTTTGTAGAGTTGTGACATACACACGTATTAAAAGTCTGCAAGATACCTACAGTGTAGCATCCACTTCTTGTGTTCCTTACCTTGTTTCCCTATCCAGATGCTGACACCCCTCTATGATTTTGATATGACATCCAAGATCATTGACGTCTCTGGGTGAAGAAACACAGTAGTTCATGAATAACTTAGCAAGCTCAAATATCTTTTTTCTAAAAATTATGATTTGAATTTGTTTACCAGATTATCAGTCACATGAAAGTATAATTTGGGTATAGCTAGAATATTTAAAGTAAACTTTAAAATACTTTGCTTGTTAAAGGAGTTTGAAAGAAAATAAGGGATAATGTAAAACACTGTGTACTGAAAGACCATATGTGACCCGGCACCACAAAACCAACAAAAAGTCGCAACCAGCGATTCTCCGTAATCAGCTAAAATGTCAATTTAGGTGAAAAAAATAGATTTTTGTTTTTTTGCATTTTCTGAAAGAGTGGTCTTTTCTGTACCTAGTATCAAAATTTGGAAGTCTAAAACATAGTAGAAGTAGGTATCACAGAAGAGCTGCGTTGAGTGGGGACACACAGAGCTCAACCACGCAAATTCTCTCTTTGTGAAGGAAGATTTTCATATCATGGGAAAAATAAATATTATAAAATTATATGTCTCTCGAAAGCTCAGGATTCTGTCTTTCATGTCATGTCATTTTCATCAAAATCCATTAATTACTTACGACACAGTTGCTTGAGATTTACCCTCTAATTCGTACGGTCTCACTTCGTTTGTCGCCATTTTTTTTGACGGCCGATTTGTATCCCTAGTTTTAGCTCAATTCGCTTGAACGCCATTCGTCTTTGAGTTTTAAAAATCCACTGGTTGGAAAGAGCACATCTTAAGCTTTATTTTCATATAAAAACTGATGGGGGTATGTTTCAAAAAGATCGTGAAAAATCAGAGTGAAAAGTTTGAAACAATTTTTCTATATCAGAAAACATACTTTTAATTCAATTTGATACGAGAAGAAAGAGAATTTACTGGAGAAGACGATCATGTAAATATTAAGAATGACCGCTAGATGGCGCTAGAGCGCGAATCCGGTTAGTACAGCTGTACTCTGTGTATAATATGCACTGAGCGAGAGTGACTACAGCGAGCAAGCCCCCAGCTTCGCACGCGGACCCGACGGGGAACGTGGCGGCCACGTGTCGCATCACCGCACCCGCCGCTTGCCGTCCCATCAAGATCCGAAACGGAGCATGAATCTGAGGCTTCAAATATCGAAACTGAGGCAGGATTTGCAGCATTTGGAGAACAAATTAGTAAATACATATATATTTCGACGGAATTATTATGCTATCGTAACCTAAACAGATTTTAAAGCGATCACAAGACCAATAATACATATTTGTGTTTTTCCACTCGCAATTTTTCTCACACGTCATGCGAGTGAACTTTGAATTTCAAAGTGACTTTTTAAGAAATTCAAGAACAAACTTGTGTAATCTTTGTCAATTTATAGAGTGAAAATTTAATCAAATTTTGTCAGAAAAAAAATATTTTGTGTGTTTCAATCTACATCAAAAAACTGTAATGACGGCTTTTCTGATCTTTGGATAATAATTATTAAATTCCAATTAAATTCAGGCAGTGTCTTTTCAGTAATCATATCTGATTGATGCACGTCTGTATGAAAACCCAACGACACACACACACACACTCGGTGATAGCTCGGCGGCCGTGCACCGCCCATACTGAGTCTAATGCTGACTCTTCTTCCATCTACAAATCACTTCTGTACAACTACATGTACTAGTACTGGTAGTGCATTACCATGTATAGAGAATTGTAAGAACACATCTGTTAGAGTAAAAGGCTACTCAAAGGCATGTATCTTGTATTATAAGAATGCTAGTCCTACTTTTCACATCCCACTTCTTATCAGTGGCGATATTGAAGTTAATCCAGGTCCGTCACCCAATATGTCAGCAGATAAGAAACATGCTATTGATAAGAAACATGCTATTTGTAGTGATAATAATACAAAATATATGTATAGTATTCCAAACCTCTTACAGCTTAATCCTTACAACGTCCACTCAACGACGCCTTTTAATAAGAATCTTCGCATCAATGAAGTGACATGGCAACAAATCACATCTCTACATATCAATAGAGTAAAGAAGACACACAGAGGAAAAAGATCAGGTAGAGAGCAGAGAGAGAAAGCTGAGAAACTGTCAACCAACAACACTAACTTGAACACTAATTTGAACACTAACTTTTCGAGTTCGAACATAAAATTTGCCATGTTGAATGCGAGATCAGTGAGGAATAAAACCGCTGATCTCGCCGATTACGTTCTCGAACATGACCTGGACATTGTTGCTATTTGCGAAACCTGGCTATCACCCGACGATGCTGCTCCGATAGGCCAGCTGACACCACGTGGCTTCACTTTCAAGCACATACCCAGAACTGGCAGACGAGGAGGGGGAGTAGCGGTGCTGTTCAAAAGTCAACTTGATGTCAGAATCCTGGACTCCCCAAATATAACATCATTTGAAATGATCCAGATGACCATGAACCATAAACACAAAATGTTACATTTGATTGTCGTTTATCGTCCACCAAGTCTAGCACAGCTAAAGACTTTCTTGGATGAGTTCTCCAATGTTCTAGATGGGCAGCTGTTATGCTCCTCCGACTTGCTTATCACAGGGGATTTCAACATACCCATGGACTCATCAACTACAAGTTCGAAGTCCTTCTCCGATCTATTATCGGCCTATAATCTGGCTCAACATATAGATGAGCCAACCCATAATCGTGGTTATGTATTAGATTTGCTCATAACCCATAAAGATAATACTGTACAACTTATTAATATTGGTGTTAAGGAAGGTATATCTGATCACGCAGCGGTAATGTGCGAATTGACCATTCCTAAACGATCTACTAAGAAAAAGCTTGTTACAACACGGAACTTGAAATCTGTAGACCCAAAACAGTTTTTAGATGACACTCATGTAAAGTCTCTTATATCAACCGGTTCTCATGCAAATAGTGTAGATGAAGAAGTTAATTTGTATAATACCTTACTCACATCTGCACTTGATACGTTGGCACCTGAGAAGCAGCTCCGTGTTACAATTCACCCGAATACTGAATGGTATAACCAAGAAATAGCTCAAGCAAAACTGCTTCGTAGACAATTAGAAAGAAGATCAAGGTCCACCAAATTGGAGATTCACAAGCAGATGTATCGTACCCAAAACAACATGTAAAAGCCTTGATTAAGATTGCTCAGTCACTCTATCACTCAAAAAAAGTTGAGGATTGTGGGAAAGACACAAAGAAACTGTATAAAGTTGCTAATAATTTACTACATAGAAAACAACCATCTCCTTTACCAGAACATCTCACTCATGGTGATCGGTTGAAGCTTGCCAATTGTTTTAATCAATATTTTGTAAATAAAATTCTAACAATCCGACAATGCTTCCAAACGCATGTTGTACAGCTAGATGACACTGTTTGTGAAGTCGAATCAGAGTTGAGTGAGTTTCGGTCGGTCACTATCAGTGAGATAGAAACATTTATCAAGAACTCACCAAATAAATCATGTGAGCTTGATCCAATCCCGACAGATTTGGTTAAGAAGTGCAGCACAGTCTTGGCACCTGTCATCACAAGCATTATTAATGCTAGCCTTAGTTCAAGTATTGTCCCACAGGTTTGTAAGACAGCTGTCATCCATCCAACCTTGAAAAAATCGGGCTTAGATCAGGAGTGTCTCAAGAATTACCGCCCAATCTCAAACTTATCTTTTTTGAGTAAAATGCTGGAACGGGTTGTTTTCTCACAACTGACTGCATATTTGCGAGATAATGAATTGTTTGACCCATGTCAATCTGCCTACAGGCCTGGTCATAGTGTGGAAACATTACTTGTCAACTTAACTGATACTATTTTTAGAGAACTGGATTGCGGTAATATTACTGCTCTTGTTATGTTAGATATGAGCTCAGCTTTCGATACAGTAGATTACTCTATCCTGACTCGAAGGCTGAAATCATTAGGTATCAAGGGTACCGTCCTTAATTGGTTTATATCATATCTCTCTGAACGATCTCAGTATGTAAAAATTGATAACTCTACCTCTAGTAAAACTACTATGAAGTATGGTGTACCCCAAGGTTCGGTAGGAGGACCACTGCTCTTTTCTCTTTATATGCAACCAATCAGCAAGATATTTCACAAACATTGTATTAGTTACCATTGCTACGCAGATGACATCCAAATTTATCTTTCTTTTAAACCTACAATGTCTTCACTGTCCTCAGCCGTTTCAAAACTTGAAAAATGTCTAGAAGAACTGAAATCCTGGTTAGTATCTAATGGCCTTAAGCTGAATGATGATAAATCTGTGTTTTTATTATTAGGTTCCAAGCACATGTTAGGGAAGGTTGACTATCAATCGTGTCATCTCCATATTGGAATAACATAACACATGTTCAACAGAGTGTAAGGTACCAATTACGTAATCTAAGTTTCATAAGAAAGTGTTTACATGTATCTAAACCTGCGGCTGAGATCTTAATTCATGCTTTAATTTCTTCTCGTTTAGATTTTGCAAATTCATTGTTCTGTAACCTTCCAAAAAAGATGTCACAAAACTGCAACGACTTCAAAATTCTGCAGCCCGCCTATTAACATTCACTAAGAAATCTGATTCCATATCACCAATTCTCCGTTCTCTCCATTGGTTGCCAGTTGAAAAAAGGATTATTTTTAAAATTATGTTACTTGTACATCATTCAGTTTACTCTCTTTCTTCCCCTGCATACCTGAGCAACTCTGTTTCAAATACAACCCCACACGAAGTCTTCGCTCCTCATCAGACACACTATTACTTAATACACCCAGAATAAAACATGCTTGGGGTGAACGGGCTTTCACAGCCATGGGTCCAAAACTGTGGAATAAGCTCCCTCTAAAATTACGTCAACTGTCATCGACAGAAACATTCAAATTAAGAGGACATTTTAAATTTTTTTTTGGTCTAAAAAAATCGTAACGACTCAGCCAACCGCTGAATAAGCCGGGGGGGGGGGGGGGGGGGGGGGGGGGGGGGGGGGGGGGATAAGAGGGCACTTTTTTTTGGGGGGGGGGGGTCAAGACATTTTTTAATTTTCTCCGTTGGGGGGGGGGGGGGGCACGTCCCTGTTTTTCAGTACATTTTGGGGGAATTTAGGGCTGATTTTAACATATTTTTTGGCCGGGGGAGGGGGGCCAAAAAATATGTTAAAATCAGCCCCCCCCCCCCCCTGGATCCGCCACTGCCATACTTTCTATTTGATGTGCCAAATTCATTCCCCTACCATTAACGGTTTTCAATTTAGGCAGACTTGAAAACACACAAAAAAGCTTAAGGGTGCTTTAAAATATGAAGTTTTAAGAGTTTAGAGCCTTTTTCAAATGCCATTTAAAATTAATTTAAATGGATTTGATGGTCCAAACTTACAGAAATGATTAAGCTATATACATACCCCAGATATGCCGAAATTCAGCCCCACTTCATAAACACTCTTAAATCTAGCCATGTTTCAAAACCCATGAAAACTTGTTCTGGCGACGCAAAAATAATTTTGTCACACGCATCAAAATGGGCTTTATTTAATTATTTGAAAAATTCCACAAAAAAAAATATTTGTCTAAAGAACCTGGAAAAAATTAGGCATGTAGAAATCCATACAGAGAACAGATTTCTTGAAAAGAAAGGTGATTCATCAATTAATTACAAAATTATGTCACCTTGAAAATGGCTAATTGTCAGTAATAGCCTAATTACGCAAAATTTGACCATTTCGTCTCTTATGTAAGTGGCCGTATTTTCAAAAGTACTTATTCAAATTTGACAAATGAGGTATCAAAACTCCTCTTTCCATGTGCTCTAAAATGAAATTGGCAAGGGAAATGAAATGTAGATACTTTCAAACTTTAGCTGTGATACCTAGTAGAAGATGTGTTTTAAACGGTTTTTCTAGACCACTTTTTTTCGCACAGCCTTCGGTCTCTTCCAAAATTTGATCACTTTTCCCGAGCGAAATTATCGTAGTCCGGAAATGGTCGGTCGTTGCTAACGGGTCGTGCTACGCGGGCTGTGATTGGTCCGTTATAGCAATCAGTGCGGCGCGCCATTTTGTTTGTATCCGCTTTCACATCCGAGTTCCAGATTTGCGTTCGTCTTATATTCTCCGTTAACGACTTCGAGTAGCTTGAGTTGTTGCATTTTCAAACTTGTGATAAAGGATGAGAAAGAGTTGTTGCATTTTAAACTTGTGATACAGGATGAGAAAGAGTTGTTGCATTTTTAAACTTGTGATAAAGGATGAGAAAGAGTTGTTGCATTTTAAACTTGTGATAAAGGATGAGAAAGAGTTGTTGCATTTTAAACTTGTGATACAGGATGAGAAAGAGTTGTTGCATTTTCAAACTTGTGATAAAGGATGAGAAAGAGTTGTTGCATTCTTAAACTTGTGATACAGGATGAGAAAGAGTTGTTGCATTTTCAAACTTGTGATAAAGGATGAGAAAGAGTTGTTGCATTTTCAAACTTGTGATAAAGGATGAGAAAGAGTTGTTACATTTTTAAACTTGTGATAAAGGATGAGAAAGAGTTGTTGCATTTTTAAACTTGTGATAAAGGATGAGAAAGAGTTGTTGCATTTTAAACTTGTGATAAAGGATGAGAAAGAGTTGTTGCATTTTCAAACTTGTGATAAAGGATGAGAAAGAGTTGTTGCATTTTCAAACTTGTGATAAAGGATGAGAGAGAGTTGTTGCATTTTTAAACTTGTGATACAGGATGAGAAAGAGTTGTGACATTCCCTAAATAATTTTGTTTTCATTTCTGTGCTTCCAAATTTATTCTCCCAGTAGAGTTTTGAAATCAAGTTCTTATTGTAAACACACATTCACACTCTTGATATCATCATTTTGCTTACAGCTATCATAATTCTCCCCCTTCTTTTCCCTCTCTGTCTCTCTCTCTCATTCTTTCTATTTTTCGTTATTCTATGTTGGTGTCTTTACTGTGTGTCTCCTGCCTTTCTTTATTTTTATACCACTTTCTGGCTGGTATTTATGAATTGCTTCCATTAATTATCATCAGGATGGCTACTGGAAATGAAAGAGCAAGTCATAGTAAAAATACTTTGAACCTCCTGTGAGAAAGAAAACAGTATGGGAATTAAGTATAAAGCAAGTTCATAATGTGGTTACAAATAATTGCCCAGATGTATACAAAACAAGATAGGTGACAAGCAGTGTTATGTAAGGGGGAACAAAAAGACTCCGGGTCCACCATGAATAGGCATTGTCTAGTGCAGGTGTCTCGGCACTATGTTGCAGTTCACTTAATCTGTCCAATTACAACTCTATACATTTACAACATAATAACTTTCGAAAGACTTAAGTCCACACATTGAACCCTCAGAAACATAATGAACAGACTATGTTTGACCATCAGGTCAAATTTCAGCCTAATCTGAAAATCTCTTCATAGTGGTTGCTATGGCCTTTTGATTCACCCTTCTATTGATTTCCCTGTGGTTTGCTTGCTCCGCATGCTTGAATAGCCCCAAACTTTAAAGCTCTCTTTCTCACAATTTAATACCAGTAACCTCCCTCACCAGCTCTTTTCATTCACTAAATTGAAAGGGTTAGGAAGCTTCAATTTGGACAAGTAATATACCATTTTAATGAGGAGAACTTCTTCTTTCATAATCAGATGAAATCAGGAAAATAATTTTTTGTGACTTTTTGTTGGTTTTGTGGTGCCGGGTCACATATGTGTGTATCAACCCCGGCCACCCCCTCCCCCTCAGTTTATTTAGGGCACTCGTGATCCCCTTCTTTGAAAGCACCCCTCTATCCCTGGTGTGTAAAGTCAATATGGGCCGGACTTTGTTGCGTGAAAAGTACCCCCTTTACCAGAGATTTTGGGAACACGAATGCGGAGTCAACTTGTCTACTCTAGAAGTGGTTTTAACGGTTCAAACTGCTTTATCTCTTTGTAGAGATAATATTTGAAGCTCATAAATTCAATTGAGTGTATGCAACATGGAAGTCCCCTTAATATACATAAAGAGCACATCATGTTTTGGTGATTGATAGACTTTAAAGGCATTGTTTATTAAACAATGTTTCCAGTTTTACAAATCTGAGATGCATGGACCTACGTGTCATCAGTGTCTGTGCTATGGTGTAATGTTGAAGCCCTAAAAGAATTGTGCTTTAAAATGATTATGAAGTGCTTCATAAAATTAAAAATCTTTGAGTGACCGGTTTTACCATACTCGTTCTCCCCAATAGACTGTAGTGTTGTTCAAAACTGTTTGGCAAATGGTCTTTGAGATTTTTAATTCCAATCATAAATATCTTGATAATCAGACAGGCAATCAGCTTTCAAAAATCATAGGATTCCTGACTGACCTAAAGGTTTATAATTATGATTGCACTGAGCATGAGCTAAATCCAGGATTTTGTTTAGAATCTGAGGCAAAGATACCCAATCCCTTCAAGATACAGGTTTCTTACCTTTGAGCATCCACTTTCAAATCAGATGATATACTGAACCAAATGTGCTTCCTTCTCCCTCGTACATAGTTATCAAGAATAATTCCCGAAATCTGGAGACAAACAAATTCATCATTATTCACAATTTTCATGTTGCTATACATTATGCATTGCATTGATAGATGCTCGTATTATTAAAACATTTTGAGCACAGTCTTATTTTGTTATTTTGCATATCAGGTCTTTCTGGAAGGTACAGAATCTTGCAGAGTTTATTAAGCATAACCATTGTGATTCATCATTTTTAAGTTGGCATACACTATGTGGTGAATTTAAGCTTATCTGTACTAGTTGATAGGAGGGATTAGACCACCCTGCAAGGTCACTGGACAGGTGGTTATCTCATCAACTCAGCTCCAATTAACATAAGAAAAAGAGGATCATGGGGGACCAATGGTCACCGATTAGGCATTGTTTTCTATAAAGAGGAAGCAAGTAGCTACAAGTAGTACAGGTGGCTTTAAAGGTGCACATGTCAATCCTCAATCCTTTTTAATTTAACATCATTTCCTTTTGCAAAATTTTGCATATCATATCTTTGCTAGAATGTGGGGAAAAAATATGGTTTACAAAGCAAAATAGTTCACATTCTTTGTGTCAAAAGAAGATTATATCTTTCATTTTTTAATGTGCCTTGTTTTATTAAGTCCATTTCGCAAATGCAAAGAACATAGGCCCTATGGTTCGAAATGATCACAATACCTCAAAATTAATCTTTAAAGAATTAATCAGTAAATTATTTCACTAAAAATTTGTTTTTAGTTTGTTATTATACCCTGCTTGAATTGTTGCCTTAGCACCAAACCTGATTTTAACACTAACCCTAACCCTAACCTGTAACCTGATGTAAAACCTAACTGCAAGCGAAGCCTTTTCATGTCCATGTATTATTTCCCAAACAAAGCCTTGAGCAAAGAATGATGTGACAAATGTGGGATCTACTTACTGACCGACTAAAATACAAAGTAGTTCTGTTCAATAGAATGTTTATTGAATGCCATTCCTTTAATAACGCATGGTGTAAATAAAAATCTTAATTCAAAGTTTTTTTAATTTTACCTGTCGCCCTTTACCAACTCCGGCGGCATCACCCATAAAGAACCCCGCCCGGCAACCATTGGCCAATATCTTCTGGTGTCGCTGACACTGTAAAATAAAATATTACCATGTAAATGATGGGTCAACACAAGCTTATTTTTTCTTCTTTAATAATAATATAAGTGGAGTCTTCTACAGTGCGTCCCAGAAAAAATGAAACTCAGAATTATCGGTGCTTTATCATAACTTAGTCACATTTATAAATAATAAATGACACATATTTGGAAAGATTAGATCCTCCTCTTCCATTTGATGGAACTCATATGATGCATATATCACGCATGAGTGATTAAAATGAATTTGAAGAGAGGAAACCAAAAAGTAATTTGGCGGATGGTATATGATAAAACATTGATAATTCTCGGTTTCGTTTTTTCTGGGACGCACTGTATAGCACTCATGTCTGGCATATGACATTGCCATTCCTGATGCTCCAATATAGTTACCCCGCCTGGCTTTAGCATGGCTGCCATTACAGCGCTCGAGCATTTCAAGGAATCAATTCAAGCCAGGTAACCATTTACCTCACTTGGGCGGAGTGTGACAACTGCAGATTAATGTCTTGGCCAAGGACGTTAGTGATGCGACAGGGATTCAAACCCTGAACCTTGTGGTTCACAGTCCGGAGACTTATCCACTGGACCACAACACCTCTTTAGTTTAGTACAAGTATTACAAGTGAAATAATGGAGATGAGACAAAATTAAATTAACCCCCCCCCCCCTCTTCAAAATAATTTGTTTAAATAGTATAATAATCAAAAATTCTAAATTCCCAATGATCACCTCCCCTTCCACTCATTAAAAACATTTTTCCCTGAAAAATGAAGAAGTATCACAGAACCATCTTTTCAATGGTTTCACTGAAATGACCCTCTTGCAAGAAAGCTACAATCCACTTGTGCTTCCTTGCTGAGGTTCCAGCACATTAAAATTTTATATGAGCTTTAACAATGTATACAGATCACACAACCCAGGCTATCAACTGCAATTTTGTGTACATTACATAGAGGTCCATAATGCACTTTACTAAATTTGCAGAGACATAAAACAAAAAATTGTCAGAACTACTGCCAGTTGGGCAATATGTTGGAAAATCAAATGAAATACACAAACTCACTGCATATTGAATTCCTTCAAGTTGTAGATTGCTGAGTTTGCCGCCCTTTATGATACTATTTGGTATTGATGAGGCAAGCTTGTATGTGGCTTCTGGAAGAGGTACCGCCTATACAAATAAATACAAAATTAAACAATAACTATTACCGTTACTACACTCTAATATATGAATATCAGGGAAAGAAAAATATCTGCTGTCTTCAAAACAAAATATCAACTCTTTTCTGAGATAAGTTGCCTTTCATTATTCATCTTGAAAAACAAAGGAGTATCAGGAGCCCTATCCAATTTGCACTTTCTGATTCTATTTCTCTCATCAAAAAAATTATTAACTGAGTATCAAGTATATACTCTATAAATCCTTAAATGACTGAATACACTTGTTAGTAAAACAAAATATTAAAAAAATAAAAAAATAAAAAACCATCACCATCACCATCACCATCACCATCACCATCACCATCACCATCACCATCACCATCATCATCATCATCATCATCATCGTCAGCATCACCATCACCATCACCACCATCACCATCACCATCATCATCATCATCATAATTGGCATCAACACCACCATAAACATCATCATCATCATCCCATCACCAACACCACCATCATCATCATCATCATCATCATCATCATCATCATCATCATCATCCCATCACCATCACCATCACCACCATCACCATCATCATCATCATCATCATCCCATGACCATCACCATCACCACCACCACCATCATCATCATCATCATCTACTTACTGAGAGTGACGCTGCCTCTACGATGTTTCCAGGATGCTTGATGGCACCAGGTGTCACAGTGGTTGCTTGGTAACCAGAGAAGACTTCTTCACTGAAATGAGATAAACAAGGTCACAGTTTTAAAGAAAGCACTGTTCGAAGAAAAGAGATGAAGGATTTAAATTAAAATAAATAATTTATCATGCTGCAAGGAACAAACTAACAAAGCAGGGGTGATAGTATAGTATTAATGACTGCTTTGAGAGAAATAGTTGTTTTTATACGCTCAAGGAGAGCGTATAAAAACAACTATTTCTCGAATATTAAAGCAGTCATTAATACTTTTATATGCCGAAAAAAAATAGACTAAAAAATAAAAAATAAAATACTTTTTTTTTTTTGTCGAAGGTGAGAGTCGAACTCTTACGTACAATGAGTGATGAATCTTACACCAATGCCTTACACCACTCGTCCATCGCGCGCTGTTCACGTGCTTGGCAGTTTTGTACTATATATACATTAAAATGGATTGAAACCGGCTTCGGCGTGATGAATGCTTCGCAAAAGCTCCATTAAACGGACCCTTCTTTTACTTTTGCAATGCATATTGGCACGAACTTAGATCAAGATCTATCGGCAGATGTTGTTTTTTTGTTTTTGGAAGTTTATTTTCGTCTTCATGTCAACAATGCAAGATAAAATTGTCGGTAAGATCGATCGAGATTCAATTGTATTGAAATTACCGACCAATCCTTCGCACACATACGGTATCCTCGATCGCTCAAACCATTTTTTAACATGTAAACCTATGGGGTAACCATGGAGGCTGACCTATTTTTTTAATAACCATGGTTATTAAAAATAGTGAAATGTTTTATGCATGGTTACCGAGAATTTTACAGGAACAGTTGAAGTTTATGAATGCAATTTCGACCAATCAGAGGGCTGGATTACTTAAGTGAGGTATATAATGAGTACCGTTAGTATTATTATACTATTTAAACAAATCGAGAAAATAGGGGTAAAATCAGGAGATTTTTTTTTTTTTTTTTTTTTTTTTAAATCAGGAAAAAAAAAATCAGGTAATTATCAGTTGTGCAAAGCATATACTTTCCAAGAACTCTGCAGATTATTTTGGTGCTTTTAAATAGTTGGCCACTGCTGACATTGATGCAGCCCTACAGACATGTAAATGGGTTGGTGCTGACAAACAGTTGTTTTTTGGCCACAGGCAGTCCAGCATGTATCTTAGTTTGTTACTCAAAATTGATATAAAATGTCATTCTGCAAAGTTCAGCAATTCAACATATTTAACATCAAACTGCAATCAAATAAATGGTTCATTTTCCTACCTTGAGATGAAACTCATAGCTTCATACATAACTACAGCATTCTTTCATGGAAGCATACATGAAGAAAAACTAATTCCATTGTACAGAGCAAATCCGCTAACAATGACAATTCAATATTTTTCAGCTCTTCTTTATAAACCAATAAAATACACATACTTGAGTCCTTTTCCTGTGTTATTTGGAGGCATTCACTAGAAAAATCATCATGCTCAAAAGACATAATAGCTCTTCAAAGTGCTTTCCTGTGTGCCATTCAAATGTTGGACCTTCTTCAAGTTGGCACTCATCAAAATACTTTTCAATATCTTTCAAATGCACTAGTTACTAGAGCAACTTACTATTAATGAACATGTAGGTTGTTTTTGACTAGGTGCCAGGAACTACTCACTTTCCGCCTAATGGCAAAAACATCAACTACATGTGTATGTACTGATTTGTGCGGGCAAATATCAACTGTCATTATCGACTGGAAAGTAAATAGTCTACAGGCACACAATAAATTTTAAGGGATAACAAAAAAAGGTATGGAATTAAAGAAGACAAGTACAGATTTAATTGAAAATGACATGTCTTGTGATTTTAATACACAAACATGTAGGTGGCTCACTATAAAAATGTGATGATCCTGTTTAGACCTAGTCTAAGCTTAACTCTAGTTGAAACTCCCGAGTCTTCAACCACTTCACTTAAACTACAGCTACTTGGGGGCCATGGTAACTAGAAGGGTCTGACCCCCCCCCCCCCCCTCAAAACAAATATATTTAAAAAAAAAAAATAATAATAATAATAATAATAATATTTAAAAAAAGTTTAAAAAAATAACATAATAATAATTTTTAAAAAATAAAAAAAATAATAATAATTCTTCACAATTTGGAATTCTTTATATCTCTGTTGCTTAGTTATTAAATTTAAAGATGCATGACTTATTTTTATGTTCTCATTCAAAAAATTCTTTCTTAGATTTTGATTTTATTTGCTTGTTAATTGGTTAATTTTTTTTTTTTTTATCCGACACCACTCCCCCCCATCCCCCCACCCTCTCACTCCATATTTCCTATACCTCAATCTCCTATACAATACTTTGTGTCCCGTTTTGTTATTCTTTTCTTTTTGTATATTTTGATTATTTAGATACTTTAAAATGGTTTATGAAAATATGTTATTAAATATCTATTTTACTGTGATTATTAAGACACTTAAAAATGATTTAGGAAAATAATGTTCATATTATATTTATTCTTAGGAACCTACAAAAACAAACTATGCTTTCCAGTAGGTTCCTATTTCATTTCATAACTTTGATCTTACTTTGTCAACTATGTTCTTCATTGTGCAAACAATTGTTATATTAAATGAAATAATATCAATCAATCAATACCTGACTGCTTCTTGTACAGTCTCCTCTGACATTCTCTTCAGTTCTTGATCTGTGGTGTCAACTGCTGCACCGCCCTCTCTGCCTGAAGCTTGGGGTGGGGCGTATCCCAAACGAGCCATCAGTTCTCCATTGTACGCCATCTTTTAATTGTGGGGGATATGCAAAATATTCATGGGTTAACCCATTGTCTTTCGTTTTGTTATGGGAAGAAAGGGCGATAGTGAGCTCTCGCACCGTGCGTGTGCATCACTTTGTCACCTGTAATTAGATATGTGTAGAGTCAACGAAGTCCTGCGAGCATATGCTTCATTCCGTCACACAAACGTTATGTGTAGTGTCAATGGACTGGCAATAAGGAAACCGACGTGTGTGACAGAATGAAGCATGCACAGTGGCGATGCAATAGGGCCAAAGAAAGGGAACTGCTCCTGAAGTGAACTTTGAGAATGAATATTAAGGAAATAACAAGTAAATTCACTTTAGGTTAGTCTAGGACGATAATTTAAATTCCTGAATTCTGTTCAAATTTGATATTCTTCATCCTTATTTCTGATTTGAGCAGATGCAGGTAAATCTACCTACACCCCCCCCCCCCCCCCCCCCCCCCCCCCCCCCGCCTTTCTCAGCATGCTCAATTTGTCTGAAGTCTGAAATCTGAAACTGGAACTGAAACAGTGGTAGACATTTTACAAAAATCTGACGGAGGCCTGAAGACAAAGTTTAAGTTTGTAACTGCATGACGTTTATTTGTAAAAAGTATTTAATTTTTTTTTATTTGTCTTCAATTTGTTTTCTTCTTCTAATTTCTAGATCTAGATGAGTGTCTAAATTGACTACATCTAGTGCTTGTTGTAGTAGCACAGTCCAACCCGCTTTAGTGACTACCTGTCTGCTAGACCGAATTTTCCGTCTCTTTCGTTTGTTAAGCCTCTTATTTGGGTAGGGTCGGCTCTCTCTTTAGAGACGGAAGCCGACTATACGCATTCCCTTGCTAATACCATAGCCATTTATGGCCATATTATGATTATGAAGGAAAAACTGTGATAACGCCATTACGAACGTGTAGATGGCGCTCAGTTTTTCCTTCATAATCATTTTGCCTTCGGCGTAGACTAGAAGGGATGAGATTGACGGCAGCGAGAGTTTAACACGGCTTGCAAGATTTTCAACATGGATGTCGATTTTGACCCATAATTTCCTTAAAAGGGACCATTAAACGGATTATTTCAAACAAGTTAGTAAGTGGAACCAATGTATTATAGCCTAGGCCTAATTTAAAATTGGATATACACGAGGTAAAATGACATTTTGGGGGATTTTGGGGGCATAACAACACGGCCGTGGCAAGTTTGTCATGTTTGTGGGAGGGGCCTAACGGATAAAATCTAGCCGTGATATCTTCAACATACGATGGTATAGGCGATCGTTCAGTCTCTATAACCGGAGGTCTTGTGGAGCCAGACGTAGTCTCAGTGGAACAACCGACGATTTATAGAGACTGAAGCTTTCGGTCTAGGCCTAGATCTACCTGTCTGCTATTGCTAGACCGATCATGAATATGAATTTGAAACCATTTTTATTCTAATGCTTGATCATACAACAAATTACACACAGAACTCAGATATAATTATCAGGAGTCAGTCAATCATTAAAAAAATCTACTGCGTTATAGGAATAAAGAATGGCCACCATTGCAGTGACGTTGGGCCGTATGCATAAAAAGTAGCAATTGCTTGCAAGCAATTGCTTCAAGCACAAGCAATTGCTTGTCAAGCAAAAGATCAAGCTCAAGCAATTGCTTAAATCCGTATGCATAACATTTTGCTTGTGCTCAAACCTTTTGCTTGCCTCCAGCAAGCAATTGCTTACGATCTCAACAATAGCGACGTCACGCCGGTGCGAACATCATTCATGGGAGAACAAAGGCGGGTTTCGCATACAAGTAGTGTATTCAAATGTCATGCGTGTGGGGTAGCCTTTCCTGATATGGCAGTATAACATTCCAGGATGACATATTTCAGAACAAAATGAAGAAAAAAACACCGATACATGCACACACAAGCGCACACCCAAATACACATACACATATGGCATGCATATACATGTACTAACAAGAAAAATATGTATAATACACGTGACTGTACTGAAGGGATTTTACAAGTAAGGCAGACGTGTGTCTAATTTTCCGCTAAATCTGATAGGCCTACAAGTGAGAACATGGCGTCAGATGGTGAGGAAATTAATACAACTGACCAAGATCTTAGTACCCATTCGGTGGAGATCATCAAAGAATTCCCCATATTGATTGAGAAATGTCAGCTGCCGCAAGCAAAGGAAAAGAAAACCCTAGCTCTACAGCAGGCAAAGAACACGATCATGGCCAGTATTGGCAAGAGGATGGATGAAAAACAAATCATGAAAAAAATTGCCAACATGATTTATTCTACTCCTGTACAACTTTGGTTTTTCTCTAACGAGCATAAACATGATGCTTAACCGCGAACGTCCCGATTAAGCAAGAGCTCAAGCTGCTATGACGTAAGCAATTGCTTATAAGAAAAAGCAAAAGGTTCGTTTTCTTTTATGCATACGTTTTTAAGCAATTGCTTGCGGACATCAAGCAATTGCTTCTTCTTCTTCTTCTTCTTTGGGTTAAGTCTACCTCCTTCACAGTTGAAGATTCTTGCAGACTGATGAGTGTGTGTGTGCTTACGAGAGCAAGGTGTATGGTGCAATGCTATTTACATGGTGCAAGTAAAAAGTTCCCGGACTTAGTTGCTGCCTCCCGTCAGGCATTGACGGAAGGCATTGACGGATGAGGCACATACTGTTTCTGATGGCAGGTTGTTCCAACTCCTCACAGTCCTGGGAAAGAAGGACTGCTTATGCATACGGATTCAAGTAAAAGGCTAGCACAAGCAATTGCTACTTTTTATGCATACGGCCCAATGTCTTTGACCCATTCACCATTGAAATTTGATGTTGTTTTCAATTTCACTTCAGTCATGATTGTTGACATATTAGCCTTAGGATTGTGGAAATTCAAACTGTTGATCAATAAAATAGATCTAGGTCTAGGCCTAGACTCTTTTGGGCAACCTCTGTACACTTTACCAAATTTACAACGAAATTATGTTGAACCTGAACTCACCGTCCAACTTGAAAGTTGTAGTTTCAACCAAGTAAATAGTTTAGCTTTTCATCACACACAGCACAAACGTTCATCGGGTTAACAAGGCCAAGCGACCGGGCAGCTTCGGGCACAGCTGTAGACGTACGCCCGTACCGTATGGCACAGTTTCAGGAGCTAGAGCGGCGCGGGCAGGAGGAGATCGGGGGGCCGTTTCTCGAAACCGTCATAACTACAAGATCAACGACATCTCGCCACTGTCACGCAACTTGTCGGCTAAGTGTTTCACGAAGCCGTCTTTGCCAAGATGAGCGACAACTTCCGCGACAAGCGAGTTGTCACTGCTCCGAACAAGTCATATCTTTTTAATTGCTGTAAAGCGCCATCACAAGTCAGTTTGTTGCCATTCCATGGGCTGCGAAATGGACGATTAGTTTCACTATCATTTTGAGAAAAATATAGACGAGTTCGGTACGTAATTCTCTGGGATGCGAAATGCAAATGTACAAAAGTGAGAATACAAATTATACAGAAAGTTTAAAAAGCTGAATATAAACATTAAATCCCAAATCATTCAACTATAACATATAAATAAGAGAGGTAAGAATGTTACACACCGTTTTCCATAGTCGATCCATAGTCTTTTCTTAGGATACCGTCATACCTTTGGGGTCTATGTACATTATTATTCCCTCTCTAATTACTTCTTCCAAATTATATTTTCGATATCAAATCAATTATATAACGAGTACTTATGAGACTCTAGAATAAAAACTGGCTGAAAAAAGACATTTTGCCTAAAATTCCTCGTCACAATAAACAAAAAGTACGTATTGATAAACTATCACATTACGGTATCCTTCAACTAACTTTTGATTCGACTGTCGAAAAAAAAACACTCGCCGGTTTTTCTTCAATTTAAGAATCTTTACAGAAATATGCAAATCGTTTGATGATGTAAACATGATAATGACACTACTTATTATTTATTTTAGGAGAATTTATATGTATATATATTTTTTTGAACAATATTAGCCCCAAAACTTGTTTTGGGTTATTCTTGATAAATCAAATGGATCGTGACAAAGACTATGTTCTTGAGCTGCTAGTATCGCGATATATCGATATCATGTCTGTCATGGGTTTGTGAAACGGTTTATCCGCTTCATGACATTTCCGTAGGTCGCCGACAAAGATATGACTGTCATGGAGTTGGTTTCGAGAAACGGCCCCTGCTGAAGTCGAGTCTCGTCTCGTCAGCGCGGTGAATTTATATTTTAGCGTGATTAAAGGTTTTATTATTTATTACTAATGAATTTATTTGACCTACAACAGAATATATACCAATTTTCTCATGTCAAGATATTAATATTACTGATTGTATATTAATTTTATAATTTTCATTGCCCAACAAAATCATAAAAAAGTGCTAACTATGGTTTATATAAAAATTAAATTCATTTCGCATTGTACGCAGATTACTACAGGGCGCGCAAAAGTAGGTAACTGATTACATAATCACAACCTTGCGAGGTACTGGGGTCACTGACCTGTGACTGCAAACAAGTTGCGAAACTTATTTACATGTACGGGTCGCGGAACGGCGGGGCTTAGGGGCTCGAGCCCCCCCCCCCCCCCCCCCTACACTTTTAAACTTTTAAAGTAAATTGTGTTAATTCGGAGAAATAGAAAGAAAGGAAGAAAGAGAGACAAAACAAATCTGCCACAAACTTACAAAATATGTGAGAGGAAGAGATGATACGATAGGCCTACTCGCTAATTTATTTTAAACAGAAATTTATTTTTCACTTAAAAAATATAGGGTCAACGTTAAATGTTCTAATTCATAGCAAGCGACTCATTTGAATGAAATATTGTTTCAGACCATGATTTACGTCATTAACAAAAATATAATAGCGACCCGCCAGTGTCACAAAATAATAACTATCCAAATATCTATGCCCTACTGGCCGTAATTAAAAAAAAAACACCTTTAAAGTGTTTGGGGCCCCAAAATTCGCAAAAAAACCCCCACTGATGACAACATTTCACCTATTATAAATGTTATAATAATGTGAATGAGTATGTTATGTGACATAATTCTTTATTCATAAAGATTTTAAAATTAAATGTGTTTGAAGCTGAATATTGATGAAAGAATACAAAATTTAGGTTTTGTGTTGTATGCAGAAAACTTAATTTTTGTATTCTTTTATCAATAGTCTGCATACAAATTTATATTGAGAATCCTTCTGTGTTAAATCTCATCCTCTTTTACTTTTAGTACAATTGAAGTAATTTTGCCATCAAATTCCGGGGCTCCCAATGACACTGTCGAGAGGCTTTAAATGCCTAAAAACCGGAGCTTCAAGGGGCTCCGTCCCATGGTCCCCCTCTGGCCTTTGCCCTTATGCTCCACCGTTTTACGCTACGTTCTCACCTGGTCGTCAATTTTTTAGACCCTCTCCACTTTGAAAAATATGGGGCCTGGATTAAAGATAATAAGACTGCAAACTTGAAATTGGTTCAGGTCTTGCGATTAGCTCGGTTAAATAGCAACAGTGGCGGATCTAGAGAGGGGGGGGGGGGGCGGCCCCTTTACTGAGAGGTCGTACGTTTTGTGCTGCACAAAGATTCAATTAGTTTAATTTTGGCCATTACGAGTAACGGCCGGGTTAGAAATGTAGACAAATGCTCATGTACACGTTCCAGCTCATGTTATGTATGTTATCACCAAAGAAAAAAAAGATGTCAGTCAGTCCCTCAATAGTGTCTGACAGTGAAGTCTAGAACTTAGAAGGTAAACGTGTTTCCTTGCATAATTGGAATACTAAGACACTGCTAATGTTTGAATTTTACCGATAGGACATACATGCCACAGTGAGCACTATTTTTTGTTTTGCTCAACAGGGGGGGGGGGGGGGGGGAGGGGGGGGGGGGCCATAACTTTTTGGGGGCCAGGGGGAGGGGGCCCGTCTTTTCTTTCTTTTTTAAAGGTAAAATTAACGCTACCATCTTTAACAAAATATTTATATTTTGGGGCCAGGGGAGAGGGCCCGGGCCCCCGGCCCCATTGGATCCACCACTGATGTACCTTGCATATTTCAACATGATTATTAAACTTAATCAAGTTACATAAATATATTAACAATTGGATTTAAAGGGAAAGTCCATTCCAAAAATAGCTTACTTTCAATAAACCAGACAAACCAATCAAAAACAGTTTGAGTAAAGTTTGAGTAAGAAAATTTTTAATGACATGAAAAACTTTGAAAATCACAAAACAAATTGGCAACTTATTCATGAGTCTGTGTCGTTAATGCCTCATTATCCACTAATTATTTTGTTTATATCGATAATACAAATTTCCAATTCCCCCTAATAACACTAGCATCCAAGTTATTTTGATAGTGATATATATTTGTGTGTGGATGCACGCGATAGCTCAGTCGGTAGAGCAGTGGTCTCGTCAGGTAAAATAACAACCACAACAATGTGTTCAGTTAAATAAATCATGAAAAATGTGAATTTGATTAACTATTCATATAGAAAACAACTATTATGAATATACAAAGATCCATAGTTCAATTGTTGTACTTAACAAAACAAATAATAACTTCCTTATTAGTTATCCGATTTTATTCAGTTCTTTTGCTCTGTTTCTCTTGCTTTTTTGGAGTAGAATAAGCGTTTAAAAGTATGTATATTTGTTTTTCTACTTCGATCGTTATAGGCCTACTGTAATTTTGTATAGTGTAACTTTTTGGGGCTTAAAAACATGCTCATGTTTTAGCCATTCAGCTGCGAGGATATATTTCAATCTTGTATCTAATCTTGAATCTTTTATTTTACTTTTTTTTAAATTTCATTTATTGTCTTTCCTTTTGTTTTGTATACTTTTGTGTTCGTTTCTCTATTGCACTACAACCCCCCCCCCCCCCCCCAACGGCCTTTGATTCCTACGCTCTTTATAAACGAGAGATGGCGCTTATCTAGTACCTTAAAAATCAACCAATCAGTGAGATTCTTCAATCGTAATTTACAAACGAGCGCCTTTTTCGATCAATTTCGATGCCGTTTTGTTTACAACTATTTTTCATCTTAACTAGATCTTGGGGTGGTAAGCTATCTTTCTAATGTGAAAAAATATTGTTTTATGAAATATTTCAAAGTGAGATTTCTTAGTATAGTTTGGCGGGATGAGATCCCACGGCCGTGTAAGGTCTTTTGAATATCTGCTTGCTAGAAATTTCGTAATAATACTAGTCCCACTCACTGCAGTCAGTGTGTGGTAGAAAGTAGAGTAGCTAGTCTAGAATTATTTTTTGTTGTTATTTTCCGGGTTAAACAAATATTTTGCCGGCGTCCTAATCAGTCTTAGGAGTGGTCATGTAAAATTATGAAATTTTAGCCAATACACTGTGGAGTAATTTGTTTGTCATCAATTTGTTGTTGTTGTCGGGTTTATCGGCGCTATCCATCGATTCCGATGATTTCCGCCAGGCTGTGTGTGAGGGCGTCTTGCTCTCACTTCTGCTGCTCTACGTTTCTGTAATTCTGATACTTGCCCGGTGTGTGAGAGAAAGATAATCAATGAATCATGTTGAAGTTGATCAGTCAGTAGGGGCGCTGGTCTGAGAATGAGGATCGTCCTCATAAACGAGGATATCTTCATAAACGGTGACAAAATGCGTCCTTGACCTTAGGCTTAGACAGAGGATAGTTTGCATTTTCGGATGAATGATCTGCGCATGCGTTAATTGTAAGCTAAATTTCGGCGTGCAGTAGGGGGCGCTGGTCCAAAATGAGGAGCGTCCTCAAAATTAAGGATCGTCTTCATTCTCGCAGATGTTTCTTATTTTTGATCCGCGCGTTGGCGATGTGAAAAACGGATTACGCCCTGATTTTCTTGATGCTTGATGCAACGAGACCTTAATTCGGGCACAGGAGTTTACAGCTGATTTATCAAAATAGCGATCCATGTATGTCTAGATCTAGATCCATGCTGGTACTCGTCAAAAGCCTTTTCAGCAACTAAACAAGGATATTGTGGTGTGGTGTCTCTCATAGTGGTCATGATTGATTATAGACCGAAAACTTCAGTCTCTCTAATCGTCGGTTGTTCCACTGAGACTACGTCTGGCTCCACTAGACCTCCGATTATAGAGACTGAAGGATGGGGACCTCTTACTGTGAGGGACTGTACAGAACAAATGGTTCGGTTCGACCGGACCGCGATGAATGAGATATGCAACAAAATTTTCACTCTTTACATCCTCATAACTGCTGCAATTATAATAAAAATTAAAAATAACAATAGCTTATTTGACTTACGATAGCTTGCTCATTTAGATCCTAAATTAATGATTAATCCGAGAAAGTCTCGTCGACAACATTATCCGTCTTGGTTTTAGTTGATGAATATTCATTTTTTCTTTTCGAACGTCCAATAGCTACCGTAGCTACGTACGATTCGGCCCGGCTTGACCAACGAACTCCCACGAAACGAGTGCTCTGATTGGCCATTGGCGTAGGTTGACCCGGAAATATACCGCGGCCGCCGGGTCATATAGCTCTATTTTCGAGTGCATGAACGTAGTTTCACAGTTTGGAGATACAAATTGGATAATTCATATAAGTAAGTCCGTAAATTATACATTTAATATTAAGTTATCAAATTTTGATAAATGTAATTAGGACAAATGACATACGGACCTAATTTACATCTGATTTAGAAATCAGAAAATTGGATCTAAATAAAGAAAATCGGGGGAGAAATGTCGGTAACGAAAAGCTGTTACGCTGTGGCTCTAATTTACCCCCACGGTACGAGATCTCTGGGTTGCCATCTGTATTGGGGAATGACAACAAATGTCAGTTTTATTAAAGAAATGACCCAAATCAGATGGTTATTGCTGTCTAGATTGATTAATGCATAGTGCGTACGGTATATACAAGTTGTGCAAGTAAAAGATATATAAGATATAAGATAAGTATAAGATAATTGCATCAGTTGGTACCACTTTTTACTTACATTTTTGATGACATCTGCTCTCAAAATAAAGATTTCTAGACCAGGCCTAATATTTGTCATGCCATGTTCGTTCACCAGAATTGTAAAGAGATGCCAGTGTTGACGGAAGCGTCCCCACCCAAGGCTGAGCCTGAGGGCGAAGCAGAGAGTCAGCCCATGGACACCAACGAATCCATACCTCAGGAGCCTACTCCTGCTCCCACAGCACAACCCAGGCTCATGATCACACAGATCATGACAGAAAACTTCAAGTCCTATGCTGGCAAAGTTGTCCTGGGGCCTTTCCATAAGGTTTGTTGTATTTCATTTTTCAACATAAATCTAATTCATAATACTCATGTTCACATGATTATTACAGAAAACGAATTCCTACGCAGGCATCGGTGTCTTGGGGACCTTTTTCATATGGTGTGCTGGTCAATTCGGTTTTCTAATGTATGAGGCCTTTCCATATATATATAAAAGTTTGTTCGTTCTTCAATATGGATGTGATATTGGTGAAAATATGAAATCAATTACTAAGAATATCCACTTTGTTTTGATTGTTACAATGGTAACAATTGATCCTACTGTTTTTTAATTCTCTTTTGTTATTGTTTTAAAAAAAAATTGAATTCTAAAGCGATGCAGACATTCTATACAATTTTTTTATACAAATTTGGGAAAAGCATACATATATATGCCATTCATGTGATTATAGAAATTCTTTTCTTGTCTAGAACATAGAGAGAGAGAGAGAGAGAGAGAGAGAGAATAAAAATGTTGATTCGAAATCAATTTAATCACAATATAAATCCATGTTTTTCCCCAGAGCTTCTCATGTATTATTGGGCCAAACGGAAGTGGAAAGTCCAACGTCATCGACTCCATGCTGTTTGTGTTTGGCTACCGCGCTGCCAAGATTCGCTCCAAGAAGCTCTCTGTGCTCATCCACAAGTCTGAGAATCACAAGGACCTGAAAAGCTGCACTGTAGCAGTCCACTTCCAGAAGATCGTTGATACAGGGGTAAGTGAGAGGTGTTCCTAGATTTGCTCAGGTTTGCTCCGTGACTTTTATCATCAAAGATCTAGGGGCGGGGCTATGATTTCAATTTCAATTTCAATTTTGAATTTTCCAATAAAAACATTACAAATCGATTATAAACATTCTCAACAAATGTAGAAATACATATTGGAAACAGAGGGGTCCACTAAAAAGCAATGCTTGTTCAAGTGTGAACACCTCAAATGATACTTAGGAAGAATGAGTAATTAAATTAACAAGTCCGTAACTACAAAAGGAACTACAAAATAGGGAGAAAAAAGGGGGATGCCAACAGAGACGAGAACGGGACAAGACGGTACTTAACATGACAAAGATAGAAGAACGTAGTCATAATACAAAGAGTACACAATGCCAAAAAAGGAGTGAGAGATCAGGGGAACAGAAAATAATACAAAATGATGAGCTGCACGTAGGGTTGAGAAGAAGACGAGGAAAGAGAAATACGCATTAGAAAGGAGATAGGCATGAGAAGGCACAATATAATTTATCAAATTACATTTTGAGTCAGCGAGTAGAGAATGGTCTTGTATTGAACAAAAACAACAACAACAATGATTGGGTGATGTGTTGGGTTGAGGAATATGGTAAGATATAGTTTAAAGTTGAGGTTTAGAAAAGGGAGAAGAAGAGAAGAAAAAAGAAAAAAGTAAGAGGAGGAGGAGAGATGGTGGTATGAGGACTCAAGCAATAGAGTATGGAGAGAGAGAAGAACAAGATAATGGATGATACTCAAATAATAGTTAAAAATTCAGGTAACTAGAAAGATTGGGATGTGGAGAGAGAATGTGATAGAGTTGGATAAGAAGAAGAGAAGGAAGAGAATAATATTTGGGCATGGTGGCTCAGTGGTTAAGAGTGCCCGCCTCATGAACGGGAGGTCGTGGGTTCGAACCCCGGCCGAGTCATACCAAAGTCGTACAACAATGGGACCTTCTGCCTTCTAACTAGGCGCTCAGAATATTAGATTGGAGAAGGGTAGTAATAACATATTATGTTATGCAGGGCCCACTGGAAGAGCAGCTTCATAACTGAAGTGGCTACCCTGGGTAAATGAAACGTTATTATTATTATTATTATTATTAATATTCACATATCGATTTCCCAATTCTGTCTGATTATGTGATTCTTTTCCTGTTGAATAGGCCGGGGTTGACGAGTATGAGGTGGTACCCAACAGCCAGTTTGTGGTGTCAAGAACGGCGCACAAGGACAACAGCAGTAGCTACTACCTGGATGGAAAGAAGGTCAACTTCAAAGAATGCACAGCTCTTCTCCGAAAAGCTGGGGTGGATCTTGATCACAACAGGTTCCTCATCTTACAAGTAAGTAACTTGTCATTGTATAGCCCTAACCCTAACACCAGGTGCCATGATAATTGAAGTACTTGTGATCAGTATATCTGCATCATAACTCTTTTTTGATTTTGGGTGTTTGCATGGGTAACAAAAGCATTTTTATTCAAGTCCAAGATTATTTGGTCATTTGATGCCCCACAAGTTAGAGAGTATCGTTGTTTTATGCCGATAACATATGGGACAAAGTACGAAATGAGATCGGCTAATTGTTGTGATCCTTCCTAATTAATCATTCCCAACTTTCAAGTTTTAAGTTTTGATTGTTCCACATTTTACACAAAATATAGACATATATATAAAATAAGAAATTATACAATACATGTAGTATAAATGAGCACGTCTCAATGATTCTCAATTCATATAATAGATTAAGTAGAATGTGAGGAACCTAGAACCTATTGTAGAAGAAAAAAACCGAAGCATTAGAGAAGGACGTAATTTAGAGGGGAGACATTTAAAACACAATGGAATAAGGAAGTTTGTATACAAAATAATGCATTAGCACCAATACCCAGAGTTACTGATCACAACCTGGATGCTGCAAGGCTATAATTCACTCAGTGTCGACCAAGGGTAAACAACATCTAGCTTAGAATCCTGTCTCAGGTTAGCAGATAGCACTGTATCAAATAGAAGGTTCAGTGACACAAAGACGTAACTCCATATTTTGCCGAATGGAGTATTTGATATCAAAATGTTCAGAATAATGTGGGCTTTGCAGGAAACACAAAGACTTAACTCCACCCAACACCCAATTGAAGTCAATGGCTAGTGAATTATAGACTTAACTCCTTAAGGCCCAAGTGCTCAATGACACATAAACCACTTTTTCTCAAATTGGCCAAAACAGAGTTATGTCACTGACCCCTCTATATCTTCTTTCAAGTAGTAAGTCCGTCAATTCTTGCCAAATTGTTTGTTTGTAGGGAGAGGTAGAGCAGATAGCCATGATGAAACCCAAGGCCCAGACTGAACACGAGGAAGGCATGTTGGAATACCTTGAGGACATCATCGGTAGCAACCAGTTCAAGGAGTCCATAGAGGAGCTCGCCAAGAAAGTGGAAGAATTGAACGAGGAAAGGGGTGAAAAGGTGAGACATTTATATATGATGTATTTTATAGGTTAAGAAGAAACAACCAGTGCTCAATAGAAGTCCCCTTTGCCAGAAAGGATGTTTATAAATACTCCTTTTTCCCAAGAACTGGACGAGCATGGAACGCACTCGACCAGCAGTCTGTAATAGCCCCATGTATTGAGAACTTTAGAAACAAAGTCTACCATGTACCACCTGCCATACCAGTTAGCGACATGCGGAATACCGCACCGCTCACTCCAATTTCAGAAGATTCAGAAGACCTTTTCCCAGATTACTTGCAATTGTTGGTAGCTATGGAGTGTTAATGATTATTAACTAAAGTTAATTAGTGAAAAATTCCAATTTTTTGTTGGGCAATTTAGTGCCATCATAATGATAAGCAATTCATTGCTCAGAAATCATAATCTCCTAATCAACTGTTCTTATTTTATCCCAGTTAACTCGTGTGAAGGCAGTAGAATCAGAGATGGAGGAACTGGAGAAACCAATGAAGGAGGCTCAGGAATTTCTGAAGACGGAGAACGAGGTTACCAAGAAAAAGAACAAACTTTACCAGAAGTACATGTAAGTTTGATACAGAATCGATATAATGTTGATTCCAAGGGTATCCCCTGCTGATGGTGTGTTACATTTCTTTTCAATACAAATCATTGACCTAAGATTTACCGGAATGCTCCCCAGGGAGTGGAGAATGTGCATAGATTGTGTGCAGGTTAGCCTGAATTCGATGACCAAGATAATAATATATCTGTTAAGCGCTTTGACACCTCGTTGTATCAACGTATTGGGGGCTATATAAAAGCGATTATTATTATTATCATTATTAAGATTCTTGAGCTCTTTGGCTTGGATGCTGCAGATAGCAATGATATTATAGAGATATCGACTGCTATACGCTCAAGGGGAAGTTGCATTCGCTGCTATCACCCCGAGGTGCACCTGTAACAAATCAATATTCTGTTTGTTAACATATATATCATATAAATCAATTAACAATGCAGTGAATATAGCAAAACAGATGAAAAATTATATACAGCAGAAAAACTCTTTTTATATGTATATTGATATGTGAATATGTAAAAATGTACCATCATTGTAACTATGAAAAATTGAAAGAGGCAGAAAAAAATGCATCAAATTTGAATTGAATTGAATTATCTTTCAGCTCTGAGTGTAATGAAAATGAAGCTAAAGCCCAGGAGAAGAGGAAAGCGGTCCAAGATGGGATGAAGGAGATGGAGGAGGGTCTGAAGACAATGGCTTTACAGAACAAGGAAAAGATCAAAGAGCATAAGAAACTCTACAAGTAAGATCCGATCGATGAAACGATATTTCACCATTTTCAAACATTATTGTTCATCATAATTTCATTTACACCATCACATACATGTAGGTTGAGTGGAATGAGGTGTGTGAAAAGGGGGGGGGGGGCAGATATGGGAGGACAAAAGCATTTTGCATATTATTTAAAAGTTCATTGATATATTTGCCATTTATTTTTATCCTGCTGAAGACCCTTGTTTCTTCAGGCCTTAAGATTGATCTCGAAAACACTATGACTGATTTGAAGGGGCAAAAAAATCAATTGGGTCTCATCTTATTTAGACTCTAAATAAGTTTCAGTTAACGAAACACCTACAGGTGTATTTATCATGCCATAGCAAGAATCCTGTATGTAGATGCAATTAGTCAATGGTGGCATATTTTGAAAAGGTAAACAGGAAAGTTATCTCACTCTTTGTTACGTTGTAAATAACCATAAAGTTACTATCAAATGACAATTTCTACTTTAAATCTGTAAGCCATAATAATGAGCATAACACATCTTCCATTTGAGGTTCAAGGATAAGACAAGGCCCTGTTTCAGAAAATTTGTATCGATAACGAGTTACATTATGTTATAAGCTACTGAAATTGTGGCATTTGATTGGCTGAGAGCAAATTTTTCTTAAAAATTTAGCATTTGTTATTGATACCAATTTTGTTTTAAACAGCGCCCAGGAGTAAACCTTCTTCTAAATGAACCATTTAAAAAAAACACAGTAGTTATTATGTTTATTTTATTATTTTATTTGCTCGTCTATAGACAATACGAGAAGCTTGCAGAAGTAGCGGAGCAAAAGAAGGCAGACTTTGCAGAGTTTGAGAGGCAGGATGTTAAATGCCGAGAGGATCTGAAACATACCAGAGAGAAACAAAAGAAACTGGTCAAGAACTTGCAGAAAGAGAAGACCAAGGTAGGAAGGAGTATGCTTATTTTATTTTTAGAATAGGTTTGTAGAGTTAGAGAATGGAGTTGTGGGATGAATTTTAATCTGGCAAGCCTGTTTCACACATTGTGGAATAAATGAGATAAGCCAGCCTGAAAGCGAAGAACTTGGGCTTAGAGCCCACCAGAATCAATTGGCCTTGTCAGGGTTAACAGAAATATGGAGTGGAGGTTCAAGTAGGGACACTGATTTTCCGTTTAAAAAAAAGGCCTTTTCCGTTTCAGAAAATCTGGAATTCCATTTCAGATGGCTGAAAAACGGAAATTCCATTTTGCCATAGACTTTGTACACATGAAAAATCTAAAATTCTGTTTACGAAAGATTTTCATTAAAACATGAACTTGTAGGGTACAAATGTTCTATTAAAGCTGCCACCTTTGACAAGCCACTGATAACCACTCGAAAACATACAGACGGGACTGGATGCAAAATACTAGTGAAAATATAGACCCCTAGACTTTAAGGGTCTAGGCTAGACCTACACAAAATTATCAAATGTTTAGTTTTACCAACTTCAAATTCGAACTCAGACAAGCAGACTAAAGTTAGCAGAATGTGTCAGAACACGACATATTCCTGACGGAACGATACAGTAGTACCGACGTCGACGAAAACATATCAGTCTTGGCTGTCATGTCAGCGATCCGCTATCGTATGATTTTAGGCGCACATGCCAGCCCCTTTTTCGAACTGTACAACAGTGTGTACAATATCACCGCACTTAGCGCCCAATGCTGGCGTGTGTGTTTCCTAGTATTACGTCTACGTAATAGCGCCCCTAACGATCTCTATTGGTCCAGCGAAATAAAATGGCAGCACCCTGTCTCCTAAGAATCTGACGAATATCGCTAAATATTCGGAATTATTAAACATGATTTTAGGCCCGATATTTTTTCACTGCATAACGAATCACAAAAATAGTGTAAGTTTTACGATTTTCTTCTTGAAAAATGAAAAGTTTTGAGGTAAAAGGGGTTTTCCGAGATTTTCCATTCAAAATTGCATTTTCCGTTTCAAATGGTCATTTCCGTGAATTCCGTCCATTTTCCGTGATTGCGGAAAATCAGTGTCGCTAAGATTGTGCACACAGAGTGTGTGGGCAAGCACTGAATCCAATGACCGGGGTAATAGTATATTTGTAAAGCGCTTAGAGACATTTGTATTAAGCGCTATATAAAAGCTAAATATATTTTTTTTAATGTATAATTATTATGTAAATGCTGTGAATTATCATCATCATCATCTCTTCTTTCTTATACTGTAAAAGTAGAAACATTTAGCACTCTCGAAAATATAAGCATGACTTCTTATGCATGTTTTGAAGAGGCTGAATTGCGTGCAAACCAAATTTAAGAACCAGCGATTATGTTTTGGGGTTGCTCAGTGCGAAAAATTAATCACACGAAAATAACAGCGTTTAAGGTTCCGGGGGAAAGTGCGAGTGAGAAAGAGGAGATGGAAAAGAGAGCCTGGAAGCCAAGATCCAAGGGGGGGGGGGGGTGTTTTACAAAACTTGTCATCAGTGACAAATGACAGTTTTTGTTATAAAGGTAGTGAAATCCTTGCTTCTGATTGGTTATGAGCAGATTTGTCACTGCTTTTTGTCATTTGTCATTGAAAAAGGGCTTTGTGAAACGGGTCCTTGGATTAGAACCTGCCAGAATAACCCAGACTTTCGAGGGTCAACAGAAAAGTTTTGCCATTTAAATGCTGATAATCACCACCACCATCATAAAATGTATCTCTTCTCTGTTTTGATCTCTTACAGCTTGAGGGCTTGCTGAAAGTACCGGGAGACAGTGAGATTGAGATCGGAGAGCTGGAGAAGAGGAAAGCCAGCCTAGAAGAGAAGCTGAAAGTGGAAGAAGCCAAGATGAACGACATCATGGCATCCCTCAAGACAGAGACAAAGGGGCTACAGGCAGAGAAGGAGGTAGGGCAAAGTCAGGGGTTGGGGTTGTGGGAGGGAATGCAGCCTTTATAGCATGTAGTTTGTTTGTTTTGTTAGTTTGCTTTACCTGACTGCTGAGAAAGCCTTTATATGCTTGTAAGTACGCAACAAGGGGACCGACGGCTGTAAGTCCTCTCTGTGGGACTTGGTAATGAGAATAAATACCTTACCAAAGGGCAGTAGTGCATCGACTTGGCTTTTAACCCGGGACCTCCCTGTTACACGGCCACTGCTCTACCTCTGAGCCGTCTGGTCTCCTTTTTTTCTTATCGAGGAAATGTAGCCTTAATAGCATGTTGTCTTAAATGAAGGCAGAAATATCAGGGGGAAAAAAATTGTTCTATACTAAAAAATAAAAGAAATTAATGTATTTTCTCAAAATCATACATGCACCCTAAATAAAATAATGGCAAATAATTGTGGATCCCTTGGTTCGTGGTTCGAGTCCCACCTTGGCACTGATATCCTTTGGCATGATTTTAATCTGCATTAACCAATCTCCACTTTCCGGGTGGTGTAAATGGGTACCCGATAGGAAAGAATTCCTTGAATGCCAAAGCACATTATCAGGGCTGCTCTCTTAATGCCGGGGTAATAATAGTACAGCGCTAAAGACACTTGGGGTGGTATTCTCAAAAGCGTACTAAGTGTTCCATTGTTTAATCCACCAACTAAGTATGGAATGCCAAGTGTCCATATGAATATATTTTTGAATAATTCAATCTGTGACTACATTAAAATATGATGTATTAACATAATTAATAAGCAACAATATAACTATGATATAATTATGTAATCATGGTAATTTAGGGACATATCAAATTATTCAAAAATATATTTATATGGACACTTGGCATTCCATATTTAGTCAGGGGATTAAACCATGGACTAAAGTTAGTCCGCTTTCAAGAATACCCCCCTATATGAATGTGACAATTATTATTTATTATAACTATGCCCTTCGGTTACTGTACACTAAGGCTGCGACGAGTACTTGATTACTTGAGTACTCGCACTGTTGTTGACAACTACTCGAGTACGAATACATGGCCGCCATTTTTTTATTTTTAAACCACCTGGCCCCGTGCGGGCCGGCCGAAGCTCCCCTGTGCCTGGAAAAGCACCGGCAGGGTACCGTGAGTAAAAATGTTTCCCAGCTCAATCATATACGGGGTGTCACTATCAACTCACCACTCAGAAACTAGAACAAAACTAGCTGCCAATGTCCAGATATCTGTTTGAACTTGGGAGGATAATTTGTCTGTCATCTTAAGTTTAAAAAACAACATTGTTACTATAATTTGTGAGAAGTTCACAAGCACAAATCGGCGCCTTCAATTGCAACTCACAGTAAATAGCGTGGGTTTTCGTAGCCGGACTATGGGGTGCTTCCTACAACGTCGGCAAAAATGTTTTGAAAATGCACAGCCTTCTGTACACTGATATATTTTCCTTGTTTCTCTTCTCTTTTTCCCCTTCACTGCTCTCAGGCTAAAGAGACGGAGCTGATGGGTTTCCAGAAGGAGCTCAATGAAGCCAAATCCCAGAAGACACTGGCCGACTCTGAGCTCGGTCGCCAGCGCAAGAAGGTCGAGGGCGCCAGATCCAAGCTCGAAAAGGCGCGTACCAATGTCAAGACCATCGCTGAGAATCTAGTCGAATGGCAGAGGTATGTCATAGCATGAAAAAGATTTGTTTTTTTTATATGTGTTATTTCTGTAATGCTAACGATTTTGATCCATTTTCGCCCTAGACATAAGGGGGACTTGAAGAATAGGGGCGTTTCTATACTTGGATCTGCAGATGTATACATAATTAATTCTTAATGTTCTTCTTTGTTTTTTCTTATGTTTTATTCTAAAGTATGAGTCAGAGAATTGGGTCCATGAAGCTTAAACATAAGTTTGTAAGATGCCAGACTTAGGTAGAAATGGATTTGTTTGTAGTGAAAAATTGTCAAGCTAAATTTCAAAAAGGATGCAGGACATTTTAAAGGTGATTTCTCTTTTCAAAGATAAAATCAAATAAAATGATCGCAATTATGAATGATACATCGAGGGGTCTACACTAACTTTTTTTCCAAAGGGGCCCCAGATTAACGCTTTTAGGGTCTGCATGCCTGGACCCTCTTTTTAAATTTAGAAATGTGGGGGTCCAGAGTTATACAATGGGGACCTGTGTGTTCTTATAGACAAGCCTTGTTCAAGCTTTTGGATACAGTCCATTGCAATGACACCATTAATCTTAAATTTGGGGGTCCAGAGTTGTACAATGGGGACCTGTGTGTCCTGAGAGACGAGCCTTGTTCAAGCTTTTAAATACAGTCCATTGCAATGACACCATTAAAGGCATCGTTTAACAATGTTAAATCTGAGATGCACGGCCCTACGTGTTATCAGTGTCTGTGATATGGTGTAATATTAAAGCCCTAAAAAAATTGCACTTCAAAATGATCAAGAAGTGCCTCAAAACAGTAAAAAACTTTGAGTGACCAGTGTTACTGTACTTGTTTCCCCCCAAAGAGTAGTGTTATGAACACAGTTAGGAAAACGCAAAATTTGATTTCAATTTCCAAATATAACTATCTTGATTAATCAGCCAGGGGATCGGCTTATAAAAGTCATGCGGTTCCTGACTGACCTAAAGGTTCATAATTATCATTGCAGCATGAGCTAAATCCAGGATTTTGTTTCAGAATCCGAGACAAAGTTGCCCAATCCCTTTAATCTTTAAATTTTGATTGACAGCACTATCAAGAACCTTGAGAAAGAGATCCCCGAGATGGAGATCAAGCTGGAGGCTTCTGAGAAGGAGCTAGTAGAGGTCAGGAGGTCAGAGGGAGCGGCCAGCTCAGGGGTAAGTATTCTCTCTTTTCCTTACTCTCTAGGATGTAAGATGGTTGGTTAGGTGGATGGATGGATGGATGGATGGATGGATGGATGGATAGGTGGATGGATGGATGGATAGGTGGATTGATGGATGGATAGATGGATGAGTAGAAAGATGGATGGATGGATGGATGGATGGACAAATAGATGGATGGATGGATGGGTGGATAGGTGAATGGAAAGACAGATGGATGGATGGATAGGTGGATGGATGGATGGATGGATGGATGGATGGATGGATGGATGGATGGATGGATAGGTGGATGGATGGATGGATGGATGGATGGATGGATAGGTGGATGGATGGATAGGTGGATGGATGGATGGATAGGTGGATTGATGGATGGATAGATGGATGAGTAGAAAGATGGATGGATGGATGGATGGATGGACAATTAGATGGATGGATGGATGGGTGGATAGGTGAATGGAAAAACAGATGGATGGATGGATAATTGGATGGATGGATGGATGGATGAATTAATGGGTGGGTGGGTGGGTGGGTGGGTAGAGGATCCTGACCAGGAGTTTAATTGTGGAAGTCAGGCAGTCAGATTCAAACTCCAATGCAGGGGCTAGAGTTCCTCTTCTTACTTTATGGAAATTGAGGAGGGGTTAGGTATCAAGAGATGATGGGTTTACATGATGTTCAATTCAGCTCAGTGGTACCCAAACTCATTTTATCAGTGTAACAATGTCTCAATTTTGTGTCCCATCAGCTGAAGGATCAAACCGTGAAGGTCCAGGAAGCACGGAGCTCCATGCAATCGGCCAAGGATAGAGGCTTCCTCATCTCGGCTCTCATGGAACAGAAACGTCTCGGCAAGATCAACGGCATCCAAGGACGCTTGGTACGTAAATGGAGATATGAGCTCTAGGGCCAGTTTCTTGATACCCAATTGTAATCTTAAATTTGCGGACATCTAAGAGAAAAGCTTATTAATTCTATAACACATATGTTTCTTTGGGATGTTCAAGAAGTTAGACTTACATGTTTGACGGGGCAAGAATCGGCCCGCTCGTATAAAATCTGGTGTCTCTAACAAGTGACAATACTTGGTATAAGCTACTTTAATACATCATTCCATTTGTTTTGATGTTGGAAAATTTCTCTTTAAAATTGTGCACATGTTATTAAAGACAAGTTCTATGAATGAGACCGGGTGTGTGGACTTGCCTTAAGCAGAACACCTGAGAGAAGGCCTTCTAAGGTTCTTATTGCAATCCATTTCCACTTTTGTAAATGCTTACTATACTCAATGCTTCGAGTGTGATACAAGAATATATTGCTTGAGCTTTGACAATGTTGAACGAGTCGAAGACGAGTCCAATATTGTCATAGCGAGAGCAATATATTCTTGTATCACACAAAAACAAAGACATACAATATTATTATTATCTATATCAAACTGACTAGCAAAATAACAAAATTTGACTTACCTCGGTAAATATATGGCTTTGTTTTTGTTTGATATCGATATCGCTAGTTGAAGTTCCTGGATGACTGAGCAATAAGAAAACATTATTGGTCAGTCATCCACGTACTGCGCTAAAGATATTGAATAAACTGATTTATTGTACCACTTGGAAGCCTCATGTAGATAATAATAGCTAATATTATTTTATTGTTATTGGTAGTCACTAGTGAAGTTACAATAGATAAACTACAAACATTTTCTGAAGCTGATGCACTTTGGTTTCCAACTTTTATAGGGTGATCTTGGGGCAATCGATGACAAGTACGATGTAGCCATCTCTACCGCCTGCGGGGCTCTGGACTACATAGTGGTGGATACCATAGAAACGGGAGAGAAATGTGTCAGCTTCCTGCGCCAGAACAATATCGGAGTAGCCACCTTCATCTGTCTCGATAAGGTGAGTTATATAGGCCCGAGTCATACCGGTTTTGTTTTATATCAGGGCTCCATTGCCAAAAACTGGTCAGATTTGATACATCGATAAATATTTACATATTGGGAAACATTGTACATTCCTAAATCTTGGCTGTTTAGGTTAAAAAGATGGCGAGAATTTCACTTATTCCATGACAGTACTTTCTGCAAAGAATGATTTATTTGCTATATTTCCTCTGAAACTATCTATTGTTGGATTTCCATTTTTAAAAGTCTGTTTTGCTTCCAAAATATTGAATTTCTCAGAGTGTTTTCCTGCTCAAACATGTATGATCACGTATGGTCATTTTTGTGATCGCAGACGCAGTCGCAGTCTTCGTTCCGAACATCAAGGTCTGGGCTCTGTTCCTGGCCTAGAGTTTGATTTGCTAGCTCTGTGTGATATGATTGATTGTGAACACAACTATTGAATTCAGTATTTCCTATGAAGGCTTAATACAGTGAGCAACCCGGTTCCTGTAGACAGTGGATTAATATTACCTGAAAACGGTTGCATTATGTGCCCAGGAGAAGGGAATTAACATGGGAATTCCTCATAAATGTGTCGTAGAGGTGCTGTATTCAAGTAGTTTGAACTTTGAACACTCCCCATATGACACAAAGTTTCTCACATTTCTCTGTAATGTCTTTACCACCTTCTCTGCCACAACGTTTATGAACAAGTATGCACTTTGAAAGGAATGTCAAGTCGATGTCCTTTTGTTTTCTTATCTCTTTCTCTATAGATCAAGCATCTTGCGAAGAATGCTTCATCTAAAATGAACACGTGAGTTATTGCTTTATTTATTTCATATCAAATCCAAGCAAATTTTGTCCCACCATACATTACCAGTCATATCTCAAATGTTAGTATAACCGATGATTGTATTAATTTTCAAGCCCCAAAAGTGCTTTGTTCAGACAGAAGATACATGATGATTTTGATGTCAATTTATGTTTATTCTACTTGCTAATGTACAGGACACTAAATCACCAAATACCTTAAAGGTACATGTATAGACCAGTTTTGGAAACGCCCCCCTCTCAAAAAAAGAAAAATGGAAGCTCTTATTACCAGTCATGTGAAAGAATGTGTTTTGACTAATACATGATGATCCAAATTTTGCCGGGAAACCGCCTACCAATTGATATATTTGATAAATTATCGTATCGATCCAGCCTGGATAGATATAGCGAATGCACTTCAAAATTGAACATGTGGACATATATTTCTGCTCTTTTGTGAATTTAGGTTGAACTATTGCATCTAAACCTCTGAAGGCAATATTTAAAGGATATTGAATGGATATTTTGCCCCCAAAACCCTTGAACCGCAACTTTACCACTACCGATCTTTATCTTTAAACTTGCCCACTAAAACAAAAAAAATCTTCATGCATGATGATGAGAAGGAAAAAAAAGAAAGTTTTGTTGTAGAGAGAGGTATAAAAAAAAGGAGAAAATAATTCAGTATGAGTTAAGAAACAAGAAAATCAGAGCTTGAATTTTTTTTTTTTAACTGAGTGCCCAGACATTTTGTACACAGAGATGCCAACCAGATATCACCAACAACAAACAAAATTTAAAAAAAATTATTTATTTATTTTTTATTTTAAAAATCCATAAGAACCCATAAAAACCGTGGAATCGCATAGAAACATGTACAAGTAAACCTCTACAACCCCAACAAAAACTTTGCTTTACAATTTTTCATTAAATTTTAATGAAAGAGCAAACATTTTACTTGACCCTACTTACCAGTAAAACATTTTTATGAAATTTTACTGGCCTGGGGCAGTGGTAGTGTCAAGTTTTTGTGAAAATCTGATTTTTTCTCTCCAAAATCTAATATTTTAGGATACTCAGTCGTTTTTTTTGTGTCAAGAGGTTGGCATCCAGGGCTTGCCCTTAACTTTTTTTTGAGGTGGCCAGCAGGGCCACTTGGGTAGGAGATCTGGGTGGCCAAATGGATTTTCAGGTGGCCCCACTTTTATGCGTTATTAAATAATGCAAATGTTTAATAAAAAAATGCATAAATTATACGTGTTAAAAGCAGCATCAGCTGCATTTAATAATGAAAGGTGAGTGACTCTTCAGACTCTCATTCCAAATCCTTTCTCTTTGTTTCTATACTTCTGTCTCAACTTCACTTCAATGTTTTTCTCCCTTTCTCCTTGACTATCATGCATCACAAGGACCCCCTCCCCCTTAAGTTGGGATTGTACAGGGCACACAAGGCGCCAAACTTCTGCTTTTCTTTGAGCTCCAAGTTCTGTTGGAAGATATCAAATTGATTGTATATTTACTTGACGTTGTACTTCTATTCTGAACTGAATAAATGGTATTTTTGTAATTTATTATTTTGATATTTTCTGGTTATTCTGGATTGGATAATCAGTCAATAATCATGCAAAAATACATGCAGTTAAAGAGGACCACACACGGAAAGATTAGCACCAAGTCATTCAAAATAATTTAAGTCGGAATTTCTTCTTTTGTTCTTTTTTTCTTCAAGACAACATTTTATTGCACTGCATGTTTTCTTAGCATGGACAGTGAAGAACATGCATGTAATTATATACCTGTATGGGCTACCCACCCTTGAGTCAGTTACCTATAAGAACAAACTGAAACAACTAAATAAATTAGGATGGCTGCAAATTGCCTTTTCCTACAAGTTGTACAGCGGATAACGAAGCCTGTACATGTATTAGCACGTGGAGGACCATTTAAAACTTATATTTGCATCTCGTTCCGTACATTTCAACCAAGTGATTTACTACTGATGATCGATGATAAATTTCATATTATTTATTATTGTATTATTATTCATATTATCTGTTTAGAAATTGGTTGACATTGGGAAGGAAACCAATAAAGAATCAAACCGGCAACTCCTAAAAAGATCCAAATATTATTCTGAAAGTAGGCCAATTGAAATAAATTAATGAATCTTTTCTCAAGACTCAAATATATATTTTTCTAATTTCTATATAATAGCCGCCTATTTTATAACGGTAGACTTTTGATAAGTATTGTAAGACTATATCTTGAATCTTCTACGTAACAATACCAGAGTATACTATTGCCTTTCCCTGATCTAGTGTTATTAAACAAGGTGGTAGGACCTCCACATCAATTGTTTCAGAAAAAGGAAAGTCACAATAAACAAAACATTTTTTTTTTACTTGGCCTTATCGGCATTCGTAAAAGTCTCGTAAACAAACTGTCAGAGACGGGGCTGCGTTACCTCGATCCGTCTATCGCTCTCTCTTATGCCTGAATCACATTTCCTCTACGGAGCCCGTACGATGTTTAAAAACAGCCGTTTAAACCAATTTCGTACGAACCACACCGTACAAAATTGGTCGAAACGGCTGTTTTTAAACATCGTACGGGCTCCGTAGAGCTAGAGGAAATGTGATTCAGGCATTACTGCTCAAATAATTTACGCGTCAGTGGACAGGGATACCTCGCATACATGTTATGTACAGGACACAAGATCAGATTTTAGCAAATTATTTGCCATTTGTTTTCCATCAAAATTCATGGCCCTGAATTTTTTTTATTATTTAGGCCTTATATATATTTAGTTAAAAAGGTCCATGTAGTGCTACAAATAAAACGTGAACATACCCCGTTTAACTTAAACTAATGAACATCAATGATGATTGCTACCTAGTAATAACAGATCAATTATTCAATCGATAATCACGGAAAATTAACAACAGAACAGCGTACATTATCACCAACAAAGCGTACCGCCGTAGGCCTACGTTGTTATCAAACAAAAAACACGTGAAATTCTCATTTTATGAAGCTCGCACGGCTTCCACACGTACACACTGATTGAGTTACCTTTATTTTCAATCAATATTACCTCCACCAATCATAATGTCAAATACCAGACACACCCATTGTTGTTCCCTCGTTGCTTAGTATAGTCCACAATTAGTCGCAAATACACCAATCACAATGCTGGGATTTGGGAATCCCCAACTTACCCGCCCGAAATCTCATGCGCAGTTTGTAACTGCGCAACAAAGAGTTGAGAAGCGTACTAGCTGTGCTGCAATGCGGATATCGACAGCTGCCCTATACGCGGTAGCATACTATGATAGCGCTACGCCTATGTACCGGCCGGGCTTGGGTGGCGGCGGCGGTGTGTACAGTACCTACGCGACGGCGTTTATCGTTTTTATAAAGTTAGTATGCGAAACGAAACATTTCCTTGTTTGATAGATCGGATTGCGTCGCTTGGAAAAGCTTGGAAAAATAAATGTCGCCTCGGTTTCGGGTAGATCTAAAGGTTAAACAAGTTGTCGATAAATAATTTATATATTACTGTCCAAATATTTGGGTGGCCAGCCGGGCCATCTAGTCGGTGATTTCAGGTGGCCCGACAGCGTTTCAGGTGGCCATTGGCACCGGGCCACCGCTAAATTCGAGCCCTGGCATCACTGTGTACATGTATATAAAATTTCCAAAATTCCATTTACTCATATATATGCAATTTTTTTCCACTCTGATTTGGCAGTCCTGATAACGTGCCTCGCCTGTATGACTTGGTGCGTGTGAAGGAAGAGAAGTTCCGCATTGCCTTCTACTACGGTCTGGGAAACACACTGGTTAGCAAGGACTTGGAACAAGCCACAAAGATCGCCCTTCAGGGAACCAAGCGCCATCGTGTGGTGACGCTGAAAGGAGAGCTGATCGAATCATCAGGTGAGGACCATTAAAGACCCTGGCAGTGGTTCATGAAAACCATCACAATAACAAGTTTATCGAAACTTGTGTATTGAAAATAACATGTGTTTCAATGGGATGTCCGTTATCTGGTACTGATGATTGTTTCATGAAGTGATTGTTTCAGGAAATGCAAGCACTACTTTAAAGGGAAAGTCCACCCCCAAAATAAGTTTGTTTCGATAGAGGCAGAATAATAAAAAAATCAGGTGAGTGAAAGTTTGAGCAAATTCTGAATGAAAATAAGAAAGTTATGAATTATTGAAGTTGTGATCAATCAGATACAAATTGGCAACTCTGTGACTTATTATACGAGCTCTCCTTCATTTGCTTTGTGCATAATATTCCATAAAATCAAGTTTTCTTCGTTATTGATGACGGAATATATATTTGTTCCTTGCAGGGGGAGTATAGAAACATATTTGCAATTATTATATTTAGGGTGCATGTATGGTTGAAATTTTTCTTGAGGGAAAATGAAAATTTTAGATTTTTTTAGTACTGAGCAAATGGAAGTTGAGCTTGCATGATACGTCATAGAGTTGCCAATTTGTGTTTGATTTATCACAACTTCAATAATTCATAACTTTCTTATTTTCATTCAGAATTTGCTCAAACTTTCACTCACCTGATTTTCTTATTATTCTGCCTCTATCGAAACAAACTTATTTTGGGGGTGGACTTTCCCTTTAAACAAACATGACTTGCTCATTTTTCCTGATTGAGGTGTCATATGAAAGGGCAGAGACTCAACTTTCTAGAAATGTGATTTTCTCTCTGAAATTCAGATACCGTCCGCCAAATGACTTTTTGGTTTCCTCTCTTCAAATTCATTTTAATCACTTATGCGTGAAATATGCATCATATAACTGGCATTAAATGAAAGAGGAGGATCTAAGCTTTCCAAACATGTATCATTTATTTATTATAAATGTGAATAAGTTATGATAAAACATTGGTAATTCTCGGGTTTTTTTTTCTGGGACGCACTGTATATAAGCGGAATATTATTATTATTATTAATGTTGCAAACCAGTGACCCACATTTCCCAGGCTTTATTTCTTCCAATATAGACCCCAGTGTGTAAATATTTTCCTGGCAGGAAACCATTTTGAATTGCAATTATTTTGTGTTATGTCAATCGTGATTCAACTGAACTTTCATGAATCTTAACCAATTGCAAAATTTCCCGGCATAATATTCACCAAAGTTTCTGGTCTTTTGGTAAGGTCAGGGTTAGAGTTGCGATTACGATGGGATTTTGGTTTGGTTTGGTTTAGCATAAGGGTCATGATTGGGTGCAGTGTTTTGTCCAGGGGAGTGTTTCCCAAAGACTAAGGTCGACTTTAAGTTGGACTAAACTATGAACGGCCTGCCATAGTTAAGTTCAGTCTAAAGTCGATCTTAGTCTTTGTGAAACACTCCCCAGGTTTGAAGTAAGGAATTCAGGTAGTGTCGGAAATTAATTGAGTGTCACAATGTAATTCAACATGAAAATTAGGAATCAAAGCATTCACAAAGCACAGCATGACATTCTCTCACTTCCATTTGCCAATCTTGAAAAAACCCTCTGTTAAATTGTAATGTTGCACTGTATTCGCCATTGATTGAATACCTGTGTGTGTGTGTGTGTGTGTGTGACAAAAGTCTACTGTGGCAGTCCCCTAATTGTTTGATTAGTCGACCAAAGTTGACAAAGAGTGAACACATTGCCTGCTGGAACCAGGTGTTCCCTGTATTGACCTATGGGGATTAGAGAATGTAGTCGTCAATAGGTTATAGGAAACCTCATTTGAGATGGCTGTATATGATTTATTCTAGGTACAATGAGTGGAGGGGGCAAGCAGGTCAGCAAGGGTCGTATGGGATGCACCATTGTTCCCTGTATTAAACCTATGGGGATTAGAGAATGTAGTAGTCAATAGGTTAAGGGAAACCTCATTTGAGATGGCTGTATATGATTTATTCTAGGTACAATGAGTGGAGGGGGCAAGCAGGTCAGCAAGGGTCGTATGGGATGCACCATTGTCTCTGATGTGACCCCTCAGGTGGTGGCTGCCATGGAAACCGAACTGGAGCAGTGCAGGGTGACAGCTGGCCAGCAGAGGGATAGGCTGAGAGAGCTGGAAGCAGAAGTCAGCCAGCTTGGAAAGAAGCTACGAGAGGCAAAGCTTGCTATCAAGAAACACAGCATGGGAATTAAGGTAAGAATTGATGCTATGTCAGGCATGGTTTCAGAGAATTGAATAATGTGATGTCGGTCGGTTAGTAGAGGGATAGGCTGAGAGAGCTGGAGGCAGAATTCAGCCATCTTGGCAAGAAGCTACGAGAGGCAAAGCTTGCCATCAAGAAACACAGCATGGGAATTAATGTAATAATTGATGCTATGTCAGGCATGGTTCAGAGAATTGAATAATGGGATGTTGGTCGGTTGGTAGAGGGATAGGCTGAGAGATCTAGATGCCAAAGTGAGCCAATTGGGCTAGAATTTGAGGGAGGCAAAGCTTGCCATCAAGTAAAACAGTATGGGAATTATGGTAAGTAGCGATGCTATGGCGGGCATGCTCAAGATATTTTGCTTTTAGCTGGTTGTAAGAGGGACAGACTGAGAAACCCAGGACACTTTGGAGGTGATTAGAATTTAAAGTTTATATTTTTTTCCACAGACATAATATTTGGACACAATTGAACATCAAAGATAAATCAACTAGGTCTTCTCACAACTGAAGGGTTTTTTGTTCTCATTTTTCTTACATTTCTTTTTTCTTTTCTTTTTCATAGCACTCTTGTTTTGCAATTTCTTTCAACAATAATAGGCAGTTTTTTAAATATTTGATCTATATTGTAATGAACACTTTTCTATGCACTTCATGAAAGATTGTAATGAAATAAATTTACCAATATCCGTTTCAATGTCAGTAGATTCAATAAATATATACCTCTCTTTAAAAATCTAGATATAATGATTGCTTTAATATTCAAGGAATAGTTGTTTCATGGGCTCTAGGGGATGTTGCATCTTGATATCACCCCTCAGCATGCCTCGGGGTGATATCATGATGCAACATCCCCTTGAGCCTATAAAACAACTATTCCTCTTAAAGCAGTCATTATATCTATACTATTCAATTCATTAAAAGTATCTCATTGATATATTTCTCCCAGGCCAAGACAGAGGAGGGAGAGCTTCTGAAAGAGCAGATAGTCACATTTGAAGCCGAGCTAACGGAGGCTGAGCAGGAGACCGACTTCAAGACATTGGAGAAGGCAGTCGAACAAGCTGACAAAGGTTTGTACCAGTATTATTTTCTTGAAAATCTTTAAAAGTATGGTGTGTTATAAACAAGTTTGGGGAAAAGGAGAAATCGACAACTATGTGTAAGCTAAAAAAGGTAGATTTCAGTATTATGTTTTTGGGTTGTCCGTCTGTACATCCCGTTCTCGTGATCACGTTATCTTAAGAACCGACTGATGGATTCCTGCCAAACTTTGGTCATTTGTATCTTTCAGAGCCAATTAATTGATTAGATTTTGGGGTCACAAGGTCATAGGTCATAGGTCACAGGGCTCATTATGTGTGCAAAAAAAGCTTATATTCACATTATCATTAGAACAGATGGATGGATTACCATCAAACTCAAGACCTGTATGTATCTTGTAGAGCCAATGAACTGAGGTAAAGATCAAAGGGTCATACATGTATATGAGAAATAGATGGTAATCACGATATTCTGAGAACCTGTTAATGGATTACAATCGAACTTGAATTTGAAAAATTGCTTATATTTTTGGTTTGTAAAATTGCTCTATGACGGAGGCATTATTTTCGACTGCGCGCAGTTGAAGTTCCATCTAGTTAATGAGTGATCTTTCAGCTTTTAAAAATATATAGTTAATAGGTTAAAGGTACTATGTCCCTTTTGCAGCCAACCCCAAATGCTGTAGAACTTTGCAGGAATTATGAATATGTCATGTATGTCCTATCTGTGAAATTTAAACGTTAGCTGTGTCCTCATATTCAAATTATGCAAGGAAACCCGTTTACTTGCTAGACTTCACTGTCAGACACTTGAGTGACTGACTGGCTTTTTTTTCTTCTTTGGTAATAACATACATGAAAAGAGTTGTAAAGGGTACATGAGAATTTGTCTACATCAATAACCCACTTCTTGTGATGGCCAAGATTAAACTGATTGAATCTTTGCGCAGCATAAAACGTATGACCATTCGGTACAATTGTCTGAAAATCAAGACTTTTACTTTTAGGCTCTATAGCCCTAAAGTCGATTTGACAACTAATAATCATTATTTTCCCACTTGAAGACATTTTCAATCCCCACCTTTTTTAGGGAAGTTCTAAATTAGTATTATCTTTCAAATGCAGTTGGAATTTAACTTTTTCATTTTTTTGGCCTGCAAATGGGACATAGTACCTTTAGGTAAAAAAAAAAATGAATGATGCTGCTTTAGTTTGTGTGCAGTAATCTCAGGGCGAAAGAAGTCCATTCTCCAATGACCTTTCGTGCATAAGGAGAGCAGTGAAATTGCTCGTTATAATGGGAATGATTAACAATGTGTCTCTTTGTTTTAGGCACGCAATATTTAGCTTGTAATGGCCGAAATCTCGTTATAAGACGTTCATGATGCCATTGGATTACACAACAACTAGATTTGGGCCCATGACGATACCCTTGTTATACGCGTTACCTCGTTGAATCGAGTTTCCCCTGAACATCTTTAATATATTAGTCGGCAAATCGTAGCTGAAACAGCAAAGTTTCTTTGTCGGAAGTCATATTATTTTTTTGAATTCTTTTGTTTAATCTTTTGTTTAATCTTTTGTTTAAACCTTTTATATGAGTGGACACATTTAGGATGGCGTCAAGAAACCTTGCGATCAAATCGTAGAGATCGGCAACAGCAAGATGAATTTTTCATTCTGATAATACTGTAGTAGGCAAACGTAGCTTTACCAGCAAAGCTTCTTTGTCTGAATTGTTATTATTTTGTCGAATTCTTTTGTTTGAACCTTATAGGTAAAGCCCAGTTTCGGAAATGCCCCCCCTCTCAAGAAATGAAATGGAAGCTCTTATTACCAAACATGTAAAAGAATATTTTTTGACTAATACGCGATCATACAAATTTTGTCGAGAAACCGCCTATACTAATTGATATGTTTGGTAAATTATTATATCTATTTGGACCTGATAGATATAATGCACGTGTCGCGCACTTGTCGCGCACGTGTCGCGTAGTCCCATATACATCCTTCTGTGTACAGTGCCTGTAACTTTACCAAGACTGGGCCAAATTTCTTATCATTTTGATGATTCCAGAACCTTGCAATACACATGAATACTTATATGCTAGATGATCAACCTTTTCTGATCGATTCCACACCATTTCTTTCACAATGCAATCGCATGACCATAACTGGTCTTTATCTTTAAATGTGAACAGCGTACCAGAAGGTGGCAAGCGTCACATCTCGCATCGAAGCTGACGTCAAGGCACTTCACAATCAGATCATGGAAATCGGCAGCAGCAAGATGAAGTCCCAGCAGGCCATTCTGGACAAGTTGACCTCTGACATCGACGCAGCAAGCAACGGAATCACCAAGGCCAACGTTGCCATCAAGACGGCCAAGAAGTAAGCGAAGTGAATTAGCAGGCCACTCAGATACACAGTGTACCGTTGTAGCATGATGTCACTTGAATTTCCTTGTTCGGGCCGATGACGTCCTGTCAAGAACGAGAAATCTTAATCTTTAGATGAGAATAAATGTATCGTTAAAAAGAAATTTGTAGTGATTATGTCTCCAATTATAAAAAGAAGGAAGAAGATTGTTGCTACATTTAGGAATGAGCAAGTTTGATTTATATCTAGTTAGAATTAAGGGGTCAGTGGGTCCAGGATGCCTGTCCAGGGACCCATTTCACAAAGCCTTTTTTCAATGACAAATTACAAAGATCAGTGACAAATCTGCTGCTAACCAATCAGAAGCAAGAATTTCAGTAGCTTATAACAAAGACTGTCGTTTGTCAGGGATGACAAGTTTTTGTGAAACGGGGCCCACTAGAATGGAAAGATCACATTGATTTCATTTCTTAAGAAGCATCAAACAGTAATGGGAGAATCTAGAAAGGATCAAATGGATCTTTGAGCTACATTTGTGTCATCAGATTATTCACTACCTACATGTACATAAGGGCTAGCACTCAGTTTCTTTGCCTGATCTGATTTTAATTACTGTACAAACTTCAAACTATGTGATGTGAAGAGTGTATAGACCACAAAGAACAATGAAAATACTTTGTTATTTCACTTTTTGTTTCCTGTTCATATTGTATATTCAGGGCTGCTAGTCACTGGAATCGATTTAATTCAGCTATTTGATTTGCTATTCTCCCTTAAGAAACATCAAGTGATGTGAGGAGAGTCTTGAGAGCATGGAGAAGTATGAAAATAGTTGTTTGGATTTAAAGTCAACTGATTATAATGCCTAATTGGGCTGCCTCTCACTTGAACTTGATTTAAAGGGGGTGTAGCCTGGATCGGGGCGAATCGGGTATAATACGACTACGGACGACGCGAGTGCTGTATTCATGTGCTTGCAACATACGCCGGAACCGAAGTGTGAGGAGAACTTCTGTCTGTTTGTGAATGCTGACCGTTAATCAGGTCCATTCATTTACGTACTCACTTTACTGCCCATTATGCCTCGTGGCACATAGGGCAGCAACAAAAGTCTTCCACTCCTTCCGATCCTGGGCCAGTCTTTGGATTGTATCCCATGTGTGGTTCAGGTCTTTAATCTCCCCTTCCACAGTTCTTCGCCAAGTGTTTTTAGGATGTCCCTTCTTTCTTTTGCATTCGTTTACGTGCAGTTGTCCAAAAGAAGTCGTAGATGCCGTTAACCGGTATTGGCCATGTTGCACCCCCTTTAAATCAATAATTTTATAATGTTTTTCCCCCTTAGAAACATCAAGCGATGCGAGGAGAGTCTGGAAAACATGGAGAAGGAGGAGAAGGAGAACGCAGAGATGGTGACGAAGATTGAGAAAGAGTTCAAGAGGCTTGAAGAGGATGCCACCAAGGTTCTTGAAGAGTTTAAGGAATCCGAGATCCAGCTTAAAGAGATGGAGGGAACTCTAGAAGAAAGCAAAGGTAAGGAGAAATATCAGAAACAGGTCCAGTTGGAATCAATAAACGTGAATTCTTGATAGATGAAAATGAAACTTGAATTAAAGAAAAGCATTATGGAGAAGATCCAGTTGAAATATAAGAATCTGCAAGAAGAAGATGTCAATAACATAAAATTACCAAGCAACCAAGAAATTGCTGGATTGTGTAAAGGTGGATTGTGCTACTAGATGTCTAGGATCCCTCACAGAAGCGACCAGAACGTCACAAGATAGGAAGATCTGGCTTGAGGTCATGAAGCAGAAGCCATCACACATCTCCCAGATGGTGTGGAAGGCTTAGGTCAAGGTAGGTCAAGGGTCAATAAAGCATGTTTCACTGTATCATCCTCAGATTTACTGTAAAAACCCTTTCCTTTTTGTGTCATCCTAGCTTCATTGGCCGAGTTTCAGCAGAAGGAGGCCGATACCAAGGCCAAACAGCTGGAGGTGAAGCACGAGCTGGAATCCTACGATGGCACCATCAAAGAGAACCAACAGAGAATCAGGCACTGGAAGAAAGAGGTAATAGATGTTATACAGTAGGCTTGCGGGTGCACCATGTGAGAGAGAGAGAGGATTGAGGATGTTGTCTAATGAGAGCCAGAAGGGCAGTAACATTTATTCTACACAGAGTTAGAGCCTTTCCGTTTCATGCTCTCAACAGATGACAAAGTGTTCTTGATGCTGTTAATAATATAATAATCTTTTAGTCCACTCCAAATTTTATTAAACCGAAAATGAAAATTCTTTTTGCCCAATTGATCGTGAGCCCGACAGCCACTGAGCAGCGCCAGATCGACGTTGCTCTATCCCCTTATTGTTGAACGCCAAACAAGGTAGCAGCAACTCCCGTCTTTTAACGTCTTTTGGTATGACGCGGCCGGGGTTCGAACCCACGACCTCCCGGTTGTGAGGCGGGGGCTCTACTGACTGAGCCAACACACCGGTGATGTATGTGTATGTAGTAAAGCACTTGATAAAACCTGCCACTGCAACAAAATACTGGATATTAAAAGGAAAATTAGTGTGCATGCATCTCATTTCTGTTTCTTGTAGCAAACAGATAGGTGAGTATGTGTAGGGGGCATTATTTACACTTAGAAATCCACCCCCCCCCACCCTCCACACACACACCACACACACATTGCAGTATTGTAGGTAAGCGTCTGTCCTTTCTCTCCCTTTCAGTTGGGCAAGCTAGAGATTCACATCTTAGACCGTGAGATGCAAGGTCTTCTGGCATGTATTCGGGCAGCGCCAGATCGACGTTGCTCTATCCCCTTATTGTTGAACGCCAAACAAGGTAGCAGCAACTCCCGTCTTTTAACGTCTTTTGGTATGACTCGGCCGGGGTTCGCTAGAAGACTTTGTGTCAGTCAACAATAAGGATATCAACTTGCATGACTCTTAAATCATTTTTACTCTGTCCTTTCTCTCCCTTTCAGTTGGGCAAGCTAGAGATTCACATCTTAGACCGTGAGAACCCAGAGACATCGCCCGAATACACGCTAGAAGACTTTGTGTCAGTCAACAATAAGGATATCAACTTGCATGACTCTTAAATCATTTTTACTCTGTCCTTTCTCTCCCTTTCAGTTGGGCAAGCTAGAGATTCACATCTTAGACCGTGAGAACCCAGAGACACTGCCCGAATACACGCTAGAAGACTTTGTGTCAGTCAACAATAAGGATATCAACTTGCATGACTCTTAAATCATTTTTACTCTGTCCTTTCTCTCCCTTTCAGTTGGGCAAGCTAGAGATTCACATCTTAGACCGTGAGAACCCAGAGACACTGCCCGAATACACGCTAGAAGACTTTGTGTCAGTCAACAATAAAGATATCAACTTGCATGACTCTTAAATCATTTTTACTCTGTCCTTTCTCTCCCTTTCAGTTGGGCAAGCTAGAGATTCACATCTTAGACCGTGAGAACCCAGAGACACTGCCCGAATACATGCCAGAAGACCTTGCATCTGTCGACACAGAGGACATCCAGTACGAGATCACCGTGGAGGAAGAGCAGATCGCTAAGATGACCCCTAATCTAGCTGCCATTGAACAGTACAAGAAGAAGGTGAGACGATTCCTACTTTTTGGTCTTGAAGCTATTTTAAACCCTAGATTCATCTCTTTTTCTGGAATATTCTGTGTGAAAAGTATACAAACTAGACTATTCCAAAGTTTGCCTCAAGAAATTCCTAATTTTTGCCTTGGATGGTTAACACAGAGATTATGCCCTTCTGGTTTGCAGCAGAGCAGGTGTGGATCATAAAAGCTCTTTGAATTTTGTGCAAATCTGTGGCTCACTCTGTGGCTCACTAAATGGTTACAGTAATTGCAGCATCTTATCCTACCTATCTGAAAACCAGTCCCTTTGTCAAATTTAGGATCCTGAAATGAAGACCAGGGGGGTGTTTCACAAAATTAAAGTTGAACTTATCTTTAAGTTGGACTTAAAAATTATGGAAAGCCATTAGCATCTTTGTAAATATTTTGTAAAAGTTATTTTGAAAGGCATTAATTGTTTATTCAAATCATTCATATTTTCTGTCATCAAGGAGATTTCATGTTCTGGATGCGGAATTTATAAAAAGTCTAAAATACTTGAATTTCTGCTTTTGAATATATTTCATTTTAAGACTCCAATGGCTGTCCATAATTTTTAAGTCCAACTTAGTGTTAAGTTCTACTTAGGATCTTTGTGAAACACCCCCCAGGGCCCTGTCTCATGAACGGTTGCAAATTAAAAATCTTAAAATCAATCACCAAGTTTATATGCTTCTCTGTACAAAAGAGATCAGAGTTTGTAAGTCCCTAATCAATTGCAGGACGTGAAATCAATGAGGACCCTAAAGGAAAACTGTAAGTTTCCTGCATTCATTGTCAAATTTTGAGGCAAATGCTGCAGTATTGAGAACTAGAAGCCAAGAATCATCTTCAAAAACCCACTGCTGTCCTCTTGAAAAAAATGTTTCCCACCCCCGTTCCTTCTGCAGGAAGAGAACTACCTGCAGCGGGTTTCAGAGTACGAGGCGCTGACAGAGAAACGGAACGAACAGCGCCGCCAGCTGGAGGACATGCGTAAGCAGCGTCTGGACATGTTCATGCGCGGCTTCAGCACCATCAACGACTACCTCAAGGAGATGTACCAGATGATCACACTGGGCGGAGACGCAGAACTGGAGCTCCTCGATAGTCTGGACCCCTTCTCGGAAGGAATCGCTTTCAGGTCAGCAGCAGGCCGGCATAGATTTTGCCGTTTTCCCACCAAGGACATAGTTTTACAGTTTGCGGTTTAGGCGTATGGATGTTTGCATCAGTCCTATAAAGCATAACACTTGTTGAAACAGAGGAACACAATTTCAGAAATTTATATGTATTTTTGTTGCAATACCAAGTGTTATTTTGTCATTACAGACTAAAGGATGTAAGCATGAAAATGAAAATATTGATAGGACATCGACAAAAGGAAAATTACCATTTTCTTCATGAAATTTCTCTTTATTGGTTTTCATTCAAGGGAAACCACATTTTTAATGAAATAGGATACCAGAAGAGTCAAGAGACCATATATATATATAATTTTCATTTTTTGACCAATAATGAATAATTTTTATTTAAATTAGTTCTCAAAGTATATAGGTAATACAGATAATAGCTGTGGACAAGAGAAATTATTCACTTGAAATTAAACGTAAACATCCGAATGTGCATTCCTAACTTACTTCGGCAAAAGACAAACAATACTTGTCTTCATCACATATGATCCTTGTACAGTCAAACCTGTCTACAGCAACCGCCCAAGAGACACACAAAAAGTGGTTATTGTAGACAGGTTCCTTTAGTACATGTTTCAATGAGAAACCGTTTTCAAGGGAAACTAAAAATGTGGTCCTTGTAGGCAGGTGGTCACCCAAGCAGGGGGGTGTTTCACAAAGATTCTAAGTCGAACTTAACTCTAAGTTGGACTAAAAAATTATGGAGAGCCATTTGAAGCCTTAAAATAAAATATATTCAAAAGCAAATATTCAAGTATTTTAGACTTTTTATAAATTCCACATTAAGAACATGAAATCTCCCATCATATTTGAAACTATGAACGATTTGAATCAACATTTTATGCCTTTTAAATTAATTTTTACAAAATATTTTCAAAGGTGCTATCGGCTTTCCATAATTGTTAAGTCCAACTTAGAGATAAGTTCAACTTAGGATCTTTGTGAAACACCCCCCAGGTTTGACTGTATTTTTATTCAGCACGCATCTTCTTTTCTTCTATCCCACACAGTGTGCGTCCTCCTAAGAAATCTTGGAAGGTCATCGCTAACCTGTCGGGTGGTGAGAAGACCCTGAGCTCGCTCTCTCTCGTCTTTGCTCTCCATCAATTCAAACCGAACCCCCTCTACGTCATGGACGAGATCGATGCTGCCCTCGACTTCAAGAACGTGTCCATTGTCGGCCACTACATCAAGGTACGAAGCTTAATATCTTAGCCTTTTGTTTATGGCAACAGAATCCTTTAATTAAAACCGTTATGTACATAAAACTCCCAATATGTGACAGAAAGTGACTTGATGACTTGTTGATGATCACTTGTCACCTTTGACCCAGGTGACATAAGTGGACCTCTTTAACCCTATGTTAACTGGGGGGGGGGGGGTTCCCCCCCCCCCCCCTGTAGAAATTTTGCCACTACTCCGAAACCGCGGCAGAGATACAATTTTCCTTTCATGACTTGTTTCTTTCGAGGCAAACGCATCTTTTAAAATGATTTTTTCGAAAATCGGACATATAGTTAAAGAGTCACGTGACCAGAACAGGGGTATTACTCTCCAAAGCTAAAATGTACCTACAATGGTCTTCTGTCTTTATCATGAGCAAGTCAAGAAAGGGGATGTCAACCTACATGTACTTTTTTGTTTCCTCCATTCATTCCCAGTAGCAGTTGTAACCACCTAAATTTTGACCTGGGCCCTGTTTCATGAAACTTGTTATCAATAACAAGTTGCAATAACTGTTATGAGCTACTGAAATCCCCGCCCCCCCCCCACTCAGTGTTATTTAGGGTACGCGTATGTTCGTTCCCTCTTTTTGAAAGCACCCCCTATCTGAGGACTGCCATCATTTTCGAACTCCTCTTTCGCTGGCTTTTCCTGCCTTAGAGACCCCCTTAAATACAGAAAAATGCTCAATGTACCCCCCCCCCCCTCCCCCTCCCCCTAAATTCAGAATAATTTCTCAGGAGTCCAAAGAGATGAGAGAAAAAAAGAAAAACACTCCTTTTTTAAAGAAATCTCCGGGTGAAAAGTCAAATACACCCCCTTTTTTTTTTTACAATTCTCGGGCCAGACTCGGACCGGAGTGGGGGGGGGGGGGGGGCAGGCTGAAATCATTGCATATGATTGGCTGAGAGCACATTTGTCTAGAAATGTGACACTTGTTTTTGATAACAAGTTTTATGAAATGGGAGCCCTGGTATACACAATTTTGGTAAAGCCAAAGCTGGGCCCAGTTTCATAAAACTTGTTATCTATAACAAATGCTCAAATTCTATGACAAATTAGCTCTCAGCCTATCAGATGCCACCATTTCAGTAGCTTATAACAGTTATTGTAACTTGTTATTGATAACAAATTTCATGAAACTGGGCCCCGATGGATCTTGATGTTAGTCACCGATTAACCATCTTTTTAAACTCTATCATTTATACAGGAGAGAACCAAGAATGCTCAATTCATCGTGATCTCGCTTCGTAACAACATGTTTGAGCTGGCCGACCGACTGGTGGGAATCTACAAGACTCACAACTGCTCCAAGACCGTCACCGTCAACCCCCGCAAACTGGCCATCAAAAATACCGCAGAAGTCTCAGGTTGATAGGGAGGATAGTCTGGAAGACACCACCAGGGACCCATTTCACAAACCTTTTTTTCAATGACAAATTATAAAAATCAGTGATAAATCTGTTGATGACCAATCAGAAGCATGGATTTCAGTAGCTTATAACAAAAACTGTCATTTGTCACTGATGACAAGTTTTGTGAAAGGTCCCCCTAGGATTGAAAATGTGATAGGGGTAATTCTATGCTATGGGTCTCTTCCAAAGTGTATTGAGCGAGATAGTTGTGACACGCGCATACATGTACACATGCACTGTATGTGAGCGTGGTCATAGGTCAAACAATGGAGCCCCCAATGGTATCCTCCTATGGTTCAATCTCTGTGGGAGGAACTGTTTGGAGCTATTTCTCTCAACTAGCTATGGTCTCTCCTACAATGTACATGCAGATCTTTTATCCATCATTTCATCCAGAAACGAACCATTAGTCCGTGGTTATGTCAGCAGGTTTTCATTTATGGATGAAATGAATGGATATAAGATGTATGTACAGCAGGTTTTCATTTATGGATGAAATGAATGGATATAAGATGTATGTACATGTACAACAAGGGAGTGTTTCACAAAGTCTTAGATTGACTTTAAGTTGTACTTAACTATGGCAGAGGGTTCATGCCAATATTTACTCTCACCATTATGATCTTTAAATAATATTTTTTCCTTCAATAATGAATTATAAAAAAATGTAGATTCGTGACCACGATTTGTAAGTCCCTTGAGAGAGCAAACAGTGGCATTAACGGCTTGCCATAGTTAAGTCCAACTTAAAGTCGATCTTAGTCTTTGTGAAACACTCCTCAGGACACATATCAAAGAATTGACCTTATCTTCTGTTCGCACTTGTAAGTTAGTCAGAACAGGCAAGATTACATGCAGCAGCATGTTATTAAGAGTTGATTAATTGGTGGAAAATAATGCAACTGTCAACAGTAATGTTTTATGAATGCAAAGTCTCAGATCTTGCAAATTTGCTTTCACAAGATATTTATACAAATACACAGGTTGTATGCGAAAAATCGTACCTTTATGAAAATCTGTCTTTTAAATGTGCTTCTTTAATTCTTCTTTTAAATGTGCTTCTTTAATTCTTGAGGATACAAACTCAAGGTAAGAAAATATATGAAAAACTGGCACAATTATATCTAAACCCCTCAAAATATGTTTGGAAACTATATGAGGTGATTAGATATCTTAAAAAGGTTTGATGGATTTAATGCAAATCAGCTTATCACTCTCCTAACAATCAAAGAATATCTTAAAGAGATAAAGTTTCTTGAGATTGTGTATTTAAGCCTTGAGCCTTACTAGATCTTCTTCTCGTAATCTCTAAAGGGCCATGCAGCCTATCACCAAGATGAAAAGTTGATTCCAGTTCAGGCGTGTCACGTTTGGATGGTGAAATATAGATTTAGTAGTCACAACATACAAGGAAATTGTAAATACACTCAGCCTATATATTGTATAAATGTACATTACTTGTATTAAGGGGGTTGAAAATTTTGTGGAATGAATTACGCACATGTATACTACCTACACTATAACAGAATATGAGTTTTATGTAAAACGTAATTTCATGTAATGTAGTAATCCGAGTAACGTTAAAAAGTTAATCTTGTTGCGCAGCCATCGAAGCCCGGGTACCGGTACTTCGATATCAACTAATAACCAATAATTATGATATATGATTATTTAGGCTCAGGTTGGTTTAGAGAAATAGCCTCTTATACTGAATTTCAGTGGGACCATATTTTCTATCACGGTCCCTTCTTATTTTTAATGGAATTTACCAGTAATGTAAATAAACCTTTGGTCATTCCTAACCTTATGGGTATATTTTGTTATGTACATATCTGTATCTATATAATTTGTGTGTAGTAAATAATATGCAAGAATAGAAGTTGATTTATATTAGTTTACAAGTACAGCATTGTATTTAGGTAAACCCATGATAATATACATCTCTGTCGTGAAATTGGGATACTGGTTTTAAAAACAAAAATTAAGTCATCTCACTCAAAAAACTATAGAGAACATAATCAGCAAAACATTAATTTATTTAATGTAGATTACTCATACATGATAACTGTAGAAAGATGAAAAGTCGATTCATGTACCCCCCCCCCCCCCCTGAACAGGAATGTAATTCACATACTGAACTTTTATCTTTACCGATTGTACATAAATTATTGTAGCGATAAGAGTTTTGTAAATAAAATAGTTGACTTGATTTGGCAGAAAAGCTTGTACAAAAAGTGTATAATCATGGCGCTGAAATTTTGTGTGTAAATAAATACACTTTGCTTATACTATTCAACACTTGATGCAGAACTGTATTTTCTTTCCTTCCAAGTTTCTTTCCTTGTTACGACTTTAGTCTTTTAAAGAGGTAATATTTAGGTAACTTCTATTTTTTTTTACTAGTCTTGAGTTTTGGTAATGACACAGAAATGAGTCTCTCAAAAGCGATCAAGCTGTACTCGCCGTTTTCTTACGCATCATCATCACCATCATAATCGTAATTTTCAATACCATCATCGTCATTATCATAACACTAATTACAATAAATCTGAATTAATATAGCACTTTATACAAAAAAACGTTTTAAGTGTTTAAAAGATATTATTACCCTGGTCATCGGTCTCGTTCACGCACACAGTGTGCACCATTTTCACTCCCTGGGGAAAATTCCTACCATTTAGTAACCATGAGGGTATAATTACAGTAATTTCTATCACAAATATTTCCTTCATTTCACCAGCTCCCTAATGCTCTCCTGGGTATGGAGTGGCAAATGTAGATTAATGTCATGCCAGAGAACATCAGTGTTGTGTGTGGTATCGAACCCATGAACAATGCATTTCCAGTCAAGTGTTTGACCATACAAAAGGCATCACGAGGCCCCTTGCCTGCATATGTCAATGTCCAGCTTGAACCACTCAACTACAGCACTTCTACGTTATCACCTGTCTACCATAATTGTCATAATCACTATTACCACCATCATCACCACTATGAACCCACCAAGGTCAAACTAACCTCCACCTTCAGAATCTCGTTCATCAGTCATCACATTACAAGCACTACCATCGATCATCATCACTCCTCTACTGATCAATCAGTCATCATCAACATTACCCTGGTTATAATAGAAACCACCTCATATCACCACAACTGTTATCACCTCATTACAAGCACTGCCATTCATCATCATCACTCCTCTTCTGATCAATCAATCATCATTACCATTACCCTGGTTATAATTGTAACCACCTCAACATATATCACCACAACTGTTATCACCTTATTACAAGCACTGCCATTGATCATCATCACCATTACCCTGGTTATAATTACAACCACCTCGTATCACCACAACTGTTATCACCTTATTACAAGCACTGCCATTCATCATCATCACTCCTCTTCTGATCAATCAGTCATCATCACCATTACCCTGGTTATAATAGTAACCACCTTATATCACCTTATTACAAGCACTGCAATCGATCATCGTCACTCCTCTTTTGATCAATCAGTCATCATCACCATTACCCTGGTTATAATTGCAACCACCTCATATCACCACAACTGTTATCACCTTATTACAAGCACTGACATTGATCATCATCACTCCTCTTCTGATCAACGGTCATCATCACCATAACCCTGGTTATAATTGGAACCACCTCAACATATCACTACAACTGTTATCACCTTATTACAAGCACTGCCATTGATCATCATCACTCCTCTTCTGTTCAATCAGTCATCATCACCATAACCCTGGTTATAATTGCAATCACCTCATATCACCTTATTACAAGCACTGCCATCGATCATCATCACTCCTCTTCTGATCAATCAGTCATCATCACCATTACCCTAGTTATAATTGCAACCACCTCATATCACCTTATTACAAGCACTGCCATCGATCATCATCACTTCTCTTCTGATCAATCAGTCATCATCACCATTACCCTGGTTATAATTGCAACCACCTCATATCACCACAACTTATCACCTTATTACAAGCACTGCAATCGATCATCGTCACTCCTCTTCCGAACAATCAGTCATCATCACCATTACCCTGGTTATAATTGTAACCACCTCATATCACCTTATTACAAGCACTGCCATCGATCATCGTCACTCCTCTTCTGATCAATCAGTCATCATCACCATTACCCTGGTTATAATTGCAACCACCTCATATCACCACAACTGTTATCACCTTATTACAAGCACTGCAATCGATCATCGTCACTCCTCTTCCGAACAATCAGTCATCATCACCATTACCCTGGTTATAATTGTAACCACCTCATATCACCTTATTACAAGCACTGCCATCGATCATCGTCACTCCTCTTTTGATCAATCAGTCATCATCACCATTACCCTGGTTATAATTGCAACCACCTCATATCACCACAACTGTTATCACCTTATTACAAGCACTGTCATTGATCATCGTCACTCCTCTACTGATCAATCAGTCATCATCACCATTACCCTGGTTATAATTGCAACCACCTCATATCACCACATCTGTTATCACCTTATTACAAGCACTGCCATTCATCATCATCACTCTTCTTCTGATCAATCAATCATCATCACCATTACCCTGGTTATAATTGTAACCACCTCATATCACCACAACTGTTATCACCTCGTTACAAGCACTGCCATTGATCATCATCACTCTTCTTCTGATCAATCAGTCATCATCACCATTACCCTGGTTATAATTGCAACCACCTCATATCACCACATCTGTTATCACCTTATTACAAGCACTGCCATTCATCATCATCACTCTTCTTCTGATCAATCAATCATCATCACCATTATCCTGGTTATAATTGTAACCACCTCATATCACCACAACTGTTATCACCTTATTACAAGCACTGCCATTGATCATCATCACTTCTCTTCTGATCAATCAGTCATCATCACCATTACCCTGGTTATAATTGAAACCACCTCATATCACCTTATCAGGCGCGGATCCAGGATTTTCCAATAGGGGGGGGGGGGGGGGGGGGGGGGGGGGAAATTCGAAATTCGCGCAGACCGTTATTTAAACTTACCAATACTGACAAGGTCATATTAGAAGCACTGTACTTTAATAGTGTACTGGTACCTACAAACGGGCACCATTATTTTGGAAAGGGGACATGCTCACGTCACATCTCTTGTCCGATATCAACATTCCCCGTTTTCAAGTTATGCTCGCGCGCAATTTTTTTGACATTTCCATCAGTGGGGGCTGAAGCCTCTTGCCCCAATATCTATTTCCTGGTTTAATAATTTGGCGAGCAAGCGAAGCGAGTGAGCGGAAATTTGAGCTTATGTATATATGTTGTGAAAGTGTTAATCGTCACCAAAATATACGAGATAAGATATAACAAATGCATATTGGTAATTTTTAAATTTTCGGGGAAAGAGAGGCTGCAACCCCATCCCGCATTAACTGCAGGTGTTTTGAAATCAAATCAGACTCCCCAAAAAAGTATAAACCAAAACGCATGAATCCAGTTTCAAAAATCCAAAAAATGTCAGCTTCAGAGGGGGGCACATCACCCCTCAGACTCCCTCTAAAAGTATTAACCAAACCGCACGAATCCAGGTTAAAAAAAAATCAGCTTCAGAGCTAGAGAGGAACCCCCCCCCCCCCTCCCCACTCACCATGGGTGTCGATCCTCACGTAATACTTATTCATCAGGGGGGGGGGGGTGAATGAATAGATCATCCCCCCTGATGAATAGGTATCAGTGACAGATCGACACCCATGCCACACACACACACACATACAGACACCCCCTGTGCGCGCAAGCGCGAAATTAACGCTGGCGCTAATGCGTAAGCAGGGGCGGCGGAGCTATTTCCAAAGTGGAAAGCACCAACAAAAAAGGGCACCTACAAAGCGAAATCTCAAAGCGAAAATATACATTTTTTTAGACATTGGTATATACCCTTTCATTGTGATTCCATTATCAGGGACGATTTCAATATTTGTTTTTCTTTATATATTATACAAGATATTGCTTAAGCATCACACTTTCGGCTGGGTGTGATTGTCTGAATATTCATTTGCGAGCGAGCAAAGCGAGCGAGAACAAAATGTAAGATCTGTGAGGTCGCAGAGTGAAAAATTACATCTTATAAAGAGGAAAAAACCAAATCATGATGGGGTTATAAGCATCACGGAAGACTGAAAAAACTTTGTTTTAAAGTGACATATAATTGTATCATCTATAAATGCGAGGGAGCGAGCGAGCTTTAGGGGAAATTACTCTTGCCCCCCGTGCCCCCCCCCCCGTGCCCCCCCCCCCCCCGTGGCTACGTGCCTGATGATGAGAGGTTAAGGGGACACTTATCGAAAGGGATAAAGACACTTATTAGGAAAGAAAAGGAGCATGTGTCAAGGTACAAAGAGTAATTATCAAAGATTCAAACGGGGCACTTCTTACACCTGAAAGGAGGCACTCACCAGAAATGAGATAGGGCACTTATGAGTATGGGAAATGGGCATTTGTCGACAGAAAAGGGGCATCCATCGGAAATTGATTTATCAGTGGTGAAAAGGGGCATTTATGAAAAGGGGATAGGTCCCTTATTAGAAAGGAAAAGGGGAACGATTCAAAATAAAAGGGCAGTTAGCAAAGGTGAAAATGGGCACCCATCATAGATGAAAAGAGTACTTATCAGGAGGGAAAGGGGTACTTTTCAAAGTAAAACGAGCATCTCTCAGATTTGAATAGGGGCAATTATCGGAGGTGAAGAGAGCACTGAAGTGAAAAGAATTAACTTCTCATATATGAAAATGGTCATTTACCAGAGATGAAAAGGGAAACTTTTAATTTATGAAGGGCCTCGTTTTTCTAAATAGCCCTTATCGGAAAGGGGGCACATGTGTTGATGAAATGTGCGCTTATCCGAGTTAAAAAGGGGAAGGGGCACTTCTTAAGTAAAAGTGGCCCTTTGGGGGGTACTTAAGAGTGGGGCGAACTTTGCCCCCTACCCCTGCCACCCGCCCCATCATCTGAAAATCCAAAATGATGTTGTAGGGGCCGGGCGCGGCTTTATCATGAGTGTTTTTATGTGAACCTCTTTAAAAAAAATATATTATGCTGGATTCCGACCCAGATTGCACACTCTAAAATGAAAGTATGATCATCCCCAATACGCTTGCAGTTCACGTATGCACCCCTTCCTCCTAATCCATCGTTACCGTCACTGCCATTTACGCATGGCCGGCCGGTGTCGTGGCGTTATGTGTCTTTAGTTAGCGAATTCACG